TTCTTCCGCATTCGTCATCGGAGTTGTCTCTGTCGTCTTCTTTCCCACCTCATCCACACTTTGGTCCGGTGTCTCTAGTTCAATCTCGATGGCAGGTTCTGCTTGTTTCCCTTCCGTGCCCTCTTTTGCTCTGTTCTCTGTATTACTCCTCGTGTTGGCCATGCTAACTGAAAAGTTCTTCTTTGTTATCTTTGGACCCATTGATGTCGTTTTACGTAGCGACGAGTTATATTTTGTCTTCGCTTCAGTAGATCTTTTTTCAGCCAACGGTACCCTGCTCCGCCTCATTATTTTTATTTACAATTGTTACTATTTACAGTATTACTATCTACAAAATTCTACTCTAAGGTTAAAACCTCTTTTGACAAAATTGATAAAAAGAAATTTACAATTTACTAAAAACAACGTTTCCTGAGCTTTTTGAAAATTCTATATGTTCTTGATCCCTACAGTACCGGATCTTTAGGACTGGATAGAAAATTTAATTTTGCGATTGGTTACTTCAACCTGTCTTAGTACTCTTTTGTACCGTCACCCCCTTCTTTATACTGTTCCAAGACTTCCTCTTTACTGTCCTAAGACTATTCAGTGCTGTCCCTGTACTTCTTGTTAGTGTCCCACGGCCACTGTCCCAAGACCCTTGCCCTAAGACTACTGTCCCAAGACTACTGTCCCAAGACCACTGTCCCAAGACTACTGTCCCAAGAATACTGTCCAAAGACTACTGTCCCAAGACTACTGTCCCAAGAACACTGTCCCAAGACTACTGTCCCAAGACTACTGTCCAAAGACTACTGTCCCAAGACTACTGTCCCAAGACTACTGTCCCAAGACTACTGTCCCAAGACTACTGTCCCAAGACTACTGTCCCAAGACTAGTGTTCCAAGACTACTGTCCCAAGACCACTGTCCCAAGACTAGTGTCCCAAGACCACTGTCCCAAGACCACTGTCCCAAGACTACTGTCCCAAGACCAGTGTCCCAAGACCACTGTCCTAAGACCAGTGTCCCAAGACCACTGTCCCAAGATCACTGTCCCAAGACCACTGTCCCAAGACCACTGTCCCAAGACTACTGTCCCAAGACTACTGTCCCAAGACCAGTGTCCCAAGACTGTCTCGTACCAAGACTGCTCTGGTCCAAGACTGTCCCAAGACTGCACCGTCCCAAGACTGTCCCAAGACTGCACTGTCCCAAGACTGTCCCAAGACCGTACTGCTCCAAGATTGTCCGCAGACTGCAATGTCCCAAGACTTCTTCGGTACTGTCCCAAGACTTGTCACTAAGTGCCTGGATATAGGATCTCTTCTTCTTCGTTGTGGGGACTCTTGAACCACTGTACCGTGTACCACCACTTGAGCTCTAGTAAAAAAAAGTTTTTCAAAATCCCTATCTTAATGGCCAAAACCCAAATACTGACCCCCCTGTATTTATCTCCCTCTCGTTGTTTCAGGCTATTTGAAACCCTACCTTCCTCGCAAGTGTCTTGTGATCACCTGTTCGTTCAAATACCAACAACAAATTTCCACCAAAACGTAAAAATTTAAACAGGAAAAATTCCAAAAACAGAGAGATGAACCCACCTAAAATTCAAAGTTGACAGATGTCAACCTTTGTCTGAAAAAATGTCCGGTACCCGAATGCCACGCGTTTTCCTCCCCGCTGCTAGCGATCTTATGGGGTATCAGAAAAACTGTCTATGTCCGTTCCCCCCTACCGATCCGACCCGGGTACCTACTTTAACTCGATGCTAAATTTGGATATCCGCTTCTTATAACCAGCGCGTGTAAGTATCTAATGTAATTAAATTGACGATGCCGAACAATTAGTTACTCTAATGTGTCCCCCCTTTTCACAATTTACAACCGCCAACCTCTAACCTAACCAGCCCCCTTTCTAACCTCTCCCTCTTTAGCCCACCTCTTAAGCCGAAAAATCCCTTAAGCGCCGAATGCTAAACCTCTCGAGAGAAAACCGTAGACCTGTTTCCAGGCCTGCTTGTGTAAAAACTTACTCAAAACAATGGGGCTCCGCTTATCCAATTTTACACTTATCTCCTACAATGTAATGTGGATTTTAACGATACCCGTTTGCCCAACTTGAGAAAACCCCTGTGCGTCCTCTTCTTGTTGTAGTGATCCCGTGCTGGTTGTCCCCTTGACGTGCACTGCACTTGACACCAGCACCACCTTCCCACTTGGCTGGTCACCTCTTCCAGTCAAATTTCCTAGCGGTTCAGCTCAGTCCTTCTGAACCACTTTCCCACTCGGCTGGTCACCTCTTCCCGTCAAGTCTCCTAGTGGTCCGGTTCTGTCCTTGTGAACCACTTTCCCACTCGGCTGGTCACCTTTTCCAGTCAAGTCTCCTAGTGATCCGGCTAGGTTGCAAGCTATCTGAAAACCCTTAACAACGCCCCCCACTTGGGCACCTTATTGAAGTCACTGGTTTAGATTGCTCGATTGATCGAAACGATCGGTCTTATAAAACAGTATAGATATACTATTTATTTAATAAAAAGGTTTGATCCAACTAATCTGGTATCAAAGTCACTGTCTTTATTGTTTTATGGTTTTTGTTGCTTTTCTATACTTTTTCCATATTTTTGTTTCGCTTTTTGTCTTTTTGCTCGTGTTTTTGTCCCACTAGTTACCCCCCCCCCCCCTTACTCGGTTAGCTAGGCCTCGTTCGGAGAGCGTACCAGGAAGTTTTCTCAAGTTTTCTTAAAAAGCTATCACGGTACAACCAGAAGGTTTACACGTTCCCGCTGAACCGTACCACCGGTACTCTAGAATGGGCTTGCAGCCCAAAGCTGTGTCAAGTGGGTTCGACTCCGTAGTCATGATGTCGTAAAAACACCCAGGAGCGCCATAAAAACACTATGTAACAGTCGCCTACTTCAATCACATATGAGGCTTAAGAAAAATAGGCCCTATAACCATTGGCTCAAGAGTCAAGGACACTATCTCTTGTGTTTTTCTACCTCAAAAACGGTCGGAGCCAATTCGGTTCGCTTGCGACATGAGACTAGAACCCGTTACAGCTTAAAGGCTACTACCAAAATATCCCCCACTCTAGCAAATAAGAACGTTCCCATACTTAGGTCTCGAGATACCTAAAATACACGAACGCCGTTAAAAACAGGGTCGGAACAATCCGTTAAGTTATTTTTTATTAGACAGTGGAACTTTGATCCATTTCAGATGGATCAACCTAAAACTCGCCTTATCTCAACATAACAATCATAAAACACAATCGAGAAAACTAAATTTGGTACTTACATAGCAGCACGCTTGAGACACAGAGTAACTAAACTAATTAACGACTGGCATAAATATAATCAAATATAACTCAAGAAGTTTTCTAACGAAGAGTAGAGTCCCAATCAAAGGAAGTAAGTTTTAACTCAAGAATATAGTTTTTGCTCTGGACCATTGGGACACTTCACTTGTCCGCCTTTCCGTCGAAGGTTCGCACTGGTCCAGTTGATTTCAGCTCTGCTCTTGTGTTCGTTTGGTCTCCTATGTCAGATAGGACAGCTCTACTCTCGATTTCTACGATGGAAATTGCGAATAGCGATTTCCCACTGTATATATTTGACAACTTTCCCGCAATTGTTAATTCAGTCGTTCTGATTTATTATTTTATGTTTTCAGTTGTCGCGAGAAAACTGAGCATGACAGGCTCCATTCGAATTTTTGAAAAATAAAACTTCACTCCAAGGTTTCGTGTCCCTCAAGGTCAAACTTCTAAATATGACCGACTAGCACAATCCAGCGAGAAGAAAAGATGCCAAACCTGAAATTCCCATCTCTAAAGTGATGCTCTGTAGGGGTACTCTCAGGAGTTGCGAAGTTTGCCTCCATATATGACTGCTCACTTCTTTGTAGTTGTTGAGGTATAATTTTTTTCAGAATTTTTTTTTTTAATTTAAATCTTTCAAACATTTTCAAAATTGAATTTTTTTTTCAAAATATGAATTTCCTAACCGTGTAGTTGGTAACGTTGAGTGCTTCTAGTGGTTGCGATTCTTGCCTTCAAAAATGATTGCTCAAATCTTTGAGCTTTTCCAGTTATGACGTTTGTTATTTTTTCCAAAGGAAATTCAGAAAGCTGAAACTTAAATTGAAGAAATTTTTGATAAAAATTAAATTTCCAACGTTTTCGCAACTATGTGCATCTCAAGATTTTTACAATAAACAAATCTAATTGACGATAAAACATCAATTTACAAATGTTATTTAAAATAATTCGCATAAATTTTGGTTTTTAAACCATCATGTTACAAAATTAGCCAATCACAGTTGACTTCTAAAATTACTGTTCAGATGAAAATATTTTAAACCTCTAAAATTTTCAGTTATGTCCTAAACTCATCGTGCGTGTTCAAGCCCGGTTTCTCTTTCCTGATATGTTTTGCCCCTAGTGTTTTGTTTGGTTGTTTGACCTATTTATAATTTCCCAACTAAGATCTGCGCTATTTCCCTCAAGACTGCATTGCTGAAGGCGGAGGCCTACCGGTGAGTCTGCATTCTTATGTTCCTCATGTAAAATTTGACATTCCTAACCCTATAGTTGGGGGTAGTCACAGTACTCTCAGGTGTTGCCAATATTGCCTCCAAACATGACTGTTCATTTTATTTGTAGTTTTCCAGATACGAGTGTTTTTATGGTTTTAAAAACTTTTAAAAAAAACTGAAATTTAATTTTTTTTTAAAATTACCAACCCTGTAATTGGGCGCTGACAGAGTACACTCAAAGGGTGCAGATCTTGTTTCCATTAAATGCGGTTTTTGTCAAAAATTCGAAGCACCGGAGGTGCGTTACACTCTAAAAAATAAGGATACTTGAAATTCTCAACCCCATAGCGACATGCTGTCAGGGTACAATCGAGTAATTTTTTCCTGCGATTGTGACTTTTCCAGTCCTTTTGATGATACTTTTGACCATCTGATTACCAATGACAAAAGGCTTCAAAACGATAGTTTGGTAATGTTTTCTAGACAGAATGGATGATCTACTCTCTGAGATAAATCGGAAGCGTGCACATGTTGAAAGTAAGCCGGGACTACTTGTGAATGGGAAATTTTTCAAGCGATCAGCCCTGGAAGAGAAAGAAAAAGAAGAGTATCTTTCCAAATATCAGGCATACAAACAATCACAGTCATCTTCAGCACAATCTGCGGTCGAAAACATTGATCAGCTGGCCGAAAAAACTTCTGAAAAAATTGCAATAAGTAGCAATGAAATAATTTTGCGTTTGAGAAAACGTAGTCAGCCGATTAAATTATTCGGTGAAACAGATTTAATGACGTATCAGCGGTTACGAAAATTAGAACTTACTGATCCTGATTTATTAGATAATGGACGGAAAAATGATATGCAAATCTTGATGGAGAAAATGGAACATGAGTCGCATTCCAACCTGGCTAAAGATGCCGGCTCCCAAGATGCTCATGACGTGAAGGTCAAACCATCTGGAATTAATTTTGAAGAGTTAGCCGAAAAAGGCCTCAAATTAGCCCAAATTGACTATCATTATGATATGAACGTAATTCTAAAGTTTTGCCAATTGATGTTGCAACTTTGGGGACAAGACTTGAATGGCCGAACAACTGCAGTGAAAAAGTCTCAACAAGGTAGGCTGGAGGCGGCAAGGTATTTGCAAACAGTCGATTATATGCGACCGATGATGAGGCAGTTGAAGTCCAATTCAATGGAAGAAGATATTCTCGATTCACTGGCTAGTGTTGTCTATTGGACCTTGAAGAAAGAGTACATCAAAGCTAGCGACAGTTACCTCCAAATGGCGATTGGCAATGCTCCGTGGCCAATAGGAGTAACAATGCATGGTATCCACGCCCGACCTGGAAAAGACAAGCTTGCCACTAAAAGTATAGCCCATGTACTTAACGATGAGGAGCAGCGAAAATATATACAGGCTTTCAAAAGACTAATTACATTTTGCCAAAAGATATACTCTACTGATCCCTCCAGAAGCGTTGAATTCAATGCTTGAAATTTCAGTTTAGTAGCGTAAATTAGTATAAATCATTGAAAAGAAGAGTTTTATCTGAGCTACAAATTCCTTTTTGTGACCGGACTAAGAAGCGAACTATAGCAATTCAATAGCAGCGTTGTATTATGAGGCCATTTCTTGGCTGTTGAAACTTTGCAGCTTTGAAGATTTTGTAGAGCTTGTGCCAAATAACACGCACAGTACGGAAACTTTGAAGACCTTTTACATATGTCTGATGTTGAGAATGGAGATCGGAGGTCCCCAGTTTAGGAGGGAGGACCCCCGTTTACTGCTCTGACACTCGTCTGGTTTTTCCTGATTCGAATCTCATTTCCCGTGAAACCCTCAGCGGCAGAAGGAGAGAAGACGCGTTCTCCATTTTGAGAAATTTTCATGCATTGACGGTTTCAATCCTTAGTTCTTATAACCGGAGTTTTTGCAATTAAAAAGATTATAGAGCCATTTGGCCCGATTTTACATGTGGAGATTTGTTGTAAATGTACGGGTCAAAGCAGTTTTGGTGTAAAGCTTTTTTCAGAAGTGGCTTGTATTCTTTTAGATCAATTGATTTCGTTTTTGTTATTGTTTATGGCAGATATCGTCTCCTGATATTTGCTTCGGATCGTCGGCTTCATAATTTTTTTGTTAATTACCCTTGCGATAAGCAAGGGCATTGCAAAAGGGTACTAGCCTTTTTTCCCCGCAAATAACTTTGCGCACAGAATGGTCAATTATGTAGGAATTGTAAGTTTCAATACTTGCTGAATTTCTTCAAATTTAAATGAAAACTACCTCGTTTAAGTAGTAAAAAGGCGGAGTAGTCTCTCGCATTATTATGATTTTTTTTTTCAAATTTCTTTCGGGCTTGTTTTCGTCTGTTCGTTTTTCCTTTTTAAATGGCCTTTATTTTATCTGGTTATATATTTTTTGACTAACATTGTAAAGCATGGATTATATTTTGATTCTTAAGTGTTTTATAACGAAAGTCCTCATTTGTGTCATTTTAATAAGTCTGATTCTGAAAAAAAAATGTTTTTTTTTTATCCAAAGTTTTTTTCGATTAAATGGTTGCGGCTGATGTTGTATCGGCTTTGTCAAATTATTTTGCGTTGTTCAACAGAACTAAATTTCTGTTTGACAAAATCAGGTATTATGAAAATGTATGGGACTTTTTAAAGCTTTTTTTTAAAGACATTTTTTTAAAGCTTCTAAATTTGTTTTTCACTTTTTGCTTAAATTTTAATTTTCCTCGACAATGGACGGCTACCGAAAGTTACAACTGAGGAACTGTCCGACTGACGTTCTTATACTTTTTGTGTTTTTTTTTTCAGAGACTACCTCGCCAAATGTTCACCCCCAGTCTTGAGTAACGTTGAAGATGTCGAAGAAATGAAAATACTTGGAGTTACATTCGATTATAAACTCACAGTCCAGCCACATATCAACAATTTGTGTAAAAAGTTATCAAGTTCATGTTATCTTCTGTCAAGACTCAAAAGTTTTGGAATGAAACTATCAGAATTGGAACATATTTACGAGTATCTAATAGAGAGCCAAATAACTTATGCCTTACCAGTTTGGGCTTGCGCAAACATAACTACGCTAAAATCCATTGACCGTGTTCAAGAAAAGGCAATAAAACTTGGTATCATTAGAAAATTTAATCCTATCGACTCACTAATTGAAAGAACGGATGCCAGCCTACTTCAACAAGCAGGAAAAAACAACTTCCATATTTTACACCATCTCGTGCCTCAACGTGAAGACTATTCCACAAGCCGCCTGAGAAATAGAACGGCACATGCACAATATCAGAAACTAGAAAAACACATGAAACTTTTCCCCCAGCGCGCCACTAGATGCAACCTTTACAAACTTTAACAAACTTTAATTTTGTTAAGTGTCATGTATTCATAAGTTATATGTGTTTATAACTTAATTAACATTTCTTCTTTCTTCTTCAAATCTAAGCTTATAGTTTCAATAGAAAATACAGGTCGCGAATGTTTTTTGCAGGAGCTGCGACTGCTTAATTTTCGTACCCTTGCTATAAGCAAGGATACTGCAATCGGATACTAGGCTTTTTACGTTATGAACTTTGTTCACAAGACTCATTTAGTGGTACCCTGTTTCATGTTGTATTCAAATTTTTGAGCGGGACCTGGACCTGTTTTTTTTTGCAAACGGGAAATATCAATTCAACCTAATTATCTTCGGGTTAATGAGCCAATTTTGGGCCGTTTCAAGAGAAACAATTTTTAACACTTCCTTGCGCCTTTTTCATTTTAGTTTTTTAATTTCCAATCGGTTTGTTGAAATTTATTTTTTTTCCTTATAGAAGTTTATTTGAAAAGTTTTTGTTTTTCTTAGAAACTTCATCTGATTTTCAAAAAAGGATATCAATTGAAAGACCGTCCACTCACCTGTGTGCCTGCTTAGTTTACTTGACCCCTCTCTGCCTGTCTTTGTTTACTTGACCCCTCTGTCAATGGCCCTTGGAAATGTGTGGGGGATTATTTGACGCATATTTTGATTGTTTTTTCCTTTTCTCGAAAACTACCATTCTCAAATATGAGTTCTGGTTTCAATGAATAGAACGCTTTCGAAAAATTTTCTTGCATAAGTAGCCACGCCTAAAATTTTTTACAGTTAAAGTTAAGGCCCTTGGAATAGCCAAATAATAATAATAGATTTTTGACAGTTTTTGAATCTTTTCGACTTTTCGCGAAAACTAATCTCTCAAACCTGATATTGTGTAATCAATGGAGATAACGGGTAGTGGTAAGCTCTTCTGCTATAGTGGACACGCAAACAAAAATTTACAAAAGAAGTTATCGCCCTCGGAAAAGTCAGTTCTTGATATTTTGTCCGGGTTTTAAAGTTTATGAATATTCTCGAAAACTCTTCTGCCATATCTGAGATTCTGGGTTCAACTCTCAGAACGGGCTGTGGGAAGATTATTTGCTTATGCGACTTAACCCAATTTTTTTGACATCAAATGTTTTGGCCCTCGGAAAAAATTATTGATTCGTGACCGTTTTTTTTGAAAGTTTTTGATTGTATCGAAAACTACCCTCGCAAATCTGAGATTTTGGGTTCAATCGAAAATACAGGTTGCTTGAATTGCTTCTGCGTAAGAGCTACCATACACACAAGCTTTGATTCTAGGAAGTTTTTGGTTTGCTGACCGTTTTTTGGACTTTTCTCGCAACTATCATGCCAAATCTGATATCTTAGGTTTAATCGAATGAAAAGCTTGTTGAAAGCCTACCTTTACAATTTGCTATGCCCATTTTGTTTGAGCAAAAAGTTTTCCTTCAAACAAGTCAAATTTGTTGAAACTTTGGCAGTCTTTGGAAACTTATTGACTTCGGCAAAATCTACCGTGCAATTCTAAGCTTGTGTTCAATCGCGAAGCCGGTTTTGTGAATCTTTTCTGCTTAAGTGTCCATAACCTGCTTTTTGTAGAAAAACGTTTTGGAAAGCCTTTGACCGTTTTTTTAGAATTTTTTTGAATTTTCTCATAGTTATGCACTCAAATCTGAGATGAAAAGTTCATTTGAACCGGCTGTGATTATTGATCCCACAGATAAATTTTTATAAGGTAAATGTTTTGTACTTGGGAAAATCGGTTAGCTCAAATAATTTTTTTCACTTATTTTAGTAGATAAACAGCTAAGGGTTTTCGGCAATATTCAACTTTTGAAATCGAACTTTTCGTGCCGCATCAGCATAGCAAATTCATTCATTTTCAACCACGTACCTCCAGCTTTAGCTGGGCCCCTAGTTGTTTTTCATTTCTCGAGACATACGAAAATTTTGGTCTACCAATTTTTTTTCAGCATCTAAATTTTTTTTCGACTTTTGTATGTTTGTGTTGTATCGCAAGTGGTGCTCCACTTTGCCTCTGAGTGAAATAGTGAGTGCGGAGATAAATACGTTTTAGGATCACTGAACTGAGGTAGAACTGTTTTGCTAAGAGTTTTGTATGTTTTCGAAGTATTATTAGATCAAAGGTGTTCGAGGGAGCTATTTTTCCACAGCCAGATAATATGAGCTAGGTATTGTTCTGTTTAATTTGCAGGTTTTGCCAATGAGCTCACCGTGGTTGGGGCGGCGTAATTCATGACGCTTGTGCCCACGGATTTGTAGGTTTTAACAAAGGGTTTATTTTGAACAACACCCGTTTCTTACTGGTCTATTTTTACTATAATATTCTTTGCTTTTTCAAACTTTCCCGCAGTGAGGGGAAAAAGTTTGAATATTATCACAGATAGCACCGATGTTATTTACTGTTTTTGTTGTGCAGCATTTGTAACTGCCTATCTTTGCTAGATTCTTGAAATTTATCTCAGCAAACCAATTTATCTCAGCAAACCATTCTCAGCAAACCATTCTGAAAGAAATACGGTCAACGAAGAGTTTAGGACGTTTTTGGTTGAGTCACGAGTTTAATTAATCAACGCCGTTGACATCAATGAGCGGTTGCAAACTTCGGCAATACTTCAACAGATGATTGCTTTCATATTTTCAAAGTAGCTCTATCTAGGTTGACTAAATAGTGGGTATCAAGGATGCAAAAATTAATCCAATGAGCTCCCTCTAGGAAGTTCTATTTTCCCCAAACCTCTTGGACCTTTATTTGAAATCGATACCATCTTCTTCTGAAAATGTTACAGTCATCACATATAATGACGATTTTACTCTCTACTCACATTGGGCACTCTGTAATGCGTACAAACTTTTCAGAAGAATATGACATGGATTTCATATAAAAGTCGAATTCAGCAAAATGATTCAGCAAAATAACACCCCATGAGGGACTCCACTAAATAAACAATTGCATGCTTAATGCACACTCTTTGTACTCAACACAGGTTGAAAATATGAAAGCAAACATCTGTCAGTGTAATTGCTGAGTTATGCGGCAGCTCATTGTGGGCTACAGAGCCAAAAGCTACCAAAAATTCAAGGGCAGAGTGTTCTCTAGCAAGGAGGTTGTAAGTTTTTAGTCCTCATCGGTACCGTCGTCAACCATGGAACAGTTTTTTTGAGCATGTGTATTTTAACGGTCCTCTCTTTCTATTCGATTTTTGTTTTTTGGTTGTAAGTTTACCAATCTGCTTAAATCCAATGAGTAAACGTTAATCAATGGTTCGAATCCGGCCAGGATCTGTTTTGATGTGTGAGTGAAAAATTGTCCGCGCGTCAAAAAATCGTTGTCGGACTTCTGTTTGTCTGTTAGTTTTTGTCGGCTTAATTACCGCAGCACCAAATTCTACTCGAATTAAAAAACATTTCAGTTTATTCCGGTTTTGGGCAAGTAATTGAGTCCAAGAAGTTTGGGGTATTTGTTGATATGTTTTGATTTTTTTCATGCTATTCCTTAAAATTTTTGAAAGTTGTTTTCTTTATAAATTATCTTTAAATTCATTAGTGCATTGGTAACACCCATGCGTGAGACGAAAAATCCAAGAATTTCGATTTCAGTCGGGCCCTTTTTATTGTCGAAACATAAATTTTTCGAATGTTCTAGACTTTCGTGTCTGCTAATTTTGGTCGGCTTAGGTCCCGCAAAAAGGTTCGATTTCTTTTTAGCATTTTGAAAGCTTTTAAGTTTCTAATGGTGCAGATAATTTTTAAGTCCTTTTTTTGCTATTTTTTTGGATAAAAATGATAGTCAAGATACACCGTTTTTTACACTAGCTAGCTTGCGAGTAAAGTGTATTAGTACAAGCCTTCTTTGTTTCTCACCTATTTAGTGGCACTTTTGCTATAATCGCGATCTGTAGTTGGAAATTTTATAGCATCTGTATTCTGCTTTATTTGTGGCTAGTGTTTGTGATTTGTTTAGCGTTCTAGTGCGTGAGACCCATAATCTCTAGGTCGCTGATCGTATTCGAGTTGTAGCCGAGTTCATACTAATTCGAGGCATATTTCTACTTTTTCTTTATACACTTTATAGAGCTTCTTTTTGTGTTCTGGCTAGTGTTTGCGGAATTTCTCTTTGTGAAAACATTGTTTCGTTTGAACGTATGTCTGCTCAAGAGTTGTCGACTTCGTTGCCTTTTCGAAAGTTTTATTTTGATGCTGATTTGTTATTCAATTATCATACTGTGCTGGTTTTGTTTCTGTTTGAGATGAAGATATGAAAGTTTCTATTGATCATTTTTCCCGCATTTTTTCAAAAAACGAAAATCATTCTTTTGCAGCTTTCATCTCATTTGGTGTCGGTTAGTTTTGTTATGCTAAGTTTGTGTCGTATAGCGAGTAGTGCAAAGCTTCGTTTTGTCTCTGTATTTACTTTGCCTCTCAGGAAATTCGAAGATGTTGCTTTGGAGCAATTTTTTTTGAAAACCCTGTTGGTTTGTTACGAGTAAGAGGCTTCTGACAAATTGTAGAAGAAGAAGGCGCCCAGGTATTTTAGCCACGGGGAAAGGAGTGCAGATGAGTCACAGTCTTTAAATTTATTTAGTTCTTTACCCGGCTTTGGTAGTGGATTCATTCTCGCTGCGTATGTATACCATAGCTGTTGTAATTTACCGGTTTTGGCTTTGAGTTGGATGTTTTTATTAGCAATTAACAGCCTTACGATTAACTTTACATTCTAGCAATTTTTGAGGTGGTTGTTTCTGCTTGCAAGGTTTTTGAAATTAACTTCTGCACATCATGATGTAAAAAACTTAAATTCAGTTTTTTCTAAATGCGTTTTTCGAGAAATGTGTGTCACTTGAAATATGTTTATGGCGAGTTTCTCTGCTTCATAGGGGAAGAGGGGGAAGTTACAGAGGTCCTTGGAATCCTTTTGAATTTTTTCACTAATAGGCTTTAAAATTAATTGGCGTTTCATGTGACACATGTTTAGAAGTCTGTGTTGACATGTTTAAGCTGTTTCAACGTTTCATTTTTTGCAGGTTTAACGAAAAAAATTGAATTAAAAAAAAACAAACCGATTGAATGGAGTGGTTTTGTCAGGGTACTTTCAGGAGGTACTGTCAGGGTACAAATCTGGTCTCTAAGCTTATGCTCAAATCATTCTTGGTTCCAAGATATGGCTTTTCTCGTGATTTTTCAATACTTTTAAAAAAAAAACAGTAGAAAAGTAATATCTAAGCCTTCTGTGGGATGCTGCTAGGAAAACAAATAGGATAGCCAATCTGTCCTCTAATTTAAGCTGCTTAAATTCTTTTGATTTTTGAGAAATGGCATTTTTTATGAACAAAGAAAACTCTCATAGATGAGCCCAGTTGATCTTCACGGTTGCATTAAATATTGCTGTTTTAGTACATGTTGTAGGAAGTTCGTTTTACGCTTAACGATCTCTTTGAAGCACCGTGGGTGCGACTTTTGCGCTTGTAGGCTTTAAAATATATATTTTTTCCGAGCTAAGCTTGCTAGTTTGCTCTGTTTAGGGACACGTTGCCAGTTATCTTGTTTTTTTTTGGTGTCAAGCTCGTTGCCTGTGTAGGCAAGTATACCCGTTTGCTGTGCAAATATCTGGAGTTTTTAAAAATTTGGGGGAGGAAAACAGTTAATTGCTAAATTATCAAAGCGACCATAGCTTAATTAATATAAAAAGATGAGAGGGATTTCGCCTTAATCACTCTCCTATGCTGAAAATTTGTCTTGAAAATAGAAATTTTCGGCCCAATTTTTCTCGAAACAAGTTGTTAAAGGTTTTTTTTTGAAATGGTATCACGGCTAAAAGATTTCATGTGATATATCAGTCGACCACATGTGACCTTTATTTGTGGTTAGTTTTTTTTGTTATTGGAGACACACTAATAATTTTCTTTCTGTCCAAAGAGTACGCGAATGCCTGGGTTTTTGGCTTAAATGTGTATTCCATGTATAAAATAGTTTCCAAAGCAACATTTTGAAGAACAATTTATAACGCAACTTTGAAGCATGGAAAATTTTAGATTTATTTTGTTTATGGAATGGCTCTAGTTAGCGAGGAAAGTTCTAAATCTCAAAGTAGTTTGGGATCTTTCAAAACACTCGGACTTGATCCAAGAATATTGAAGTCATTGCGAAAACTCAAGTGGGAAAGTCCGACTGCAATCCAAGCTAGTGCTCTTCCTTTGGCACTGTCCGGAAAAGATCTTCTGATCCAGGCTACAACTGGGAGTGGAAAAACTGCTATTTTTGTGCTTCCTATGGTCCAGAAAATTCTGCAGATCAAAGAATCGAAAACTAAGGAAGCGAAAAGCAATTCAGTCCTAGCTTTGGTGTTGTGTCCTACGAAAGAATTGTGCATTCAAACAGAAGAATGTTTTGTTCAGGCTACGAAAACATTTCCAGGTATAATTGTGTTTCGAAGTTTAGACCCGACGGAGGCTAAAAGTGGGGTATTTTCATCTCTCGAAGTGCAATTTCCAGACGTGCTGATTGGGACTCCACGTCAAGTTTCTAGATGTCTTAGCAGCTTTTCTGGAAAGATCATCCGCAAAGTGAAATTGGTAGCCATCGATGAAGCAGATGCAATGTTTTCATGTGGGTTTGAGAAAGATCTTCGGGAGACATTAAGCCATGCTGGCCGCAATTTTCAATCAATCGTACTTTCTGCCACTTTGAGTAAAGAAGTAGCTATTATCAAGACGCTTTTACCGCATAATTTAGCGTTGGTAAGATTGCTGAACCAAGAGCTACCAGAAAAGAAACAATTGAAGCAGCTGTGTTTGAGAGTCCAACACAAGACTGCCAAATTTTGTGTACTACTGCATTTGTTGAAGTTTGAGAAAATACGGGGCAAATGTCTTGTGTTTTGTAATAATATCAAAAGTTCCTACAAATTGAAGTTATTTTTGGACAGCTTCAAGTTTTACAGTTGTGTTTTGAATGACCAGTTGCCTTTCAACTCGAGACACAGTGTAGTTGAGTTGTTCAATTCGGACCAGTACGACATCATCATTGCGACTGATCTGGCTGCTCAATCTTTTCGCAGCGAGAAGAAAAAACACACAGACCAGGAGTTCTCCTTATCCAGAGGAATCGACTTCCAAAATGTATCCCTGGTGCTGAACTTCGACTTCCCAACTGACTCTTCGGTGTACATTCACAGAGCAGGCAGGACTGCCAGAGGAGCGAAGAGGGGAACTGTGCTGTCTTTAATAATGCCGTCAGACGAAGCAGCGCTTACAGCTGTACAGGTTCGGTAAACAATATATGCCAAATGCTTGAGGATAATTTTTGGATCAATCAAATTCTGGGTTGACTGAATACCAAAACACGCATACACACCCCCCCTTCCCCCCTATGGTACCTTGTATCGAATCTCGCCCCTATAAAAAAAGAAATGAACAGTTAAGCATATACGAATTTTGTACCTTGTTAAATTACTATGAAAGTGTATATAACTTGTTTGTGCATATTGCTGATCGTTTTTTCTGTCTAAAAACCAATATTGATCTTTTCACGCAAATTTCATTTTTTTATGGGACCGCATGGAGTACTTCTAGATGAGTTTTGTCATACCATAATTCTTAACTATTGCCAAAAGCGCGAATAGTACCAAACTCCTGACGATGCGTAAATTGTTCGTAAAGATGCACAAATTCCTAAAGATGATAAACTCCTCAAGATGCTTATATTGAGATTTGTCTTAGGTAACATTTTAAAAAATGTTGAAACTTCTAAAGAGCATTTTCGCAGGATTTACAAATAAGTATACACCTGTCAAGAACTTTTTAAATATACCCTCTTTTTCCATACCTGATACGCTCTGTAATCGATATTTTTTCAACTCGATTATTTTTGAAAGAATTTTGTTTATACTCTAGGAACGATTAAAAAGTGACAGCGACGATGCGACAGAGGAATCAGAAAATGCAGTTGAGGATTACTTTGTCGATATGGCCGAAGTAGACAAACTTGTGTACAGAGTGAACGACGTGCTCTCGTCTCTCTCTAACAAGACCATCCGAAGTGCACAGCTTCAGGAGATACACACGGAGCTGCTGCAGTCTGAGAAACTTAAGAAGCACTTCAAAAAACACCCCAGTGACCTGGTGGCCGTGCAACATGGAAACAACCAGACTGGAAGCAAACTCAAGAGGAAGTTCGAAGACATCTCAGAGTTTCCGGAGTACCTGGCTCCCACGAAACTATCCACTAGTGATGCCGGAATTGAAGAGGTCCAGAGCGATACACGGGGTGTCTTAGGAGAGAGCAAAGATGACGGAGGAGCTTGGGACCGGAAAAAGGCGAAGAAACAGCTGCAGAAGGAAACTCTAGATTACTACAAGAAACTAGGTCTCCTGAAGAAAGGCAAAAAGCAGAGTAGAAACAAAGATCCCCTCAAGTGTCTATGATATCTTGGTAGATTTTTACGATGTCAATGTTTAAGTGCAAGAATCTTCGCAACCATCCCGCGGATCCAGAAAAAAGACTGATTTGGATTGCTTTGAAAAACATTCGTCATAAAATTATCTTATCAAATCTTCGTTTATGGCAACTTAGTTGAAATTATTTGGAAGATTTGAAGTATCAGAAAATGAATGTACTCATGGCCCAATTTTTCATATAAAAAGGAGGAGCCCTAAATTCGGATAAGGTTGAGTGAGATAGAAGATAGATGATAGTTCACTTTCAGACATAAGTCGAACTGAATCTTTTCAATATCTAGAAAAAATGTTTTAAATTAATTTAAAAGCAGACTGGGGGTATCGCAGGCTCTACCTTGGTTGCATTTTAGAAAAATCTTTGAGGTACTTATGCGTCTTGCGTAAATTAAGCTACCCGCGTTTGAACCTAACAAAATCAAATTTAACTAATGAATGCTTTTATTACTTAAGAGTCTTATGTACATGTTTGATTTCTATGCCAAAAAATACAAGAGAAGGTATTCAATCGATTTTCAACAATTTGAAATTCGGACAAATTTTAATCATTCATAATAGTTCATTTAATAAGTAGTTTAATCTAAGTTATCATTAAATGTTCGTGACAGTGAGGCGGCAGTTCGAAACAGGCGACAGTTCGTAACATGCAAATAACGGATAGTTATGAATTCAGATTGGTTCTAATTTTTACCAGTTACAAATTGTCGCCCAAAACTTTCTAGCCCCTTATTTTCAAAATTTGTCAAAAGGTGTTTTAAAAGTTTTTATTCACTTGTTTCTCCAATTTTGTAAGTGGTCGAAGCATTCTAGGCAGAAACGGCGTAACCTGTTTATATTGAACATAGTATATCCTGTCTTACAAGAGAGACCTTGCCTGCAATGAATAGATCGATAAAAATACTAAAGAAACAAAATGTAATGAACCATTGATCTGAGTTTTAAAAATTGGTCTTCATAGAGCAGCATGATTTTTTTTACACTGGCGATAATTGATTTGCGGAACGAAACATGTCATCAAATTTGATGAAGTTATAACAAATCATAGCCCATTTCCGCGTTACAACTTTGAACTAAATTAACACACCGGTGCGCTTGAAATAATCCAGCAGTTAGATTAAAATCTAAAATCAGGAGCAGTGGAGGTAGCAGGTAGGAAAACACGCCTGAAAATTATGTGACTCAGCAGCACTGCTAAACATGGAAAAAATCCGCGACAGTCTGCTTCATAATCTGCGCGATTCTAATCTGAACGATATCGAACGGTAAGTTTCTCAAATTAATTCAAAAAAATAGGTTTGTTTTATACTGATTATTGGGAAGCTAATTTCGCCATTTCTTTTTTTAATGTTCTAAGGGAGGATCTGGAACTTTTGCGAGGGTTTAGCGTTGTCCTTAACTTGAGATTGTCAATTAAAAGTAATTTGAATGAGGAAACTGAGTCAAAGCTATATGCACAATTCGTTGTTCCTACCACGAAATGTGCAGGAATTTCCTACGCTGCTTTTTTCAGTTTTTAACGAAAAAATGATGCGCTACAATTAAGTGGGAACCAGAGTTGAATGATGTATCTATTTGAAACCATTGCAGTCAAATCGATCAATGTTCATCGGGAAAAGCAAGTGTATTGCAAGCTAGTACTGGATTTTTTTTGCGTAAATAACTATGTTCACAGGATGACTGAAATTGGTCGTGGTATCAAATTAGTTCACGGTTGCATTCTACCAGCGGAATATAATTCCTGATGTGTTGTCTTAGTTCTGAACCTTTTACTGAAGTTGCAAAAGAAGTAAATAGATGTTTTATCGGTTATGTTGATGACGTAAGTTTACTGGCTGGCTGTTTTTTTTTTCAGCAAACTTTCAATCATTTTTTCATTTTACTCGTATAAAAAAGCAATGAATGGAAGTGTTCATTAAAAATGAATCAAAAGATTGATGTCTGATATTGAAGGTTTCCGAAGGAGTTCTAGAAACTTCCTTCATCTTCAATAACAAGCCTGTGTTGAAATATTTTACTGCGAATTATGCTTTTATCAGCATTATTTTTAATGAACACTTCCATTCAGAAGCCAGTGACTCAAAAGTTTTAAACTTTGATATAGTGTTTTGATTCGCAAGTTTAAGAAATTGATCATTTAGATTTTAAAAATTTACATTTAAAAATTATGTGCCACTGGCTCCTGTAATACTTGTGCGGAAACCAGTTATTGTTAATTTAAGAGAGATTTCAGCGAAAAGGTTTTCGTTCGGGACTTTGTATTCCGACTATTTAAAAAAATATGGAGGAATTTCTTATTCAGGTGTTTTAGTTTTTCATTTTCCACCCAAAATCAGGTAGCACAAATCATCGGAATGGTTCGAGTGATATATCATGTTACTGCCTTTTAAGTCCTGATTTCAAAGAAATTAAAAAATTTGAAAAAGTTGTCTGTGTTGAGAAAAGCCAGTGTCGAGAAAAAAGTTTTCGCGGTGTCGAGAAAAAACAGTGTAGTGAAAAACTCAGTGTCATGAAAAACTCAGTGTCGAGAAAAATCAGTGTTGAGAAAAAGTCAGTCTTTTTTTTCTATTTACTTGTGTTCATTGACCCTTTTCCAACTGTCTGTTGGCTAAGTGTGTTGTTTCAGGAAAAACCTAAAAGATTGTTAGTCTCTTAGCTACTAAGTTATCACCCTATTGCAACCGGTTACTCGACTTTTTTCCCGTCAAGATTTTTGTCCACAGGACTCGTCTGGACTCATCTCTACCCTGTTTACACTTGCGAAGCAATATATTATAGTACGAACTTTCTTTTTTTCCAACCTAAGTCGCAAATATTGTTGCGACTTAGTCGCAATTGTTGTTGCGACTTAAAGCAGCAATATTTGCTGCACCGAATTGGCAATAAGATTTTTTGATATTTTGTTGCACCTTTGATATTTAGTTGCTTTAACATTCGAATAGTTATAAGTTTACACAGTTGATGCATTTTTAATTCATCAAGTGAACCGAAGAAAGCTATTTATTTCAAACAACATAACAATACTAAAATGTCGATTTCAGAAATTTTTCAACTCAATATATCTCGCAATTTTTTGAAATGCATAATTTATACATGTGGCTTTATGATTTGCGATTTTTTACATGCAAAATTTTACCTTTTTGTATTAGATGCTTTTTTTGTTGCATCGAATTAGCAATTTGTTAGCATATGTAGCTGCATTATTGATAGCTAGTTTTTGGGGATTTCAAGCATTCGTGGCTGAGTGGTTAGTGCGTGAGATTCAAGTTTGCTAGGTCGCAGATTTTTGCTAATTCGAGTTTTTGCTAAGCCTCGAGTTTTGCAAATTCGAGGCTTATTTCTACTTTTCATGTGTCATTTGATAGCTGCTTTTTGGTCGTGTTTTCTCAAATGTTTGCGAAGCACAGCTTTGCCTCTGTGTTCCTTATGTATTCAAATTTTTAGTGTTCCCGGCCAATTTAGTCTGTAGGTAACGAATATGCCTGGGACGCCAAGTGTCCTGGGTTCGAGTCTGACCAGGACCTGTTTTTTTTTAAATGGGTTATATTCTGTTTCAATAAAAAAATTGTCGATTAATTATTTGTCAGCTTATCTGTTGTCGGCTTTTTTTCTGATCTTGGAATTGTTGTTTATAGTGCTTGAATTACGCCTATATTTTGTAATTTTACTTACCATGACTTTTTATTTCCTCACTTTTTTTTGTTTCGTTTAAAAAATTCCTCGGCCAAATATTATTCCGCCTATTTTTTCATCGGTGTAATGACCTAATTTGGGGTCGTTTCAAAATCAACACAATTTTAGCACTCCGCTCCGCACTTTTTAACTAAGTTGTATGTTTACCAATCTGTTTGTTGAAATTTCATTTTTTTCGTTTTGGAATTTTTTTTACTGTTTGCAAAAATTTGATTTTTTGGTTTCAATGGATAGAACTGTTTCAAAAAGCTCCGCTGCATAAGTGACTAGGACTTAAATTTTTTTTGCTTGTTACGGTCCTTGAAATAAATTTTTATTTTTTGACCGTTTTGTGGATCTTTTCGTTTTTTCTCAAAAACTAACCTCTCATCTCTGATATTGTGAGTTGAATAAGATAGCCTATAGGAGGAAGCTCCTCTGCATTAGCGGACACCAACAAAATGTTTTAAAAAAGAAGTTAGTACCCTCTGAAAGGTCAAACTGCTAGTTTTTTAAAAACTTGAATATTCTCGAAAACTACCCTGCCACACCTAAGATTTTTGGTTCAATTCTCAGAAAAGGCTTCGGGATCTTCATTTGATTTTGCTACTACGCACAATTTTTTTGACTCCAAGAATTATGGCCCTCGGAAAAATAAAAAGTTTGATTTTGTGACTGTTTTTTTTTAAAGATTTCAACTTTTCTCGAAAACTACCCTCCCAAATCTAAGATTTTGGTTTCAATCGAAAGGACGTGGTGTGGGGAGCGCCCAGGCAGTCTCGATTACTCGCAAAAAATATATTACAAATTTTTTTGACCCTCGTAACAGTCAAAATTTCGATTTTTGTCCTAAATCTGATATTTTAGGTTCAATGGGGTAACGGGTTATGGGAAGCTCCTCTGTATTAGCGGACACTAACAAAAAGTTTTACGCAAGAACATATTGCCCTCTGAAAATTCAAACATTCAGTTTTTTAACCGTCTCTCAAACTTTTTGAATATTCTCGAAAACTACCCTGCCATACCTAAGATTTTGGGTTCAATTTTCAAATGGGCTTCGGGAAGTTAATTTGCTTTTGCTACTACGTCCAAATTTTTTGACTCCAAAAGTTATGGCCCTCGGAAAAGTAAACAGTTCGATTTTGTGACCGTTTTTTTTTTTGAAAAATTTTAACTTTTCTCGAAAACTACCCTCCCAAATCTGAGATCTGGTATCAATCGAAAGGTCTTGTTGTGGGGAGCTCCCATGCTGAAGCGATTACACCCAAAATAAATAACACAAACATTTTTGTCCCTCGGAAACGTCCAAATATTAATTTATTTCCCAAATCTGATATTGTGGGTTCAATGAGATTACGGGTAGTGAGAAGCTCCTCTACATTAGCGGACACTAGCGAAAAGTTTTACACAAGAAATAATTGCCCTCTGAAAAATCAAATTTTTGAATTTTTGACCATTATAAATTTTTTCAACATTCTCAAAAACTACCCTGCTATACCTGATGTTTTGAGTTCAAATGGTTTGGATTTTGGAAAGTCTTTTGAACCTTTTTTTTTAGAACTTGTGACCGCTTTTTAGAAACTTTTTTTTAATTTTGTTAAATCTTACTTAATCAAATCTGAGATGAAAAGTTCCATTGAAGTAACGGGTTGCGATATATTTTCCCGCAGAAGCAGCGATTCCTCAACTTTTTGTTAGAGAATTTTCTATCTTTTTGGGAAAATTGATTTTCTCAAAATTTCTTTTCACTTATTTTAGTAGAGGAACAGCTAATTTTTTAGGCAACCCAATTTTTGAAATCACTCTTTTCGTGCCGCATCAGTATAGCAAACTCATTCAATAAAGCTTTAGCTGGTCCTCTAGTTGTTTTTATCAAGACTTACGAAAGTTTTGGTTCACCTAGTTTTCAGTATCTAAAATTGTCTCATTTTTTACTGTCTTTTTGTTTGTATTGTATCGCAAGTGATGCGAAGCTCCGCGTCGTCTCTGTGTTTTTTCGTACTTTAAGCCGTGATGATTTAGCGTTTCTTGGTTATAGTTCGTTTTTGGAGTTTTTTACTTTTAAAAAAACTTTTGACCCTTGGTCTAATTGTCAGCTAATAAGGTGAGCGTGCATGCTTGCATGAGGTAGTTTATTCTTACTATTAGCTGTGAAAATTTAGCTTTTCTTGATTAAAATTAGTTTTTTGGAGTTTTTTTAGCGCCAGTTTGAACATTTAAAAAACAAATTTTTAACCTTTTTTTTCATTTTCTTGTCAATTTTCTAAAAAAAGTTGTACTCCAATTGGGCTATTTACCGTTGCGATAAGCAAGGGTATTGCAATCGGGTTCTGTACTTTTTTTCGTAAATAACTTGAACCACAGAATGGTCAATTTTGTCAGAATGGTAAATTTCAAGACATGCACAGTTTCTGAAAATTCAAATCAAACTACTTCATCTAGGTAGTAAACAGGTGGAGTACATGTCAGTCATAAATTAATTTTTCAAATGGAAAAACCTTTGAAAAATGTGATTTTTTCGGTTTTGTGGTGTTCGGCCTAGTTTCAGCTGCCCCTTTTTTTTCTAAAATGGCATTTGTTTTTATCTGGTACTGGTTTTTATCGTCATAATGTGTAAAACATGGATTTGATTTAAGTTCAAATTGTGTCTTTTTTCTAATTGAAAGTTCTGTAATTTGCCATTTTAACAAACCTGAATTCGTATATATATTTTTTTTTTCAATTAAACGATTTCGGCGTAAGAAAGCGGTATCGACTCAGTCAACTTATATTGTGTAGTTTCGATTGCCCAAAAATTTTTGTTCGGTAAAATTAGTTATTATGCAAATGTGTGTGACTGGGTGTTTTTATTTTTTTTTACTTCAGTGGAAAACTATTTTCTATTTTCAAAAATCGGGTTTCAATGCGAAGACCGACCACTCGTACTCTGCGTGTCTGCATAGTCCCCTCGTATTTTTACCTTGCCCTACTGTCTCTAGCCTTCGAAAAAGTCTGTGGGGGAATATTTGACCCATATTTTTAGGATTTTCTTGTTTTCTCAAAAACTACTCTCCCAAATCGGATATTTGTGTGCAATGAATAAAATGGGTTGGAAAAAGCTCTCTTCCACAAGTGGCTCCCCTCAAGTTTTTTTACAGAGTAAGTTCTGGCTCTCGGACTAGTCAAATATTTGAATTTTTGATCGTTTATTTATTCTTTTTGATTTTTCTCGAAAACTACCTGCCCAAACCTGAGTTTTTGCGTTCAATCGAAACAACAGTTTATATGAATCTTCTTTACTGCATAAACAGCTACAGCCAGCACAAAAGTGTGATTCTCGGTTTTTGATTTATTCACCGTTTTTTGGAAACTTGACTTTTCTCGAAAACTACCCTGCCAATTCCTAAGTAAAATTGTTCAATCGAGATGGCTGGTTTTGAGAGTTTTTAATTTTTTAATTTACCCATTTCATCCCGCATCTGTAAAAAAAATTCCGGAAATATCAAAAAGCTAGCTTTAGCTGGGCCCCTAGTTATTTTTATTGAGACATACGAACAAAGCGGCAAAAGGAGCTCTGTTCGCTAAAAACGCAGTTATTACTCAAGGCAGATAATTCGTTTTATCTGTTCTCATGTAGCTTCGTATCGTATTTTTTTCAGGTAGTTTTGTAAAATTTATCCTTTATACTCATTTCAGAAGATTTTTTTTCTGTATTTTTTTTTTCGCTGACGATGGCTATTTGTTTTGAATATGATTATGGTTTTTTATTCTGAAGCATGCTGATCTCCTTTTCTATTCATATTTGTGGACGTAATTAAACAGATAATTCTCGGATGATTTTGTGTGTCATTTGGCACCATATGTTCTCCCGGTTTAAAAAGTAAAAAATTGAACAAAAAAATGAAAATAAGAGAGGTGGATTGTACAGTTTAATTAACATTATGAAATACACAGCTCCTCACAGCTCAGTTCCTACTAAATTGGAATAAAAATGGAATTTGTGTGATTTAAAAACTTCTAATACTTCAAATTATGGCATACTTTGAAAAGTAGCTTGTCCATGACGTGACGTGACAAAAGTTTAGTCTTATTTTCTTTTCAATTTGTTGCGCTTTTTCCGACTGAATGACTTTTTTTGGTTTGAAATGAAGTTGGAATTGAACAAACATGTGAGAAAGGATAAGCACACTTGTGCCATTTCATTTCAGCTCAAGAAGGAATCATCCAAAGGATATTTTCTTTTACTCTAAAACGAACTCCGCCATAAAACATGCTTATAATTCAAACTCGATAATAGCACAAATCGACACCAGTTGAGTTTAAAAAATACATTTACTCAAAACTAACCATGTGAAAAGTTATATATTTCAAAAGTTTAAACATACAAGCAGTGTTTGCTCTTTTTATTGTAATTTTTATTTCGCTGTCATTTTTATTTTTAATTTTTTAATTTCGGTTTGTGATCTTCCAAAATTGGCTTCAAACGTCTCGACCAGGCACTGTCTTAGATCCAAACCGCTTTTTATCTCGTGTCTAACGTTAGATTAATTTAATCTTGACAAGGTTAGTTCGTCTTCTTAGTTGTTTTGGTTGTACGATACAACGTTTAAAAAATCAGAAAAAAATTGCTCTTAAATCGCAGGCAAAAAATTGCCCGGTGGTAAAAGCCACTCGTACAAAATCAGAAGTGACTTAAAATGATCAGAGCTTTTCAAAAGCATTGGCTGCTAAATTTGAAGCGTAATATGGGTCAACAGCTCTCCAAGCTCAACTCTCGTACAGACCAACCTAGTATTTTAATTTTTGTTTTAATATTTTTTCCGGTCTGATTTTTGAAGATAATGGAGCCTATTAAAGATTGTTGTGGTTTAAAAGAGATTGAAAAAAAAAACATACAATTTCGGCAAATATTAAAATCCGACATGCATGGGTTTTTTTTGCGGCAGCAAATATGGAGAGGTAATTTTTGCATGAATAAATGCATGTGACCGTTTGTTTTAGCTCGTAGTGATTTGCACCTTTGATCGGCGTACAGCTCACGAAAATTCTGGGCGGTGGCGTTTACCGACTTTAAACTTTTTTTTTCGACCCAAGTGACAGAAGTTGTTTATCCATTGGCTGGATTTGAAAAGAGGAGCAACTCCAGCTGAGTCCAGCAGAACATGTCTGCAGGGTAAGTTTTAGTCTTTTTCGGCCTCCAAAAAACCAAAGCAAAACTGTTTTTGGAGCAAAGAAGTTTTTTTCCTTTTTAACAGAGATATATTTTTGAAGTCCTTACGACGGAAATGGCTTTAAGTTGATGCATGGCTCGATTCCATCGGACGATTCGCTAGAGTAGCTAAAATTGGGTCAAAAAAGTACATCGAAACTAGAGTTCTTTCCTGCTACTTTCAGGAGCCTGGTCGGACAAACAAGGAATTGTAGGAATCGTAAGAAAACCTGCTTAAGTTGCTATAAATTTCTTCGTTTTGTGGAGAGTCAGAGACATTGTTATATTTTTAAATTTTTTCCCAATTTGACTACCCTAAATTAGTTGGCTCGCATTTGAATTAACGGTTGAATTTTAAAACATTGACGGGTTCAGTTTTGAACAATCGTTTTTGAACGCAGAGAGTTTAACATAAAATAATTTTTTTTTTAATTCTAGGGGCAGTACAACAGTGCCGGAGTACGACAGTACCAAAAATCATTTTGTTGTTCAATAGTGCCGAAAGTTATTTTGAATACTGTTTTTACTCATCTCACTGGCAAGTGATTATTTTCAAATGGACGGAATTTGAAACGATGAAAATGGCCATATCAATTAATGCAGCTTGTAAAACAAACAAAAGTTCCCCAAGCGCGGCGTCATATGTTTTTTCTGAGCAAACAATTATCCTCAGCAAATTGTCACAATTTCTTCCTGGTTTTGTTTCAAAACAAAACAGTATTCCCGCAAAACTGCCAACGAATCACAAAAAGAACCCGAAATTCCCAAATATGATCAATTTTTGAGACTGTTGAACACGTTTTCAGTTTCAGCACTGTTGTACTTCGGCACCGTTGAACGCCACCATATTCTCTTCTCAAAAATTTTGAATAGAAGAAGGCTCACTAAATGATTGCCAATTTTTTGTCGCTCTTAAGAAATGTAATGGAATGTTTTTAAAAAGTTTTCTGTGTAATATTTTAAATTTTTTCTTAATTAAACTGTACTGAGGTTGTATGATAATTTGAATGTTGTATTGATTATTACACTTGTTGTACTTTAAATACAGGATCGAATAACTTTTTTACAACCTAAGTTTCAATTCTTGAGTTTAATTGTTGTAAGCAGTTTAGTTTCCTTTTGAAGATTTCAACTATCAGTAGCTTTATACGTTTTATTAAAGCACATTCCTTGTTGCCAGGTCATAATTTTTTCGGCTTTCGCTCGCTGTGGTTTTTCTCTAGACAAGTTGCTATATATCAAACTTTAAAGGATGTCTTAACTGCAATCATTTTTTATAATTTTTTGGAATAATTTTCTTGAAACAATTTCCTGAAAATTTCTTGAAATCTGTTTTTTTTTGTTATTTAGATTGAAACGAATGCGCGGGTCCCTAAAACATTGACTTTGAAAAGAACAGATAATACCAGTTCAATTAAAATTTTAGATAAACTTTTTAAAAAGGGGCATAGGAAATTAGACGAGAAGCAAACTTGATGCCGCTCATTGAAAGAAATTTGGGCGAATTTATAAAAGTACTATTACGAGAAAATAAACGAAATATGCTTAAAGAAAATTAAAATATACCAATTTTACGTGCCACTCTTGCATATTTCATGCATTTCAAAATTGTATTATATTTTTTCGATCAAACGTTTTGTCATGAATAAAAAAAATTTTCATCATAAATAGGTTGAACGGCTAAATTAGTTTTTAATGTTGTCCTAATTTCGTGTCATCTAACTGTTTTACCACCGTATTACGTTAAATCGCAATACGCTTGTTGAATACTTTTCTGATCAGATAATTCAGCTTTATTAAAATCATCGATTTGCTTGTCCCCTAGTTTCTTAATCCTTTTTCCAATAGAATTAGTCTGACCTGGTAATTCAAAATTTTAATGAAAAAATGACTACCCTATCAGTCTCGTACAATTTTTGAAATTGTTTATTGGAAAATTTTCTTTTTTTTTAAATCTCTAATTGCGATAATTACCCTTGCGATAAGCAAGAGTATTGAAATCAGGTACTAGACGTTTTTCCCGTAAACAACTTTGTCTACAGGAAGATTAAAATTTCGTAATGTCCAAATGCATCTCTATTTGTACCCAACTTGCACGTCTAACAGCTGTAATTCAACAGGTAGACTCAGCGACTGAATTGATAATTGTTTTACAGCTAAAAAAAGTTTTCAGATGCAAATCGATTTTTTGTCGGCTTTATTGTTTTCGACCCAATTTTTGTCGGCTTGCTTGCCGGGTAATTATATCTTTTTTTTGGTAGTTTTTTTTAGTACATTTTTTCTTCATTTTCATGAGCATAAATATAGTTCATGGTTTTCTGGTTTTTTATAGGCGCCAAAATATTCTGCTAGAAGTAAAATTTTTCGGAATTTTTGTGCTGGAATTTTTCTGCAATAAATATTAATTTTTGTTGTGATCTAGCTCTCTTACCGTTGCGAATAATTCTTAATTGATAGCTCTTAAAATGATTGCGTTATTCTCATAGGCTTTTAGAGTTTTTTTCTGATTTTTGGCAAGCTCTTTTCTGTGACAGTTGTTTGTAATTTTTGCTTTCATGTTTTTGAAATTTTGTTATTCGTTTTTTTTTTAAATTTTATACTATAGCATTTTGCGAATAGAGCCGTTCACCCCCCGATTTTTCTTGTTGGATATGCAGATTGTTCGGTTGCAAGATTTAATGAACAGTTTTTGAGTACATTTAGGATTTTTTGATCTCAATTTTTTTATTCTTAATGTTTTCATCGATTGGTTATCAGAAAAAAATGGATAGATTTAAGCCCAAATTCTTCTTTTGTGTTGAAGGTAATTGATTTCTATAACATTTGCAATAAAAATTTTGTTGACTTTTTCGACTACGATTTCTTCAAAAAAATTCATTCAAATTTTCAATTTTTAAGTTAGAGCCACTTTATACTTTGATTTTTGGAGCTTTATTGTGCATCGCAAGTGGCGTAAAGCTCAGTTTTGCCTCTCTCTGTGTAAATATATGTAATCCTGCATTTTTTGTTTAGAGTTAATTGCATGGACCGTTTTTAAAACCGCATCAAAGAGTTTTTCTTCAGGTATATATATATATATATATATATATATATATATATATATATATATATATATATATATATATATTGCGTTATGGTGCTTTGCTTTTAAAACTAACTTCTAAGGCGCACTCTCCAAAAATGAAATTGAAAATGAAGCAAAACTTAGGTTCTGGGTTTCAAGAGTTCGTTTCATCTCGAAACAATCAGCGGATGAAAAATACTTTTGTGTCAGTTTTTTTCCAACCACATCCACGAAGTGGGAATGAACTATGGCGCACAATTTTTTTGACAAACTTTTGTCATTTTATCTAAAGAAAACTCCTTGGGGTCAAATGTGGTATCATAACGAAACCCTATTGATGGTAATTTGAATTCTAAAATTTGCAAAAACTTTTTCCGGTGTCGGGATAAACTGGGAGATAAAATGGAGTTTTTGACTATTCAATTCACAACATCATCATCATCATCATCAACGTTTTGTGTCTTTTTCCCGTGCTACACGGGGTTAGACAACAATGCCTTCCACAAATCCCTGTCCATGGCTTCCTCCTTTTTCAGTCCCAGCAAGGATAGGTCTTCCTCTATTGTTTTGTCCCATGTCTTCTTCGGCCTACCCTTTGATCTGGGTCCGGGGACACAAACGTTTGTTAGCGCATTTGCAAGGAGCACGCTCCTCTGAGTGTGCCCGAACCATCGAAGACGGGACCTCCTCAAATAAATGTCTAGATGGTCAATTCACAACAAAGTTATGTAATTAAATCAAAGATGTAAATAGTAAGAATTTAGTTTATTTAAGAGTTGAACTTTATGAGAATTGAAGTGTTTTACGTCCTATAATGAATTCGAAATTTGAAATTTAAATCCTATTTTCTGTAACTAATATGCTTCATTACATTTTGCTTACATTTTCATGACTATGCTGACTAGGTGTTTTCTTTTTGTTTCTGATATGTGCTTGAAGTCTTAAGATGTTACTGGCAAATTGCGTAGGTTTCTAAGCATTTGAATCATTACGTAATATATTGGTTGATTTTGTTTTGATCAGGCAGTGGGAAATAACTTCGTTAATTTCGGGTGTTTTAAACGCAAAGAAAAAGCTTTGAATATATCTATTTTAGCCGATAAATATTTTCAACTTAATTGTTTTGCGATCAAGCTATTGCTTATAAAACTTCAATTTTAATTTGTTGAAATCCACTTTTCGTCGACCAACATTAAATTTTTTTCTGAAGGAATTTTCAACGCCAAAATACACTAAGCTTGAAGCAGGTGTGGGCGCCGAAAAAACCCAATTTTAGGTCAACATTTTTCAAAAGATGCCAGAACTGTTTTTCGGAGTAGCTGATTGTTGTATATGTTTCATATTTTTAGAAGAAGGAAAAAAGATGTTATTTCTCATCGTAACAAATTACATTACAAATTTCAAAAACTCACTCACAACATGGCATGATACTGGTAAATTGAAACTTAGAGTGGACAGCTGACGAACCCATTATGAAAGGCGCATGAAACAGTAAAATAAATAAAAATTATAACGAGGAAAAAAGAGGGAAACAGCAAAAAACTAAACCTTTAGTTACAACTTGTTAGAGTAAAATTATTCATAGTAAGCGATCTTGTGAAGTTGCAGCTAGAGCCTCACACAGTCTATGAACTATGAGGATTCATTTTTTCCAATTATATAGTCTAATTCGCGCACAGATAATATGATTGCTATAATGAAAGAACGGTTTTGGATGTTGAAATTCTGAAAACTCGCTAGTCGTAGTTCCTGCAAGCCTGTTCAATTGCAAAACCTGAACTTGTTCTTTTAGCGGCTACTGCCTTTAGTATTTCGTTGCACTCATTTCAAAAAATCTTGTATACATCTATGATTTAGATGTATTGTGGTCTTAGCTTTACTGTTGTTTTGTTGTCTTAGGGGCGGAGGAGAGAGTGGGGGCGGGGGAGGGGCTGGGGGTGGAGCAGGTGGAGGGGGTGGCCGTCAGCTGAATGTGACAGTGAAGAGTGCGAGTAAGCTGCCCAATGTGGAGACTGGGAGAGAGAGCGACCCGTTTGCAGTGCTCACTTTCAGAGGGGTGCAGCGCAAGACCAACCACATCGAGAACAGCTGCAACCCCACTTGGAACGAGGTTTCATTGCAGAGTCTTCAATACGCACAATGGCTTTATTACAGAAGCGGCGTTTTCTAAAGGCGCCTTTGATCCCAATATATAATAGTTTTTAGGAAGCTAAAACGTATCAAAATGTTTTCAAAAACGGCTTTTTTCCAAGAAAAAAATCACCTGCAGGGCAGAAAATGTTGCCAATGTTGGTCATTCTGAGGTTTTGGCAGAGCTTAAAAGTTTCGAGATGGCTGACTTAAAAACCAAAATCTATGTTTGAAAAACCGCCGGTCGAAAAATTCCTGCGCACGTCAGCGTCATTGCCATCAAAAATCAGAGTAAAATGTTGTGGGCTCTTCTATGTCAAGATCTGATCGGCAGAAGGTATGCACAAAATCCAAACTCTTCAAATTTTTTTTTGTAAAACTTCAACTAAGTGGGATCTTTTTTTTGTATAAAGAGACGAAGAACGTATATATAGGCAGTGTGTTTGTGTTCAGAAATTGTCGTGGGACATTGACAAGCCGGTTGTTCAGAATGATGTGATTGAGTTTGAGGTGAAGGACTACGAGAAAGTGGGTAGAAACAGGTAAGGATGAAATGATAACGGCGATCTTTCATCCATCTCTTTATGTCCTCGGTGTTTTCTGGAAAAAAAAACGTGCCGTTTATTTTTTCAAAGCAGTCGGAACTAAGTCTTCGCTTTAAAAACGAGGGGTGAATAATAAAGACTCTTTATCGCGATGATGTTGATGATGACGGAGTCTTTTATTGAAGGCATCTTTGTTTTTTATTTTGGTGGATGATGAAAGTGACTGATAATATAACTGCTGGAGATTTAGATGATGATATTTAGTTGTTTACCGTTGTAGCTATTCAATTCATCTGAGAACTTAAATGATCAACTTCACTTTCGCTGGAAAATTATTCGATATCAGAAAACGAAATTGAACATTAGTGCGGTTTTTTGAACGACACTGGTTTTTTCGAGTACATATAAAAAAATGCGAATCTTAACATCGAAAGTGTTTTTTTGATCGGAGTGTTTTTATGGGAGAAACAACAGTGTTATGCATCTGTGTTAGGTTACTTGGCACTGGCACGATCAGTCTACGGGAAGTGGTCAGGAGTCAGTCTGGACAGGCTGAGATGAGTCTCTCTCTGCTGGACGGAAACAAGCGCAAAATAGAGGCACGCAGTACACTTTTTTTACCCATACTCACCAATGGGCAGTTACCTATGTTTTTTTCAAAGTAAAAACGTTTCAAAACAAATCTGTAGCATACCCTCTCAGACCAAAGCTGATATCTTTTGCATTTTCGATCAACAAAGCGCAGTGAAATCGAGTACTACACGTTTTTGCCATTAGTAACAGGAATTCAAGGCATGTCGTATCTTAAAATCTACCTTTTTGTTATTGACTTTGATGACATAATTCGTCACGTGAAAGATGTCAATGTATGTTTAGGGTACAATAAGTTTCCTGGTGATCTACAAGAGCTCCGGTAAAAAGGGCGGAGGCGGAGGAGGAGGTGTGTCCTCTAGTGGAGACTCCACTGGTGGTGACTCAATGGACACTTCAGGATACGACACTGACGGTACGAGAGTGATATCCATGTCTGTTCATTATTTGGCTCTTTCCTATTACAGCCCCCTCCCATGAAAATATAGCCCTCCCCTCAGAACAAAAAAAAAGCTGTTGTGGTGGAGCTCTATTTTTTGGTTTTGTTTCATTTTTATAAAAATATCTTTGAAATTAAATTCTGGTTCACGTGAACGACATTTTATGATTTAATTCAATTTACAGTTTTGTTGTTATGAAGGCTCAGGCGCGGATCTAGGAATTTCTCCAGGGGGGCGGATTTTAAAAATTTTGTCGACTTTTTTTAGGTCGACCAAATTGATTTTCCGAGCTCTCCCAAACCACTATAAAGACCCTACTTTGACCACATTTTCTGCTCCGCAAATTTTTCAATAAAGGCCTAAAAAGGCGTTTTTAGGCACTTTTTGGAAAGTTTCGACCAAAAACTCGCGTTTTTTCGGCTCAAAATTAGTATAGATTGGCGCCTTTAGAAAAATTTTAAGGTCAGTCAGCCAAAAATGGATATCTCAAAATAATATAAAGGGGGACCCTTTGGGTCGGCAGGGGGTCAAATCCCTGAGAGCAAGCGTTCGCCCGCGCCCCCCTTAATCCGCTACTGTGAAGGCTCACTTTCAAAAAAGTTACCTCATATGAAATGCCATTTTCCTCCTAGATTTTTTTTGCTGCGGTACTTAAGCTTTCATTCAATTCTTTAATGCTACAAAAGTTACTATATCGTAGAAAAAAATTTGCAAAAAGGAATGCGAATAGATTGAACATTGATATTTCCATTGAGAGGCGGCGATCTTTACCATTGCTATGGTAAAGAGCGGCGGATAGCTCTTTACCATTGCTATCGATTTGTTGAACAAGATAATCTACGTTGTCAGTCAACGAAAGAGTTGTACATTGTATCATGTGTTTTGTGTTCTGTTTGTAGCCTCTCAGGGTCTCGCTTCTGACGTAGAGGAGTTGATGGGGGAGGAGGAAGCGGCTGCCAGGAAGGCCCAGATGAAGAGCAAGCGAATGGGCACTCTCTCTGACAAGCCACAGGACATGCAGGTAAGGGAGAAAGCCACCTACTTATCAATCAATGGGTCATAGGTTCTACTCTCCAACTCAACCGTAAAGTTTGGACCGGGTTGTAAAAGTTTGAAATGGTTCAGTCTGAACTAATTGATTTCTTGATCATATATGTTCAATCATTAGTTATTCGTTCAAATTCGCCAGTGTGAAGAACTTTAATTTTGGTCATATGACCTTGATGTCTCGTATTTCATGTATATGTTTATGTTTCAGATCCGAGTGAAGATCTTCCAGGCGAGACAGCTGCCAGGTGGGGATATTAACTCAGTGTGCAAAGTGAGTCTGGGCAAGGACCAGAAGTCAACCAAGGTCAAGAAGAACAGTGCAGAGCCCAATTGGAACGAGGTCAGTCATAGCAAACAACTAAACTTTGATTTGTCCACCTTTAGAATTTTGATAACGTTATTAGTTCGACTAATCCTTGCTCAAGCCGGAAACGGAATTCATAATTGAACCGAAATATTTTATGAGTACATTTTTTGTTCTTCAGTATTTAGACACGTTGAAAGGCAATCGGAACACTCAATGCTTTGTCATGATACGAGCAGTATGGTTCATTACTTTTGCTAATTTTCAGAAAATTGAAATTGTTTATTCTACTGCATTTGGTATCCAAAATGTTCTTTGTAGTGTTGCGGCAGTCATCGATGTGTGTTTTGACGGCTTGTCATGTCCTCATTTTACTTTTACTATAAACAAGATCATCCAATTGGAATCGAGCTTTTTTTGGTGAACATCTTGTCAAACAGAATCAGTGAATCATGTTGAAAATTTGGTGCTGTTGTTCATTTAAAAAACAATATGTTACATTGTTTTTTGTCTTTTTTGTATCATGTTTTTTTGGAAATTTGGCAATGTTGCCAAGATTAATCAAGATTACAATAAGCTTGATGTCGACGTACTTTTTTTTTCTTAGTACGCAATAAGCACCCAATATCTATTTTCAAAAATCTATTTTATATGTTTTTATCTATTTTCAAAAGGGCGTATTGCATACAAATTTCAGATTGATTCATCAGTTTATTACATAAAAAATGAAAATGCGAAGCGGTGGAAAACTAAAAAATTGATGTATCAGTTTTATTTTATGAAAATTTGTGTAAATAGTTTTTGTAAACAATTTATGTTTAAGTTCAGTTAAGTGCCTTCCTTGCGTCCGGATATTTCCTATTTTTGAATTACACGAAGAGTTACATCTCTTATTTTTAGTCTTTTTTCGGAGGCGGGTTTTTTGACAAATTTAGGTTTAATTTGAGTAGTAGATGTTGGAGGTTAAGTGGGGGGGGGGGACCCTGAAGACCCACATGTATTAAGATAGGGAATAGAGCATCCGGTCTTCAAGCTATGTATTAAGACCGGATGCTCCATTCCCTATCTTAATACATGTGGGTCTGCAGGGACCCCCCCCCCCCCACTTCAGCTCCAACATCTACTACTAATTTGTCAAATTTAGGTTTAATTTTTTGTATAATTTGTGAAGAGTTCTTTTGCGCCTGTTTAAAATTTATTGTTTTCATTTTTTTTTTTCATTTCAAAGTCTTTATATTAGATAAAATTCCGATATAGAGGTGTCTTCGCATCTTCTTCAAACTTTCGGTTTTCAAGTCTGAAAACTTTTTTGTTACTTTTAATTTTTACATAAGCATAGCTTGTGTTATAGTATGAGGTTTCTTTTTTTTCCTTAGTAAGTCGCAAATATTGTTGCAATGCAATTGTTGCGACAAAATTGTTCATTTTGAAAGTGTTTTTTTATCCAGCTATTAAGTACAGCCAATGCTAAGGATATTAACTCAGACTATTATATTACAAATAGCACTTTAGTTTCAAGGCATCATGGATCTGTACCGTAGAGGTAGGATGAGTGACCAGCAGCAAAATAAGTGGGTTCGAACTTGGGCCGGGTCGGATGTTTTTAATGAACTTTTTGTATACTAGTTTAAATGCATCCGCTCTATAAATTGAGGCATGTTAGTCGGTAAATTTATTTTTTCAATTTGACTGGTACTTCTAATGCGTCTTAATTGGCTTGCGTCACTTAGCAATTAAGTAGACTCATAATTGGCGTGCATCACTTATGAAATATTGTAGACTCAAAATTTTACTCATTCAGTTTTTCCTAGTAGAGTTATCGGTCATATTTTTGCTTGTGTATACGAAGTGCAACTTCGCCTCTGTATTTAAAGATTGCAATTTTCTCTCGGCTTAAAGGAAATCGTTGTAAAATTTTTTGGCATAAATTTTTATAGTGCTTTGGTTTTTGCAGTGCAAAAGTTACTGTACTGTTCAAAATTCAATTTCATTCCTGAAGTAATAGTTTATGAAGCTTTTCAGCGCCTAAATAACCACAAAAAGTTCTGAAAAAAATTTTTAAATGTAAAAAAATCTTTGATTTTTTGTTTGAAATTTTCGTTTTTCGATTAGTTTTTTGATAAATACTGTTGTGGAATATGTGCATTTTACTCTTACTATCGAATGCACTGAATTTCTAGGCTTTTGTTTAGATCTGCTCATAACCTAATGAACAAAAAAAACATCACAATATGCAAAAAAAAAAAAGTTTTTTATATATTCTGTGGCCAGAGTTTCCTTGGTACTTTTTGAACATGATTTGAAAATTTTCTTGTGTTTTGTTCTTTAAAGGCATGATTTTGTAGAGCTTCTTTTTTGCCGTTTCTTTTCTTGTGTTTGCGAAGTTCATGATCGCCCCTGTCTTAATTTTACTCTAATAGTATCTCATTTATAGAATGCTGAGATGGTATCATCTCATTGCAAAAATTGTGTTCAAGTATCAAATTGTGTTCAAGTGTCATAGTTCAATCCATAATTTTAATGAATAGTGCAAATTTTTTCGTATGAGTTGTGAGAATGTATAATTTGTGTTTTAGACTTTTTTCTTCAATGTTCACCAGTCGCCCCAGGAGTTGTTCAGCCAAACAGTGGAAGTGGAGCTGTTTAATGCCAGGGTGCTCAGATCAGATGCACTCATAGGCAGCTACAAGGTAGCAACATGATATATCCGAACTATCACTTTCTCTTTAGATTTAATTCAAACTATCGGAGTCCGCTGGGGTCGATTTAGGGGGAAGGGTGTTCTCAACAAAAACTGCAAGAATTTTTTTCTTCAAAATATTGCATTCGGCGCCAAAAGTTTCTGTAAATTGGGGTTGGTCCGCGGATAAAAAATTTTTTCTAAATAATCAAGCACCCCTAACGCTGTGACCACAAAAATCCTAGAAAACATACAGGTTCTTTTATGGCAGTTCATTCATAGCATGAATGTTTTGTGGAGTCCTCACATGTGAGCATTTTTGGTTTTCTTCAGCTGGACGTGGGAGCAGTGTATGATCAACCTCAACATGCATACTTGAGCAAGTGGCTCCTCCTCACAGATCCGGAGGATCCCATGAGTGGCTGCAAGGGCTATGTCAAGTTCACAGCCATGGTCATCGGTGCGGGCGATGAACCCCCCAAGGAAAAGGAAAGCGCAGACACCGACGACATTGAGATGTGAGAATATTAACTTGTTCCAGATTAGCGGATCTCTGCGAAGAGTGCAACCGATCATGTTGACCGTAGATATTTGTTATTGACTTCGCGTTTTTTGTTTGCGCTGAAGTTTTATGAAGAATATTTTAGTAGTTAAAGTCTTTCGCAAACATTTTAGAATTGAACTCATAGGAAGAGAAAAATAAGATAATTTCGAAGCAAAATGATACCTCGTAAGCATGAGAAAGTCTTTCAAAATGAGAACATGGGAAACTAGCTAAATATGATTGTTTTTGGCTAGTATCGTAAGTTCTCATTTTGAAAGATTTTCTCATGCTTGGGCTGTATCATATTTTTTCACAGGCTGTTCGAAATGATCCTATTTTTCTCTTCCTATCATTTACAATTTACACAAGTTGTCCGACAAGTTTGCTGGTCAATTTGCTTAAAAAACTAGTCAATTAACAAGTTGCTTGAATAGTTAAAAATTTGTAACTATTTCTGTTTTTGGGTTGCGGTGCTCTAGTTTTAAAAGTTGAAAATTCTTACGTTATTTAAGTTATCTTTCTTATTTTAGGTGTAAGATATCGTCTGATAAAAACTTTAATTGAGCTTCAGCATTGAATGAATAATTTTGCTTTAAATATAGCTTTTGTAATTCAAATGCCTCATTTTGATCATTCTCGTTAAATTATGTAAATTCAAATTTATCAAGCACTTCGAAGTAAAAAAAACGGAAGCTCAAATTCAACACAGGAAATACACATAAAACAAAGACACCCGCACTGACAAAAATGGTTTCAGATCAATTTAAAATGATTTTAAATCGATTTTAAATTGATCCAAATCAAATAACAATGTACATTTTACGAACTTAAATGGATTTTAAATCGATTTAAGGGTCTAAAAATTGATTTAAATCGATTTGGATGGATTATCCGACACACTAAAATCGATTTTTTTTGCTAACAAGGGAAAAAACATGCTTTTTAGAAAACTAATTGAAATATTTTATTCTTGATTTTTTTAAAATAAAAACACAGGTGCCAGATGTTTTAGAATTCAAGAAATAAATAAAAAATGTTAATATAAACCAGATTTTGAGCTCAAAAATATGCAATGAAATCATAGAAAATCAACATTGTAAATCGGATCTTGGGCAAAAACCTGTGTAACGAATGAAGAAAGCTATATAAACGAATGAAGTTTTAGCTATATAACTGTAACAGAGTATAACACAAATCAAACATTAATGTTCGAACCCCAGTTATTTATATCCTCTTCTTTTGAAGAACGAGTAAAAAACGTGCGAACGATGTTCTGCCATGATGCACATTTGGCTAATGACTCTGCTTCTTTCTTCGATATTTTGCTTCGAAGAAAAGTAGCAGGGGGGGTTGATAAATTAGACGATAAGCAAATTAGACGGAGGTACTTAAAAGGAAATTAGACGGTTTTGCAAAACTGCAATTGTGAGAAAATAGACGAAAGTGAGAGAAATTAACTTTGTTTGCACACAAATTGCGTTAGAAAAATAAAATTGTTTGTAGACAAGAGTTCAATTTCGGTGGCAAAAAACTTTACAAGTCAGTCATGCATAATTTATTCAATTCAAAACTCTCCTGTAATATTCAGATTTCACATTTTATGTTCATTTAAACTAATTGTTTTGATAGGTATTGACATTTTATGTTCTTTTTGTTTTTGTGAAACTTGACTATTAAGAAAAATCTTTGTTGGCCCTTTCACTTTCGTCTAAAATGCCAGATCTGTAAAAAATAAATTCCGTCTAATTTCGTTTTTGTAGCATCCGTCTAATTTGCTTATCGTCTAATTTCCTAGGCCCCTAGCAGGGTCATTACAACAGCCAAACTGCATCCTGGCACAATAAAATTCTCACGTTTATTCGTCGTCGTGGCTTAAATGAAGGGCATATATAATTACTTGGATTCGAACAATAATGTTTATTGACCGGCTTTTGAAGAAAACGAATATTTATGCCTGGGCCGGGTTTTTAGTAAATCAATTTTCGACATTTTAGCCATACAATTTTGGCGGAACTTTTTGTTCCATTTGAAAAGTAGCAATGCCATGAGCTCAAATTTATAATGATATTCACCTGTAATCTTTTTTCGCAAAGTTTCGTAAAAATTGCTAATTTGGGATAATTAATGCGCGATATATTGTGTTCTTATAACACGCATAAGCGGCAGATTAATGTGGTCCGAATCAAATTGAGTTGAACCATTTGGTCTTTTTATGAAAACTGATGCTAAATACATCCCTTTGTAGTTCACTTTAGGGCGTGGGGGATAAATTGAAGAATAAAGAAAAGAAAAACTTTTTTTTCTTTTTTTTTAAATGATTTCATCAAATTTTTCGCCCAAAAGTTTTTTAGTTGGCCTTGAAACGCAGTCGGAACAATCAGGGATTCGCCTAAATATACGAGCAGTCTTGTTGTTTTTGATGCTCTTTTACAGTTATATAGTTAAAATTTGATTTTGTTGTATTTGAACTTCTTGTTTTTTCTTTTGAACTGTTTGATGAATTTGAATTTCACAATGTTGAATTTGAACTTTTTTGTCGCATTTGAATAACAAGAGGTATATAATGAGAGTTTGTCATTAAGTTTTCCTTTTTGTTCTTTTGCAGGAACTTGTTGGCACCTGCCGGAGTTCAGCTGCAGCCGGCGACGTTCTGGCTGAAAGTGTTCAGAGCAGAAGATGTTCCCCAGATGGATACCTCCATGTTCCAGGGCATCCGCAAGATCCTCGGAAGCAACGAGGAGAAGAAGGAGCTGGTGGACCCCTACATGGGGTTCTACTTTGCGGGCAAGAAAGTGAAGACTAAAGTGATCACCGAGTCCAACCATCCAGAGTGGAACCAGGAACTCAGACTGGGGATCAAGGCAAGTCAATACATGCACTAAATACAACTACTGCTTAAATCAACTTGATCTTCCTCCTCCAGTGTATTTGGTTCTCTTTTTGAATTCTTTTTATTGGCTAAAGAAAGGTTCAAACGCGAAACAAAATTGTGTGTTGATACCGCAAAATTCGGGCATGTCAAGAGCGCAAAACTTAGCACACCCTTTGTTGAGCAATGGAGCTTTGATCACCCAAAGAGTCCGTTTTTTGTACTATATATTTTTTAACCCTTGGGATAAGCAAGGAAATTGCAACCGGGTACTAGACTTTTTTCCCGTAAACAACTTTTTCCACAGAATTCGCACGTAAATTGAATTCGCATGTGTTTTGCTGCAGAGGTAAATGCGGTATGTTCATGTTAAGTATATGCCTTGTGTGCTTGTCATGGGTTCATTTAAAACTATTTTCTGTGCCACAAAATTTCGGTATTTTTTCGGCACTTGAGTGTCTGCTTAAATCCCGTCGGCTCATTTTCCGAATGATTTTTTCAAAATTACTTTTTGTTGGTTTTTATAAGAATGGTTGAAGTCTTAGCAAAATGTTTAGGGCAAATCTAAATCACTTTCACTGACCCTTCGTAATAAAAGTGAAAATTTTAAAAATGAAAAAAAAAATTATTTTTTTTTTGTTTTCACTTTGCACAATAACGTTGGTTTTAACCTTTCATGCTTTTGTTTTTTCAATCAGCTGTTTTTATTATTTGTTTTTGGTGTAGTTAATGAGGGGTTTGTGTTTTCGCTCAATTTTTTTGTTTATTTTTTTGTTTGAAAATACAACAATTGCAAATATGTTCTCATTGCTTTTTAGCCCATATTGTTTTGAAAAGTAATATTCAGATCACTTTTTTGTTCAGAATTTTCAGACTATTTTCAAAAGTACTGTTCAGAATATTGTTCAGATCACATTTGTTGTGTTTCTAATCTAATTTGTCTAGGTTTCTGAAAAATTGAATCATATTGTTCGGTATTTATGTCTTTCGTTTACTTATTCAAAAAGTATATCAGAGTTAGTGGTTTTGGTTCATTCATCAATGCAGTTTACTAATGGTTTGATTGCGTGTCTTCAGAAGACTTCGATGAGTAGCAGGTAGGTTTTAAAAGTAGGTTGGAGGTAGGCCGATTTTGTTGCTAATATAATTTTAAAAATTGTTTTCCCAACAATAGTTTTTTCTTGACTTACAATTTTTGCATCGCAAGTAGTGCGAAGCTCTGCTTCGCCTCTGTGTATAAAAATATATTTTCGTTTTATGAGTAGCCATATGGGAGTGAAATTAAGCCTGAAGAACTTGGTTAAGTGAGTGTTGCAACAACAAAACTTGCATCACATCGGGCTTGACTATACATATTTGCTCCATGGTGAGTAATTCAGTGATGTTTTTTTTATTGTTGAATAACCTTTCCGAATTCGAGGCGCGACTCGAAGTGCTCTAGTATGATGAGACAAGACAACACAGGAATCCTTGCGAGTTTTTTATACTAATGAAACACTGTGTTGTAAATTTCCACTCCAGCCCTTTCCTTGAGTTGCCGGAACGATAACTTATATTTGTTTCTCATGTTTATGCATATCTTTTTTTTCAGTTTCCTTCAATGTGCGACAAAATCAAGATCAACATGAAAGACTGGTTAGTAAATTTGTATTTCTGTCTCCATTACTAGAAACCAAGAATAACTTCTCTTTATTAACACCACCAGAACTGCTCGCATGCGAATTTTTTTTCCAAGTTGCTTACTATTTTGACCATCCTAGATTTTTTTGATTTCAAATAACCAGTAGAAAGAATACTACAAAATTAGCAACCTGTTTTGTGTAAATAACTTATAAACTGGATGTTCTGTGTTCTGATTTGCAGGGATCAGATGTCGAAGGATGATACAATAGGCACTGTCTTCATTGAACTGGACAAGATACAGGACAGATCCACTGAAGAACAAGGTAACACTTAGCAGTTTTATTTGCTTCCACTTCCACAAATAGATGTTTACACTAGCGAGCTTGTGAGCATAGTGTATTAGTGTGAACCTTCTTTTTTCCCAGCTAGCTCGCAAATAAATGTGTTCTTTAAAAAAGTTCACTTATTTGGTGGCACTTTTGCTATTATCACGATCTAAGCATTGGAAATTTCATAGCATCTGTTCTTTGCTTTATTTGTGATTTATTAAGCGTCCTAGGGCGTGAGACCCAAAGTCTCTAGGTCGCAGATCGAATACGAGACGTAGCCGAGTTTTTACTAATTCGAGGCTTATTTCTACTTTTTCTTAATACACTTTATAGAGCTGCTTTTTGTGTTCTCGCTAGAGTTTGCGAATTTGAGTTCAGTGCACAACTTGAGGGTTTCAATTTTCCATGGTTTTGTCTCTCTAAATTCTCTGTTCGCTTCTGCCTACTTTCATTTCAGTAAGATTTTTTGATTGCCAATCAAATTGATGATTCTGAAAAATTCTCATCGGGTTTTTGGCGTAGAACACAAATGAACATTGTTTCTATTTCGTTTTCCAGGTTTCTTGCCTACTTTGGGTCCAACTTGGATGAATTTCTACGGCTCCACTCGCGAGTTCTCTGACATGCCCGACCAGTATGAGTCATTGAACGAGGGCAAGGGGGAGGGGTGTGCGTACAGAGGGAGGGTTCTGGTGGAGTTGGGAACTACGATTGGGGAGTTGCCCGATAAACACATAGCAGATGTAGACAACGATGACTTGTTCAGACTGCACGTAAATACAAATACGAATTATGGCAAAAATTGTTATGTCGAAAATCATTCAAAAATAGCACCGAAGTCAGCGAGATTATTACAAATTGAGTCAATAAAGTTGTTAAGGACCAGTTTCATTCATTAAGTTTGAAACTTTTTCTAAGGTTCCTTCAACATCTTGGAATTGATTGTACAGGTTGTCTGTCTCTACAGTAGTATTGATAGTACTGGTGGAATAAATCTTGATAGTTGAAATTGCTTTAGGAGTAACTAGGTCGCAATCATTAATAGTAAGTTCCCAATGTAGCTTGTGCCAGATTTTTGTGGGGTGCGCTATTTAATGTACACCTTTTTGACGGATTCCTATTCTCTTTATAATTTTTTGCAGCCATTTGTGCGTCGTCGACGATACACACTGTTCGCTTCGTTCATGGAGGCAACCATGTTGTGCGAGGACGATGACCCAGTCGAATTCGAGATCAGCATCGGCAACTACGGCAACAAACTGGACGAGAGCGTGCCGCCGCAACCCTCCACCACCCAACCCACCAATCCCGTGTATGACGGGGAGAGCTACTACTTTTTACCGTGGCAGGACAAGAAGCCCTGTTTGAGTGTGAACTGCCAGTGGGAGGACATCTCGTTCCGTCTCGAGGCACTAAATATGTTACTCAAAATCGCTGATACTCTGGTACGACTCTTGTGGCTTTTTAAACGAACTTATAAAATACACCACAATTTTTTTTAGTATTATTGAGTCTCGATGAAGTAATGTTGGTAGCTTTGAATAACAACCTTTATTATGCAAGGTTGGCAGAACAAAAAACAAGTGCAGTTTAAAACATGCTTACCCTTGCGATAAGCAAGGGTATTGCAGTAGGGTACTAGACTTATTTCCCGTAAATACTTGTCCATCTCCTGGACCCTTCCTTCTTCTGGGCACTTTTGTTGCAACAAACATACTTTGAGCATGTTAGCATTTAAAATATACGGCCTAATGGAATTTTGTTTTTATGTTGATTGTAATTTTACCAACTCGATCTCTTGAAAACTCGATTCGTTTTTTTTAAATTACTTCACTTCGTTCTAATAGGTTTCTGTTTATTTTATATCGACTTGGTGGCTTCTCATTGCGTCTGTTGATGACTGAAAAAAGTTTTTGTGTGCGTGTGTGTGTTCTTAGTGGAAAGGGGATTTTGCTGCCACTTTTTGGGCACCTTTATTGACATTCAATTAGCAATTAGCTAACACAGTTGATGCATTATTATTTTTCAAATGAACCCAAAAGCTATTTGCTTCAAATATCCTTTCAATAACAAAAAAATTGATTTCAGAAATTTATTAACTCAATATATCTTGAAATATTTTTGAAATACTGAATTTATACATACTTAGGCTGTATGCTTTCGTATTCATTACATGTAAAGTTAGTGTGGATGCCTTCAGTTTGTTACATTTCAAATTATTATATGCCAAATAGTGTCAGTTTGTATTTGGTGCTATTTTTGCTGCATGGCATTGGCAATTTATTGGCATATGTGGCTGCTTGATTCGTGACTAGTGTTTGTCGGTTGTTGGGTATTCGTAGTCGAGTGGGAAGAAAGTGAGACTCCAAATACCGAGGTCGCATGTGCGAATACGATACGTAGCAAAATCTTACTAATTCGAGGCTTATTTCTATTTTTTTTTTTTCATTTCATTTTATAAAGCTGCTTTTTTGTCGCCTTCTCTCTAGTGTTTGCGAAGCACAGCTTCGCCTCTGTGTTATAGATTCATATTCAACCAACTATCCCGCAAATCTGGTTGTTAGGTAACATAACTGCTTGAGACGGTAAAGACTTGTAGTTCGAATCCGAACGCGACCTGTTTTTTTTTGCAAACTATTCAGTTTGTTATGCAGGTTTAATTCCTGTAGCCCGACTTGATTGTGACGACCAAGCGCAAGAGTTCGATTTCAGTCGAGACATGTTTTTTTTGCAAACTGAAAAATTTCGGCTAGTTGAGATTATGGTCTGTCTGCTTATTTTTGTCGACTTTTTTCCGCAGATTTTTTTGGAAATTCGGCTTCTTTCTAGCGTTCTGAGAACTCCTCCTAAAGTTTCTAATGATGCTTGAAATTTAGTTCTGGACATTTTGCGCTTTTGTTGCAAATTTTGTAATTTCAATTGTCAAGAAAGATTTTTGAAGTTTTTTGTCTTTTTTTCTTTTGATTTTTATCACAGGCCCTAATTTTTGTTTCGCAAGTGCTGAGAAGCGTAGTTTCACTTTCGTGTTAAAACATTGTCTAAAACACTTGTTTTTTCTCTTGATTTTTTCTACTGTTATTGTTCAAAAATTAATAACAATCAACTGATTCCGCGGAATAATCTTGAAGATACTTCGATGGTGTATCCACAAAGGAAAAGACCAACATACAAGCTATTCGACTATTCACAGAGGACCGCTGTTGTTCTTCTGTTTAAGTGTACGTGCATTTTTTGGTTATTTTTACGGGCCGGTTAATGTTGCCTCTCCCTCATGCAACTACCACGGATCATGGTGGGCCGCAAATATCTGACTTTCGATTGGAGTCGGAGACGTAACCACTTCACCACGGCTCCCTGGTGAATAATGCCACGCTCGATGATGCGTCCTATTTAATTGATACATTAAAACTTGAGAAATAAGCTGGGAGCTGTAAAAGTTGGGAAACTTGCCATGTGCATGAGATTGCTCAAAGATAATTGACTTGATGTTGTGCACCTGTGTTTTTGCCAAGAATCTTGAAACAACCTGGTTTAGAAAATAAACATTATTTTTAACCTTTTTTTTGCTTAAAACGTTGTTTTCTAATAGAAAACAATTGTTTGCCAACCCTGTTAATTACGCTTGCGATTAGCAAGCATTAACAAATCGGAATATAGTATTTTTCTCGGGTTAACTTGTTTAACAGAATCACTTGGTATCTTGATTCAAAATGAATTCAAATTTCCAAGCGTTTCCGGCAGACTTAGTCTTGCGGTAACGAATGAGCCCGGGACGGCCCCGGCCCTGGGTTCGAATCTGACCAGGGCCTGTTTTCTTTTCAAATGGGAAATCTTCAGTTTCAAAAACCTGTGGGCTTATGATTTGTCTGCTTATGATTTGTCGGCTTAGTTGCCACATCGTAGATTTTTTTAAGCTGTATACGTTTTGTAGTGGTTTTTTATGTTTTTGTTTACTCCTGTATTTTGTAATTCTACTAACCTTGACTTCGTATCTTTTCCTTTTTTTTCCCGGGCTAAATGGTTTCAACTTATATTTTATCGGCTTACTAAATTATTTTTGGGTTCTTCCAGGGAACCATATGTCTTATGCTTTCCTCCGGATGGCGCAAAACGTCAAAAATAGTTAAAATTTTTTCATGACTGCAATTTTTGTTAGCTTGAAAATTGTTTTTGAATTTTCATTGAACGCCGTCGAATGTGTTTTTGGACGTGTTTTCTGCAAATACAACATCATGCTAGACAACATTTTCTTAGTTTTTTTAGTTGTGTTTTTTTGGAAAGTTTTTGCCGTTTTCTTTGGTCTTAGTTGCTTCCTTTGAAAACATCGGCATCTAATATTCTGAATAGTCGAGAATATTCCAGAATTTGTTTTGGCTTGTTGTAGGAGGAGAACGTGGACAAGATCGAGCTGGCGATGAAGGCGAATGAGAGTGAACAGATGCAGGCCAAGTGTGTCGTTCAGGCTTTAGATCAGATCATAGAACACTGCAGGTACAAATAAAAATTAAGACATAGATTAGTACCCATTCGTTGTTCTTTTATCCTACTTTTTGTCACGAGGAAGAGGACCAAGATTGAATTTAATTAATTCACTAAAGAGAACCGCAATTGATGCAGTTAATTTTTCAAATTATTTTGTTGGTTCACGATAATAAATTTAGTATTATTATTATAAATTGGGGCATCGTCTTTTTACTGCAATAGACTGTTGCATGTAGATGCCTGTTCTGTAGTTCATTTATACTTTATGTGCTAACTCATGAAAACTATTTATAATTAAGGCACTGTGATATGCGTTGCGATATCAATTGAAAACAAGTTGTAATTCAATACTGTATTCTGAATATTGAATTTAGATTTTCTCTTTTCTTGGTTTCTTATGTACTGAGAGATAGATCATTGTTAAGTACTCTGATCTCTCGCTTAATCTCAGTGTCAACACTTACGTATGACCTTGAGAATACCATAAAATAATGATTGAGCACCAGAGGTTAGATGTACATACGTATAATAAATACTGCTACTGCAGTAGCGGTATGACACACCCCCACGGTGAAAGAAATAAATTATACAACATCAGTAGGATAATTTATTTAAAGAGTTCAATTTACTCAGTTCAAAGAAAAGTTTTTTTTTTTTTTTTTTTTCTGGTAATTGACGATTTTAGATTATGTATTTTTCAGTTTTCCTCCAGCTCGATTTCCCAACTCGGGTTCCAATCGACTCCCTCATCCAAGGTAGCATATCCGAATTTTCGCATAAATAGATGTCTTTCGAGTCGTCGCACTTTCGATTCTAATGGTCTGTCGTCCCGATCTTTAAAATCTCTCAGTTGGTTTCTGTATTGTCTAAGTGCCTCCTTTAGAAGACCTCTACCTGTAAGGTTTTCAGATATTTCTTTGATTGAATGTTTTATCGGATCTCCGAATCGTTTGGGTTCTTTGTTTTTTGTTTGTCTCGAACTTCGTCTAATACCTGACTCTTCTGCACTTGATTCGTCCGAGAATCCTTGTGGTGGTTCGAAGTTTGTGTCCAGTTCCGAGCTTTGTTGAGGATTTTCTCGAAGTTCATCCGCAACTCGCTGCACTCCTCTTTTTAACAATTGGTCCGCGTACTTCTCCCATTCAGACGGTGCCAAATTTCGATTGTGAAATGTGTCCACGATATCTTCAAGAGGAGTGTGAGAGTCAATGCCTTTCAGTTTCGGACGCTGTTTTGCTTTCGGCGTAGAACTTGACTGAATTTTGGTATCTACTGTGTCTGATTCCGGCTTAGATGTTACTTTCTCTTGCTCCGAGTTTGCTGCAGTCGCAGCTTGATTTGTCCCCTGTTGTTTCTTGCTTCGGCCTTTCTTTTCCTTTCCGCCCTTTTCCGGCTTGTTTGTGATATTTTCCTCTGTATTTGGTTTTGGTCCCGCCAAATTGGGTTTTGCTCTTTTGACTGCAAGATTCAGGCCTCCCCCGGCTTCTGTGTCCTTTGAAGTGACTATTGTTTGGCTCCTCTGAAAGCGCTCTATTGGATTCATTGTATCAGCGATTTCCATTTCTCCTTGAAGTTCGTCCTCTGATCCCAGCTCCTCTAGTCGTTCTGGAGAGCTGACTCGCTTAAACTTTTTGGTAGGTTCTGACGATGGACTTTTACTCGTGCTTCGCTGGTTTTCTTGCGTCAGTACCGTTTTTGATTGAGCTATATCCGATTTCCTATAGATCGAACCGGCTGATGTCCTAATTGTTGAGTCCGTTTCTGAAACGATTTTCCCCTTTAGTGGTCTGGTTAAGGCTTGTCCGCTTTTCCGTAGAGGGTCTTTTCGAAGTATAGTCTTGGTTGGTGACTTGCATTGGTTTTCTATTTTGTCCTCCACAAATCCCTTCTCCCAAGAGTAGATCATTTCCTTTCGGAGATCGGGATTGAGTTGCCCTGTCTCGTCCACTAATTTCCGGATGTCATTTTTAGCCGCGTCCCTTCTTTCGTAGTTCCAGCGGGCGTTCGCTTCCAACAATTCCTTTAGGGCTTTGGCTCTTTCTTTGTCTCTGTCCGATGTTATCTGCTGCTTGTGCAGTGGGCTTGTATCCCTGCTCAGTTGTCCCTTGCGCACTATCTTTAGATTCTCTCTCGACTGATCAATTCTTCGTTTCATTTGAGAAGCAGTCAGTGCTGAGCGTTCCAAGTGTTGTTTGTCTAAAGAATCAGAATTATTTAAAAATTTATCCCTCACAATTTTAAATTCTGTTTTTGGTAGTCTGCCGAAATGTGCTTGGAACGGAGATACTTGAATTGTTTTCTGCTTGTTCCACCGTAAGTCTCTCATTATAATGCTGAGGCATATTTTGATTGATTTATTATTTTCATCGAGCATCATCACTCCCAGTCTTCTTTTTATTGTTTGAATTGTACGTTCAACCAAACCACAACCTCTGTGATCCCCCACCGGACAGAATTTTTGCTCGATATTGAGTTCCGAACAGAATTTTTTTAAAGTTTTTCCCTTAAATCCTGAAAATTGGTCCGATCGAATTGATTCAGGGACTCCATGTGTGTCGATATATGATCTCAAGAATTTTACTGTGCTCTTTCCACTTGTAGATTTTGTAACTTTCACTGATGGAAATTTTGAGAATCGATCAATAGCTACTAAAAGATAGATTTTTTTTCCTTTTTGATTTTCTATAGGCCCCGCGTAGTCTAGTTGTACCTCCTGTCCCGGCTGCGTGAGCAGTGGCAATGGTTTTGACGAATTTTTCGAAATAAGGTATTTTACATTCTTACCATATCTGGTACAACTACGACACTCCTCTGCCAAATTCACGATGTCCTTATTCATGTGTGGCCACCACAGATACTGCGCTGCTCCCAACATAGCCTCCTGACCTGGGTGTCCTCGATGGATTCGTTTCAGGACAGCTTGTCGTAGTTGAACTGGTACTGCTAGCCGATTATTCACCAAGATGCAGTCGTCCTGAACTGCCATCTGTGACCACAACGGATTTGTATAGGGTCCCATCAATTCGAATCCTTGTTTATCCCCTCTCTCTACCACTCTCCTGAGGCGGTCCATCCCCGTGTCTTCTGTGGTCAGTTCTGCTAGTAAGTTTTTGTCGAACAGTTTTGCGAGGTTGTCCAGGGTCTCCACTTGTTGCTGCTTTTGCAGTCCTGTTTTTCCTAGTCCCTTTGGCGGTTGAATTGAGCACACTTCCTCCTCACTCTCCGCCTCTTCTGTGGTTGTCAGGTCTACTTCTATTACATTCACCTCACTGAGTTTTCGTTCCGTCGATGCGCTCGGTTTTGGCGATGTTGAACTTGATTCGTGTTCCAAGTTGTCCCTGACTTCTTGGGTATGAGCCACCAGTTCTCGATTTTCCTGAACATTGTTTTCTCCGCCCATTAACTGCCAGAATGAGAGCAGTCTTTGATCCGCTACTCGTTGTTGTTCCGGTTCCAACGACCATTTTACTCGTTGTGCATGACGTGTTTCGCTGTCGGAGCTGTCCCTATTTTTTCTGCCTCCTCGTATTATTTTTCTCGTGCGTTGGACTGCCTCTGTGATCTCCTCCTCCTCCGAGAGTTCGTTATTGGTGGAAAGTGATCGGTTCCACTTTGGGTCCATTATGCTTTCTTCGCGCTCCTCATTCCGCCATTCTTGTGGTGAGTTCGACCACCAGTCGTATGCTCTGTTTTTATTTTCTGACATCTCGATCCCTGAGTCTGTTTTTTCTATTTTGCTCGTTACTGGTCGTTTTTTGATTTTGCAATTATTTAAGACTGACTGTTTAGTGGGTTGATTTGACGAAAAAGTGATTTGTTTCTGTTGAACTGTTGTGTTTAGCTGTTTTTGCAGTCGTGGAAACTGTTTTCTCTCGTTCCGGTCGAGCCTTGTTCGGTTTTGACCGTTTTGGTTGCTATAGCAACCATTACTTGATGACTGTTTCGTAACATTCCTTCTAGAACATTCTAGAACGTTTTCGTTCCGGTTGAGCGACCTTGAGTCTTTAAGCCTACTGTTCCAGCAGTCGAACGCTTCATGAAAAGAGTTTATTGTCGCTACTACAAACTTTTCGTCTAATTCTGATTCGGGCCAGGGATCATTGAAAGGATCACGCGATAAATAATCAACTATGCCCATGTCCCTCCCCGGAATGTGAACTATGTTGAACTGATATGGCAGTAACCGGTCAACCCACCGGGTTAAACGTGATTGGTAGGCCTTGTTCGATTGATTAACATCCAATGCTGTTGTAAGCGCTTTGTGGTCAGTTGCGATGGTAAATGGTTTCCCCAGAAGGTAGTGTTTATATCTATCTACTGCCCAAACAACTGCCAATAATTCCAACTCATTTGTTGAATATTTTTTTCCTGGGCATTTAAGTATCGGGATGCGAACGAAGTTGGGGCCCACAACCCTTCATCATTTTGTTGTTCTAAAGTAGCCCCTAGCCCATCATGGCTAGCATCGCATTTAACTCGTGTTTCACGATTTGCATCGTAATAATGCACTTTCGTAATATTTGCCACAGCTCCTTTTATAGCATTAAATGATACTGTGTGAACATCCCCCCACTCGAATTTTTTCACCGGGAGTTTCATGTTTTTTAACTTTTTCTTTTGATTTTCTTCTTTAAGAAGTGGTCTTAATTTTTCAGTCAGACTGGCTACGTTAGGTATAAATTTAGCTAAGTGATTTATGCTTCCTAGAAATGACCTTAGTTGTTTTAGGGATTTCGGCTGGTTCAAGTTTACTACGGCTTCCGTTTTAGTGATTTTCGGTCTAACCCCTTCTTCTGAGAGATGGTGACCCAACCAATTCACTTCTTGTTTAAAAAATTCACATTTTGAGAGTTTCAGTGCCAAGTTTTCCGCATCCAATTTCTTTAGTACTGCTTCTACTAAGTTTGCATGTTCGATTTCACTTCCCTTTGACACAATAAGTATGTCATCCAGAAAACAGAACGTGTTTTTAGCGTGATTGATGGTTCTATCCATAGCCTTTTGAAATTCAGCTGGCATATCTGCTAGACCGTAGAACCCTGTCAAGAATCTGTAAGTTCCAGTTGCTTTTCCACCCACAATGTTAAAATTGCATTGTCTAGCTGTATCAGCAGCCAATTTTAGTTGACTGTACGCATATTTCAAATCTAACACCGAAAAATATAGCGTACCCTTTTTGTTTTCAGTTACAATCTGGCTTACCCCATCAATAAGTTCATCTACATTCGGCATTTGGTATTTGTTTTTGAACAATTGTCTATTGATTGGTTTTGCATCCATTGCCAATTTTATTGAGTCGTCCTTCTTTACTGTTATCACAATCGGGGCGATAAAACAATCACTTGTACATTTATCAAGTTTTGTTATATGACCTTCTGTCAATAACTTCTCGATTTCTTTTTCGACTTTATCTTGTATGTGAATTGGGATTCTTCTCCCCTTTTCTTGAATCGGACATAGTGGGTATTTGAAGTTTGAACTGGCAATGTGATTTTTTGAAATGCCTTGCCTTTCAAATAAGTTTTTAAATTTAGTGAAAAATTTTTCTTTCCAACCTTCTGACTGCTCGCACATGAGCACGTCAAACCTGGTGAGTTCTTTTGGCGCCGGTCTTTGTGTAGTCACTATTCCCACTTGTCCTTGCAGATCTAATCCCATGATGCATCTAGTTTTTCGTTCTGATACCAGAAAGGTTGCGCCCTTTACCTCCCAGCCCGCTGACCTCAGATTGGTTTTCAGGGCTCCCAGGATACTGATCGGTTGTTTGTTGTAATCCACGAGTTTGGTTTGTAATTTCAATTTGTCGGACGGTATGAATCTCACTTTTTTTGATTTTTCCATGATTTCCTTTGTCGTGGCCCAGTTAAGAAATGAAACAGGACTTCCAGTGTCCACTGTTAATTGAATTATCTGGTTATCTATTCGTACCATGGCTTTTAGTGATTTTACGCGATTCAATGTTGGATCGCGAATAGAATCTATTTTCTGAACTCGTATCACTTTTCCGTTTGTTTTGTTTCTCATTTCGTTGATTCGATCTTTCACATATTTTGAAACTCGCTCATTTTCCGGTTGGTAGGTTTGTATTGACATAACTTCAAATTCACTACATGACCCAACACCTTCACTGATCTGGTCGCATTCCTCTACCGATCCTTCCGAATCTTCCGCAACTTCACTTACTTGTCGGGATCTGCACATTTTGGCGAAGTGATTTGGTTTACCACAGTGTTTACAATTCTTCCCCATCGCTGGACAATTTTTTAGATGTCCCTGTTCAAACGTCCTTCCACATCTATTACATGGTTTTGTTTTCGTGTTTTGAGTTTTGTTATTATTCTGTCTGTTATTTGTTTCTCTTCTATTTGGGGTTTTGGTTTTCCCCCCCCCAAATTTCGAACTGCCATTACAGGTTCCTGTTTTATTCTCACACCCGATGTGTAATTGCTACTTGATCCTCCTGTAGCCGCAGCATTAGTCTTTTGAAATGCCATTGTGGTTAACTCGCTATGTTCGAATTTTATAGCCCTTTTTAGAACTTCCTCTGGATTCAGAGTTTCGAATGTCAACGTGTCCTGCAATGTCATGTTTTTCATTTTCGAAATGAACAAGTCTCGCACTATTTCATTTTCCAATGTCCCCAGTTCTTAACGAGCAGCTTGAGCAGTTAATGCTGCGTGGAATGATTCTAGAGATTCTCCAGATTCTTGCATTCTCGTAAATAACTTGTATCTTTCGTATGTTACACATTTTACCTTTTGAAATGAGACTTCTGCCAACTCTGTTATTTCTCTGAACGTCATTTTCGATATTTCTGCGTGCGGATTCTTTTGTAGGAATCTCTTCTTTCCCTCTGTGCCCAAAGATAGAAATAATCGTGACACCAGTTTCTTTTGTACTTCGTTGTAGAAGACATTGTGTCCGACTCGTGGGCCTCTTGTTTTTCTTTCTTCGTTCTCCAATACTACTCTGTCTCTTGCTAATTTATCTCTAAGGATCCTAGCGTTTCTCGCATCTTCGTTCTCCCCTTCCCTGGGCGTTTCCGGGCGTGGTGGTGGTTCCTCTAATATGTCTTTTGGTTCTTCCAAAATAATCTCTGGGTTCACATTTTCTTTGACCGTAACCGCCATGAGAAATTGTTCGAACCAAATTTTGAATTGCCACGGAGGGTCTAGATTCGCTGATGCCCAAAATACCGGAATTCCCATATCCGTTCTGTTGTCTTGAGCTGCGAATCCTGCTGGCTGCGCCATGTGATATGCGTTGCGATATCAATTGAAAACAAGTTGTAATTCAATACTGTAGTCTGAATATTGAATTTAGATTTTCTCTTTTCTTGGTTTCTTATGTACTGAGAGATAGATCATTGTTAAGTACTCTGATCTCTCGCTTAATCTCAGTGTCAACACTTACGTATGACCTTGAGAATACCATAAAATAATGATTGAGCACCAGAGGTTAGATGTACATACGTATAATAAATACTGCTACTGCAGTAGCGGTATGACAGGCACACAGCATCCGCCCCTTACTCTCTTCATATCCCGTCTCTCCAGTCTAGGTTTTTAAAAATTAAATGTCGCCCCTATGTGGCCCATTCAAAACCTACTTTTAGGTCAAAGTTATACTGTTTTTTTAAAGTAACAACTATATGGGTCAATGTTTATAATAGTTAAGTTTCGATCATTCGCAGCAGTTTATTCAATTTGCAGAAAGTTCGCGCAATTTCAAGTGTGATTACAAAACTAATTTTCAGAAAAAAGCTCCAGTGAACTTCAATTTTCTGCCGCTACATGAGCATTTACGATAAAGTTTTTGAAGTTCAAAAATTGTTTATTCAAGTATGCTCATTTTTTAAAATTCATGTAAAGTTAGCGAAATGCAAAGTTTTTCTCATACCCTTTTTTGACCGTCACTTGGGCTTTTTGAAGTGTCGTTTCTGGTGGCTGTCATTTCCAGGTAACTGTCAAAAAAGGGTATGAAATGAGTGTGTCATCTTTTTAGATACCTAATCAGTACTTCATGTCTTTTAGGTTGCCACTTCCTGACGCTGATGTGAGCAGAGGCCATGCTGTTAATCAGCTGGACCGGGAGCAGTACAGGATGAGGAGGAAGCAGCTGACATTTATCGCCGACTCCGCCTTCCAACTGAGAGAAACATGCACTGACTTGGAGGAGGCGGTGGAGGAACTCAAGACATACCTGGCTTCCATCCGCTCTATGTGCTTTGAGGTGTTTATCCAAAAATTTCCAAAAATTTTGGGAAGCGAAACTTAATCAAGAAATTTTCAACGTATTTTAGCACCAATAGGTTTTTTCAGTTTCTTCAGTTTTTGTTTAAATTGTTCGAGTTGAAATTTATTGTGATACTGGCTACCAAATTGGGATCTACTTAACAATCCCCCACCCTATTGTACCTACTAAAGAATCTCCCCCCTTTCAAGAAAGGGGGGGGGGGGAGATTGTTAAGTTGATCCCTGGGGACCTACTTAACAATCCCCCCCTATTGTACCAACTAAAGAATCTCCCCCCTTTCTTGAAAGGGGGGGGAGAGATTGTTAAGTAGATTAGATCCGCAAATTGCCTATATATTTGGTCCTCGTGATATGTTTTGAATTACCAGTATAACCTAACAGCCAGACGACTTAAGCAAAGTGGTGAACAAGCTTTTTTTCATGATGGGGATCCAAAAATTGGCTATAAAAGAGACCTTTCAAATGGTCGACTATAGTTCCCACGTTCCTATTCTTTTTAATGTGGTTTCTGTTGTGTTCTTTTGCAGCCTCAGAACAGCGTTCCTGACGTGGTGATTTGGATGATATCAGGTGAGAAGAGGGTGGCCTATTTGAGGATCCCCGCCTACGACGTCCTCTACTCTGACTGGGAGTGGGGCAGAGGCAGGCACTGCGGCACCAAACAAACCATCTTTCTCAAGGTACCACAATCCAGCAACAACTACAACATAAATCAGAACAAAACTGAACTAATTTCAGCGACATTATTTGATTAGTTTTAGTTTTGCTCTGTACACACGCGAGCTTGCAAGTATTGTTCTAACACGAACCCACTTTTTCAAGCTAACTCGCAAATAAAAGTGCTCATTTGGTGGCACTTTTGCTGCTGAGTATTGACAATTAATTATCATCTGTTCTAACTGCTTTACTGGTAGCTAGTTTGTGTACGCTCAAGCGAGCATGTCAGAAATAGGAGGACGTGAAACTCAGAATCTCGAGTTCTGGGGGTCGATTCCGGAACATTTCCTTATTTCAATTTTTAAAGCAACATTTTGCCGTATTCTTGATTGTGTTTGCGAAATGTAGCTTCGCCTCTGTGTAAATAAGTTTCATTCTAGTATAATCCTCTGCTTTGCTCCAACGCAATTTTCATTGATACTCTTGTTGTTAGTTTTTTTTGTTTCCATTGGCAATGTTTTTGTGGGAATTTTGCATTACTGTATTACAATCAGGAAAAATTAAACTAATTTGACTAACAGTCAACGTATTGAACCATCATCTTGGTTTTGCCACGTCGTTTGCAACCCTCTGATTTTTTCTTCTATACTGAATTTGCTCTCATTGCACATATCGCCATTGTGCATGTCTCGAAGTGTTGCAAAGCTGGCATGTTGATGTGAAATTTGGAAAACTGATCGTATCTATAATTTCATGAAATAAATAAAATCATAGTTTTTAACCATCGTTGGTGTGTTGTGATGTTAGTTCCCTGGAGTGGACTTGGATGAGGAGCAGCGGACTAAGATCAGCGCCGAGGTCAGACTGAGATTGTGGCTGGGTCTGGAGAGTCAGAGTCCCAAGTGGCACACCATCCACACAGACGCAGACGTCCAGGTCTTCGGAGAAACGGTGAGCTCTACCTGCATTTATCGCAAATTCAACAAGTTTTCGTCATCTTTACGCGTGAATGTATTTCAATCGAAACAAGTCAGAACAAAAACTTGCGAAATACTCATTTTTTGGTTCTAAAAATTGGCCGACTAATGGGCTGGAATTTTTTCCCTTGTTTTGTCGATTTATGCAGTCACTTCAAAGATTATTTTAAAAGCAGCTTCTGATTGCAAAGTGTTTGTTCAGTACGAGAACCAGGTGTCTCTTTTCGGCAATTGGACCACTACTGGACTCACTCGACCAGAGTTCTCTGATGAACACGGCCATTACAAACTACAGAAGGAGAAATTTGTGGCACCTCGTGGGTGGCAGTGGGCCGGCGATTGGTTTATCTCACCTGAAGCCAGTCACTCCTTCGACACAGACGCTCACCATGTGAAGTTCCTGGAGGACATCTTTGAGAATGAGAGTCGCAACCCGGGAGGCAAGTGGGGACCCTCTCCTCACGCTTTAACTGATGTGGTATGTTTTCTGCAGTTAGTTCGAACTGAAAACAGCGAACAAAATGATTAATTTAACAAGCGTAACCGGTTGCTGAGCAAGAAGCACAGAATTATCCGATCATATTCTTGAAAAAATGTATATATATAAAACAAATTAAATTAGTGTCGTCTTTGTGCGTGGTCTGATGAAAGGGTACGAAAGATAGCCTGTAACTTTGATATCTTCGAAAGTCATTGTAAAATAGGCATACCGAACAACACTTTTCCTCAAAAGTGACAAAAAAAACGTTTCCAACTATTTGTCATTTTCTTTTGCAGTTTTTTTTGCAATTTTGAAGCTTTTTATTCCAAAGATGGCGCTAAAAAATTTTGAAAACTAATTTTACTGGAGTAAAATTGAGTTTTCAAGTCTTTATAGAAATTTCTTGGCTTATCGTTCTATCCTAGGCCGGCCTGCTCACTTGCTTTTATCATTCAAAATTAGACTAAATTTCAGATATATCACACCGCTTTTTCTCAGCCCTGAAAAAAATTTTCAATTTTTTTAAACTGACCGAATCACGACTGAAAGAGGATTACTATGATATAACAGTCCGCCCACTTCGTTGAAGATTTGTGCTACCTGATTTTGCGTGGAAAACAAAAAAAAAGAAAAAACTAGAATAGAAGCGATAAACTTAAAAACATCTGACCGACGTTTTCTTTCCAAAATAATGTAAGCAATGAAACCTAAAAAACATACAAGGACAGCCGGCTACTGCTCAAGTAGCACAGAATGCTCCGATCATAGACTTGAAAAAAAATACAAAAATGTTTTCTCAAATTGATGTCGTTTTTTTCTGCATGTTGTGATAAAACAACTCAACGAAAAAAATCGAACTTAGGCATATTTGAGAGTCATAGTAAATAGGTCAATTGGAAAACAGTTTAGAAGAAAAATGACTAGAAAAACGAAAAAAAATTGAAAACATTTTCAAAAGTTTATCAATTTTTTTTTTTGAATTTTCACGTTTTTGATTTCCAAAATTGCGTTAGAAAACTCTAAAGACTACCTTTAGTTAAGTAAAACTAAATTTTCACGCCTTAGATTAAGCTTAAATAAGCTATTGTAATTACTAACTACCTAACTAATTAGCTCGAAATTAGACCAAAAATCAAAAATTTCAAAATGGTTTTTCTTGACACAAAGAAAATTTTTTGGAAAACTTAATGTCGTTCGAATCACGACTGAAAAGGCTTTTGTATGATATATCACTAACCCTGTCCGATGATTATTTTTGGCAGCTGATTTTGCGTGGAAAACAAAAAGCCAAAAAAAAACAAAAATAAAAGACATCCGAATACAAAGTTCCTCCCCATTTTCAATGGTCGGAACAACAATCTAGTATCGTATATCAAGCTGTATTGGAAAATGTCCAGAACACTTTTCTCGTTACAAAGAAAACAGTTCAAACTTGTGGAGCGGTAAAAAGTGGAGAAATTTGCCAGTATTTGACAGAAGAAAGTATCATTTTTTGGGAATTTTCAAACCCCCAGAATTTTACAAAAAATAATCGGAGGTGAAATATTTGTTTTACATTTGAACTCAGGAAGTCGATATCTTCAATGAGGTATAAAAAATTTTTGTTGAAAAATATTGTTCCGATCGGTGAAAATTGACTGATTAAAAAAAAACCACACCGAGCATAAATATTTCGTTTTCTTCGAAAATCGGAACAATTAGTACGACCAATTAAGGTTGCCTCAACTCAATTGGGAACAGGATAATTCGGAACAGGTTTTTGTAGTGCAGGATAATTCATCGCGCATAAATAATTAGTCTTTCCATGTCATAAGTAAGATCTTCTCAGTTTGCATGAATTAGTCCAGAGCATGGCCCGATAGCTTTACAAAAAATGATTTTGAGTAAACTAACCTTTAAATTTTGATTTGAAGGAGTCAATTTTTTCAATCGGGTATAATTTTTGTTTGATAAAACTTATTTAATCGATCGCCGAAATTTTACTGAACTAATACCACCTCAAGCAAAAAATATTCCGTCACTTTCTTCGAAATTCGGGATTATAACCATAGCTATCCACAGCTTAATTAACCTATAAATTAACCGCGATTAACCGTGATTAACTTATGAACATTTATCAAAACTGAAATATGATATATCAATCGACTTTGTTTCTGGAACCTGATTTGAATGGTGAAAACAGGGAGTGCGGTGAAGTGGCTAACTCTCCGCCTCTCAGTGGAAAAGTCGGTCGTGCAAAATTGTCTGATGAACTTGTTATGATCGCCATAATATTTTTCTGCGATTGAAAAATTGGAAACTGGCAAAAAAGAAGCGACAGAAAACATTGATCAGTCATCTTTGTTGAAAAGAACTAATCGTTTACTTGATTGGGAGGCCTTTTCTCAGCTGATAAATTCCGAGAATTTGTTCACTGACTCACTGAGTAAATTTGTCGTATAACTTCAGGAGATCGTCTTTTGAATATTTCAAATGAAAATTGTCCGCTTGTTTCGAAAATAAAATTATTGTTGGTATATTGTGAGTATTTTGTTGTGAGTAATTTGTTGTGAGTAATTTGTGGTTGTGTTTGTGGAATAGCGTAATGACCCCATTGCAGTGGCGTCGCGTGATGCGATCCAGTGTCCGGAGGGGTGGGAGTGGGACGAGGATTGGCGACTGGACCTGAACAGAGCTGTGGATGACGAGGGATGGGAGTACTGCGTTGAAGCCACTGTTGGAAACTACAGGTGAAAAGATGTCCCCAGTTCCCCTCGACTCAAATAAAACATTGTTAATTTGGTATCAGCATTAGCCTTGTTAATTTGGTATTCTTAAACCAAAGTCTTGCATGTCAAAAGATTCTATTAACTAAAATCGCCCAAACCATAAGATTTCAGGGATGTTTTTTAGCTATAAGAGTTCATTTGGGCTTTCTCTATCAATCTACAGACATTATGTAATTTAACGCGGTGGCCAGGCGTGTTCCCAACTATCTCAGTGAGCGAAAAAAAATTATGCTAACATAAGATTCAAACTAATCTGAATTAGCTAACATAAGATTCAAACTTCTCCTTGTGATATTCGGGAACACGCTCAATAGAATAGGTTTTAAACGAATATTCTTAGTTTAAGTGGTTTCTCCAAAGCGCACTTCCGCTTTACCGAGGAGCAAATCGATTGAACTTTAAGAGAAACCATATTTGTGGATAATTTGAGCCAACTTCAGATATCATTTTGCTTGCGCGCTTTTGTAGCCCGGCGGAGAAGACGTACCATCTATGTAGAAGGAGGAGGTGGGTCAGAGGCAGGAGCAGATCCGATCAACTCACCGTCCAATCGGGCACCGTCACGGCCCAAGTTAGTACATCACTATCTTAACTTATCACTTTTAAACTATATTCATTATTGCTGAAAACTTAAAATATGCAGTTTTTGGTCGAATTGAACAATTAGCTAAAACTAGAACCGCAAGTTATTGGACACGCATGCTAAACGATGCATTCCAACCAACATGTAGGGTTGCGGTAGTTGGAAAATTACATTAGGCTATTCGATTGTTTAAGCAGGCTCGTCTAGTCTTGATTACTTTTTTTGCGAATCAAAGGGAGCAACAAAATTGAACTTTTTCTCCATCTGTGGAAATGGTTGTGAAAAATTATTGGCTTTTTTGGATTGGCAGCATAGCAATGCCCAAAAATGATTCTAAGCGTTCTTTTATATGAGCGATCATAATTACCTTGATGAACAAACTGATTACACGTCAACACATTTCATTTCTTTGATTAAATCAATTTCAAATTTTAAAATTATACCTCAGATCGCCTAAGATTGTGGTCGGTTTCTTAAATGAAAAGTTAAACTTTCCGCAGGACGCAGGTGGCAATTTTACATCGAACCTGATTCGTTGGGGCTCGATGTTGTCTGTGAGCAACCAAGCTGGTTCAAGGAAAACTACGGAGGTAAATTAAGCCCACGCGGGAAGCGGCGTTCAAAATTTTTTGTGAATTTTCCCAATTTCCGATTGAATTTTCCCAATTTTCTGTTCGATGCTGTTCCTAAATCCATGATCCCTGACTGAAATTGTTGCGTCTGTAATTGATGATGAAACCATGTGATTGTGAAACCTAATTGACTTTTTAACGGAAAACGGACAAATAGAAGGGACTTTTCTTAGGCAGTCACTGCTTTTGGTTCCGACTTTCGAAGAAAAAGCCGAGTATTTATGCTTGGAGTGTTTTTTATTCAGTCAGTTTTTGACCATTTAGCTAAGCGTTTTTGACCAAAACTATTTATGCCATGTGTATGCGAGAGATATTAGATATTATTGTCTGGAGCTCAAATATTTTCGATAAATTTACCTGTGATTTTTTTTCAATAAAGTTATGGGGGTTTTAAAATCGCTTATTTGGCGACCTTGGTTTAATTAACGCGGGGGACTAAGGAATTTGGACTACAAGCAAATTAGACGCGACCAAAAATGAATTTATAATTAGAATTATAAAAGGTAAATGTTTTTTATCATGTTTTTTAAGTGCGTTTACTGAGTACAATTAAATTTCGTTCCAGCTTTCTTAAAAAACAATCAATTGTCCACATGGGGAAGTTTTTCAATTTTTGCATTTCAAAATTTTTTAAATAATATTCAGATTAATGTTTTATATATCAATTATAATTAAAATTTTGATATACCATGAGGTTATATACTCTTCTCGTATTTGTCAGTTTTTTTAAAGCAGTTAGTCTTGTGAGCCCTTGTTCTTCGTCCAAAAGTTTAGTTTTGCAAAAAATAATGTCTAAACTCCGTTTTTGTAGCCGTCTATTTTTTTTTCTGTCTAAGTTACTGTCACCCTAACGGGGTATATATTGTGTTCTTATAACACACGTAAGCGGTGAGTTATTGCTTCCAATTTGAGTTGAGGCGAGTCATTTGGTTTTATTATTTAGAAGCTTTTATTATTAGCCGCTGTTTGACATCATTTATAGTTGAAAATCACTTTCAGTGCCAAATCATATCAAAAAATTACGGATCTACGTAACAATTGCCGTCCCTTTGTTTTCTGCTTAAGAAACTCCGCCCCAATAAATAAAAGCAGCAAATTAGCACTAAAGCGTTGCATTTAAATTCGAATTTTGCTGCTATCTTATTGATGAAAAATACGACAACTTAATCTAATTAACAATTGCCTCCTTCCTTAAAATGGGGGGAGGGGATTGTTTAGTAGATCCAAAAATGCTGTCATCAATACGCTGATTTTTTTAAAGTCAAGTTATCTAACGGGGAAAAATTTGTTTTTCGATTTGATAATGCGTGCAACCGTAATTATTTTCTGAGGTGCAGTTTCTAATGAACCTTAATATTTTCTTGCTTTTATTCGGAGACAATCACATCACGAATCATTTGCAAACGTTTCTGTGACATATCAGTGAATTTCAAAATCAAACAATCAGGCCAAACATTAAATCGAAGAGCTTAAATTTTAAGATATGTCAACGTATTAAATACCTAAATACACATACATTTTCATTATAACAAATCCTCAAATAGAAACTTGATGCATTGTAATCTCTGAAATTATTTTTACTCTTGTAAGTATTAATTAATGAAGTGTTTTTTTTTACTAGCCACACAAACAATACATCGCAGAGCTTAAGTTTTAAGATATGACAACTTTTTGAATCCCCAAATACACATGCATTTTAATCATAACATGTCCCCAAATAAAAATTTGATGCATTTTATCTCCGAAGTTACTTCTACCTTTTTAATTATTAATAAATGAAGTGATTTATCACTTATTTAAGTCTTGTGGTTTTTTGACTAATCACGCTCAGGTTGTTCACGCTCAAATTGTTCCCGCTCAAATGGTTCACGCTCAAATTAATCACATGCACGCTCCAATTATATCACGCACAAACCTTGCTCACGCTCAAAATATTCACGTTCAGTTTTAAACTTTGCCATTTAACTTTTGATTTCTTTGTGTTGTTCCGACTGCAAAGAAAATGGAATATTTCTGCTTGGTGTGGTTTTTATATTCAGTCAATTTTCGGCAATCGAAATAATAGGTTTTAATAAACAAAATTTTAGACCCATTGAAGATATCGACTCCCTGAAATTAAATGTAAAAAATATTTTGCCCCAATCAATTTGATCATTTTTTGCAAAGTGTTAGGAGTTTGAAAATTGATAATTTGGCCATGCTCTGGACTAATTTATGCGCATTTTGTAGATTTTTTCCATAATCCTTAAAGCGTAATGCAAATTATTTATGCGTTGCAAATTATCTCGCACAACAAAACCGTTCCCAATTGAATTGAGGCTAGGTAATTGGTCGTTGTAACTTCCTATGACTCAAACTTCCTAATCTTTGATATTGCCCAAAATTTATAGATTTTCAGTATTTTCTTTTCCCACAAAACTGAAACTGGTTACATAGCAAAAATGACACCTCATAAAGTAGACAACTACTACATCAACCAATCCGAATCGAGAGCAAGAAGCAAACTCAGGAAAAAAAGTTATGAATTACTTATTTCCTGAGTTTGCTTTCTGTTCTCAATTCTGATTGGTTAATATAGTATTTGTCTACATTTTGACCGGTATGAAATAAAGGTTCTCTACTTTTTGACTGCACTCTCAAATTATTTGATATAAGTTAAGAGGCAGTTGGAACATTCAGGGTTTTGCCCTGATACACGAGCAGTCTTGTTTGGTTATATCATTTCATTTGGAACGAAATATTTGAAGCTAAGATTCAATTGGAAGCTTTTCGTGTATATTCAATATTTCATATTCTACCTAACCTCTTTTATGATCCATGAACCGTGGGTTTTGAAATTAATTATGCGCTGTAGGTATATGGCCTAATATATGGGTTGATGATGGTCATTGCTTTAAAAAGGGGCGAATTAATACTGTTGTCAGGTTTGGTTTAAAAAAAAACAGTAAAACCTAAATTGCATTTGTAGCTTTTGTTTAAACGTCTTCTTTGTTTTTGAAGAAAAATTGGTGGTGATAAATTAGATAGCAAAATGGCGTTGAATTAAATCACATTGCTCATAGTGATTAATTATTCACGTCCTTTTATTGAATAGGACCCCGCGACTCTGCTGGCGGGTGGAGGGTGGGAGTATGCGACAGTGTTCACGGGTAAGTTCCACGACAAGGAGAAGACGATGGACATGTGTAGGCGGAGGAGATGGCACCGGAAACTCAACTGCACCAAAGTGGGCAGTCCCTGTCTCTTCCTCATCGACGTAAACTCAGACATCGCCAAACCCATCGAGGTAATATGAAGCAACGATTTCTGCAACTTTTTTTGAACTCACCCTTTGTTTTTTTACCATAAATTTTATCTTAGGGTAGATTTCGACGCATATAGACAAGAATAGCATACTGCAGAATGGCATAGTGTACCATAGTAGGTTCGATTTTCATAAAACCCAAACCAAAAGACACGGAAAAAACAAGCAAGTGGGCTGATTTCGCAATTTTTTCACCACGCCAAATTTTAGCGCGTTGTCTCTCATTCCAATATTTTTTTCTTGCATCTTTGAAAACCGGATTCATGTCTTAAATAAACACTTTTTTTCGCGTGTCTTAAATAAACACTTTTTTCCTTACTTTTTAATCCCAACTCGGATCAAATTATATGCTGATAGTAAGGAAGAGAGTCTTGATTTCGGTAACTTGCTCATATATGATCTACTCTCAAATCAAATTAAAGATACTGTTTGGTTGGTCAAGGGTTCTCCACGCTAAGTTGATCTTTTAAATAATCGGGTTATGATTCTGCCGCCAGTATACCAAGAAACAGCAAGCCATTGAGACCGGCAAAGCGCTGGCAAAGTCAATTTGGCACAGGGTAAGGATCCTATCCCTAGAAAGCATGGCTCGAAATATTTTGACGCATAATTTTGATAAATAAAGTAAATTATTGAAAAATTGCGAATTGATTTGATAGTTTTGAATTTGGAAGACCATTTAATAGCATGGTTTGAGCATGATTTTTTCATCAGAAGAAACACTTTTATATTGCCCGGAATTATAGAGGAAAATGTGAGGCATAATCATAATCAATCTCTGATGTAATATTTGACGAAATTAACGCACACTAAGGCTGCAAGTTCAACTAGTTTGATGAATAACATTTTCATCGATGATTTAGTCATACTTTGATTTTATAGACTAACGAGATTTTGGTAAGTGAACTGATAGTCATCACTGGGATTTCATCTAAAAAAAGATCATCGCCATTTCAGTGCGTGGAAAAATGGAAACTCTGGGTACTGATGTGAAATGGGAAATTTCCATCTAGAACTCTCACAAAAATGAGTAGACACCACTTTCACTTCACAGATCTTCTCATTTGCTTTTGACTGTTCAAAATTAAGCAGTACTAGTCAAAAAACACATACTCAGCTTCATTTGAAAATAATTACACTCGCGAGAGCAAGTGTCGTGTAATCGGAAATACACTTTTTTATGCAAACAACTTTGCTGCTGACATGCTATGCTCTATTCTGCTGACATGCTCAAATTCTTAAAATTTAAACTGAAACTTTCTCATAGTTCATTTGGCGTAGTATAGTAATCATTTTTTTAAAATTATTGACAAATGTTTTTTTTTCGGATCGGAATAAAAAAATACTTTATCCAGTTTTTTCTAATTGGGTAAGTTTTTTTTTAAAAAGGGCAAATCATATAAGATTTTCGAAATTCAAAGCGTGTCAGCGTTATATAAATTAGCACCAATTACCAACAATGGCTGATCCAAACCCACCTCAAGTTTCACTTAAGAGATTCTCAGAACACTAAAAAAAAAAAACGAACAAAAAACCCAAAAAACCTCACAATAAGTTATATAGGGAAATACGAAGCATGAAGGTTATAACACGTACTCGCTTTTTTATTGACATCTAGCCCAGCTCCCACTATTTAAACTTGGGCCTGTATTCCTTGAGAGAGATGTCATCAATTTTGCCGCAGCCGGTCCCACCTTGAGGAAACGGATGACACTGGGACCCCTCCAACCATGACCGAAGCGGGATTCAAACCGACGATCTTTATGTTAAAATCTTGCTCACTCAGTCATGGCTGCTCTTTTACTCGCTCGCTTTACTCATTCGAAATTGAATAATAAGCAAAATTTTCAAACCAGTTTTTCTCGAAACCGAGAAAACTTTTTGAGATTTAAAAAAAATCAAATCACATATGAAAAAATTTTGAAATAATGTTTGAAGCGACTCGTTCTTAAATGACTTGCAGGAAAAAATGAAAAAAAAAAAATCGATACATATGCTTAAGTGTGATTTAAAATTGCGAAAATTAAAATGGCTATCAAAAAATTCGCGAAACCAGGAATTTGTCAGCACTTTTTTACTTTTGAGCAAATTTGATGAATTTTGGTCGTTTCGCGGTTTTTAATGTATTTAGCAGTCAGAAATAAGTGGTTTTTGGGCGAGTTTTTGTTTTCTAAACTTTTTTCACGCCAAGTTTTTTCACCTCAAGTAATGATTGGAGTGATATCTCGTTATTAATTTTTCATTTGTGATTGGAACGACATTTAAAAGGTAAGAAATTTTTTCTCCGTCGAAAAAAACGGGTTTAAACGAAGAATATCTGGTTATTGTGCAATTAGTACAGACTGTTCCGACCATAGTCTCCAGAAAACTACGGTTTAGAAACTTTTTTTTAGATTAGTTTTTTCTGCTTGGTGTGATAAAAGAATCTAACGTAAAAGTCTAATTTAGGCATATTATTCAGTCATAGTAATATAAGCAAATTAGACAAAAAGTTTTGTAGAAAATTTATTAGAAAAACTAAAACAAAGGGTAAAAAAAATTTGTTTATCAAAATGTTGCTATAAAACTCCAACTAGTTTTACTGGCCTGTTTTATTCTCCAACAACTAGTTTTATTTTGTTTATCAAAATGTTGCTATAAAACTCCAACAACTAGTTTTACTGGCCTAAAAATAAGTTTATCGTCTTAGAATAGGCATAATTAAGCTGCTGTAAGCCTGCTGGAATTCTTTATTCGCTCGAATTAAAGCGAAAAATCAAAAATTTCAAACCGGTTTTTCTCAACATTAGAAAATGAATTTCAGAAATTTATTAAAGGTTCGAATCACGACGTAAAGGGTGTTAATATGACATATCACTCAGCTCAGTCCGATGATTATTTGAGGTACCTGATGTTGCGTGGAAAACAAAAGAAAAAAAACTAAAATACACCCGAATACAAAGCTCTTCCCCATTTTCAATGGTCAGACCAATGATTGTTTTTAGTCTAATTTCGAGCGAGTAAAACGAGAAAATAAGCATATAATTTAAAAATCAAATTTAATTTAAGCTGCGAAAATAATAAGTTTTACTCCTGCAAAACTAGATTTCAAAGCTTCATCGAGCTTTTTCTTTGGCCTAAAAGGTTTCCTAACAAAAACTCAAAAAGGATTTTGTGAAAATTACTAGATTTTTTTTGAGTTTGCTTCGATTTTTTAAAATTTTATAATTCAGTGTTCGACAACAACCGTAGTCGATTATTCTTCATTTATTTTATAAGTTTTAGTTTTGTTCCTTTTATCACGCTTTGTACAAAAAATGGAACAATTTTTTTATATTTTGGTCGAAAGTTACGTGCTACTTTCATAGCAGTTGCCTATTCTTGATCTTTCCATTGTACAAAAATTGGATAAATTTTTTTATTTTGCTCGAAAATTGCGTGCTACTTTCATAGCAGTTGCCTATTCTTGATCTTTCGACCATTTTCGTTCGCACCATTGAAAATGGGGATGAATTTTGTGTTCTGTTTTAGCTTTTTTTAGTTTTTGTTTTCCTTGTAAAATCAGGTACCACAAATAATCATCGGACTGGGTATGACTGTCGAATATGGCTAAATTAAGTTTATACGTCAGACCCTTTTATTACACTCCGCAGGAAAAACTACACAAATTGAAAAAGAATGTAATTTTTTAAAGACTATGGTCGGACCATTCTGAGCTATTCTTGTCGTTTTTATTCTTTTTTTATTCTCCACGCAAAATCAGGTACCACAAATAATCATCGGAATGGGTCGAGTGATATACCATATAAAAGTTCTTTCAGACGTGATTTGAACATTAAAAATTTTCGAACAATTTTTTTAGTGTCGGGAAAAACCGGTTTGAAATTTTTTGATTTTTTGGTCTAAATGTGAGCTAATACGGTGAGCGAGCAGGAATATTTTGTTTTTCAACCAAAAATTTTAGCACATAATTATCGCATTGCTCCTCGCAAAATCAGTTTCCACATATAATCATCGGAATGGGTCGAGTGATATATCATATTAAAAACCTTTCAGTCGTGATTCGAACGACATTAAAAAACTTCGAAAAACTTTTCTCAGTATTGAGAAAAACTGGTTGAAAATTTTTGATTTTTGGTCTAACTTTGAGCAATTAAAGCAAAGGAGCAGGCTTTTTATAGACGGAGAAACCATATAAATTTAGTAAAATTAGTAAAAGTAAGTTATACAGTCATTTTAATAGTAAAATAGGTTTTTACTGCCATTTTAATTCATTACAATAAAAAAATTTTACCGCCTTTTTTGGAAGAGAAATCTTTAAAGTTCAAAACAATTTCTTCAAAAAAAATATAAGGCATTTATGAATTTTATTTTGTTTTGTCTTTTTCGACATTGTCATTTTCGACATTGTCATTTTCGACGTTGTTCGATTTTCCTATTTACTGTGGCTGTCGAATGTACAAAAAATTCTGGTTTTCTTCAGAGCTTTCATCTCACCACGCACAAAAAACAACACTTATTTTGAAAAAAAAAACGTTTTGAGTTTTTTGTGTTTTTAAGAATATGGTCGGAACATTCTGTGCTACATGCACAGCAACCGTTTGTCCTTGTTAGATTACGGATGTATTAAGTGTATTTCTGAAGTCTACATAGAATCCATGTTGTTAATTATTGGTCATCGACTTATTATGGAGTCATCTGGTATTGCTCACATGAAACCTGTGTTGCAATTTGCTATATCACCTTGTTTTTGGCTGCACTCATTGTCCGTGTTTCAACATTATTTCGTCCTAACGTAATTTTTTACTTTCAGCCATCTGGATCGGTAAGTTCTTAATCATGGCTGTAACTTATTTTTCACGCACAATGGTGTTATGCATGTGTCTATGCCTAAACTTATTGTTTTTGTTTGATGCTCTTAGAAAATTTTGCTTCACCCTTAGTCAATTGGTTAATTGATGCACATTAAATCAAATTGTTTGAAATAGTACAAACAATGGGAACAACTGAAAGTTTTCTGCCCCTTTTCTCGTATAAATCAGTGATTTATAACCGGCTGTTTTGCGCTGTATGTAAATGTGTCTCCCATTCAAATCTGAGATTGTTTTCATTTTAATCGACCACTTTACTAGGATAAACCAGATAAACCAGTCGTGCCGGAAGCGGAAACGGATCCTTCTACTGCACCGGTAACCCAAATTTTCTGGCTTTTCATGGGCTCTTTTTCATCCATTGCTTATTTTTCATAGAAATTGAATAAATACATGAATCATGAGTAACGAAGCTGGATTGGGGAATTTTTTTTGACCTACATGATGTGCCCTCATGACAGAAGGTGCGAATGACGGATACTGAGTTAACAATTCAGGTGCCATTGATCAAAAAGTTTGAAAGAAAAAGGTCAAAAAAGACAGTCGATTCAGAGTTAGAGAAAATCTACAAATGTTGATTGAATAAAGATTTTCGTCAGTTCGGACCTTTGGTCATGAGAAAAACTTCAAACGAACACAGAATCTTAGCAAGTTAACTATGAGCGCATTCAACCTGCATAATCGTCTCACTTTCATTATCTCATGAAGTTGGTGTTTTTTGAAAGCGGGTTATGGCCTTTGCATATTTAGTTTATACCATTCAGGGCGACAGAAAACTCGTGTTCTTTTTCATATACCAATTTTGATAGTAGTTTTTTTTTTACAGAAATGGTTAATACTTGGAAACACTAATGTCGATTATATAAGCGCAGTTTTCTACTACAGCAGTGTGTTTTTTTTTCGAACTCAAGAATGACCATTTTTCGAAAGTTGTACTTTTTTAAAACTTTGAGAGATACGCTATCCTTAACAAACTTTATAGAAATCGAATCAAGCATCTTTTGTAATGAAGTTGAAACTGATGAATGAATGCAATAACAGGGAGAGGGTGACGATAGCGACAGTGACGCTGGGGAAGGGGCAGCCAAAGTGTCCAGCGCGGGAGTGAAGAAGAAGATTATGCGCATCACGCCCCGAATGTTCCTGGTGTTCAAGGAGGCCCGCAAGTACCAGTTGAGAGTGTACATCTACCAGGCCAGGGGACTGCTCTCTGCCGACGATGACTCATTCTCAGGTTGGGGCTCATTTTGCAGTATTTTAAAATCATTGTCAAACTACTGCTATTATTGGTAAGCTCCATTTTGTTAAAAAGTTCGAAGAAAGTGTTTCATTCTTTTTTTATTTCATGATGAAATACGTTATATGAATTCAAAAAATTATTATTTATATTGTCGTCTTTATCCCGTCCTTACTTAGATCCTTTTGCACGTGTGGTGTTCATGAACCGCAGTCAAAGCACGGAAGTTATTCATAAGAGCATCTGTCCCACTTGGGACCAGACACTCTTGTTTGATCATGTGACCATCTACGACAACCCAGATGATATCGAAAGGAATCCTCCCAACATCTGCATCGAGTTGTTCGACTACGACCGATTCGGGAGTCCCGAATTCATGGGTAGAGCAGTCGTGCAGCCTCTTGTGAAGTTGAATCCGGCAAATACTCGCGTGGCGCGACTCGCATGGCACGAGCTCCACCGTCTGTCGCCGAATGATAATTGCGGGGAGTTGTTGGCTTCGTTTGAGTTGTTTGCGTACGAAGGGGGAGACCTGCCATTTCTACCGCCAATGAAAAGTCAAGAAGAGGGGGGTCTTTACTCAGTTCCTGCTGGAATCAGACCAGTACTGCAGAGGACGGCTATTGAGGTAATTATCAATAAGTTGACTAAATTTTGAGTTTTAAATAGTTTATACAGGTTTAAATTCATTTCACGCTGAAATTTAGCATGAAATCTGATGATGCAAAAAGTTTGATGATGCATTTGCTAAAATAGTTTCAACAATGTACAAAATATGAAAATCATGTGAGTTTTTTTCCTGAAATTTTAACTAATTTTTATAATCAAAATGATTTTGAATAATGGGAAACAAGTGGTAAAAACGGCTTTTCCGATTATGTCCCCCAGCAGTTTATATCTCTTCTTAATATCTAAAAGTCACAGTTAGGTGAGTTTTTTTGTATCACTCAAGGGTGACTATGATTCGAAAGATCCCTTCAAACAACAATAACTCATAAGTGTATGTTATGTGCGTGATGATAGGTGTTATGTTGGGGTGTGCGAAACATGAAGAAGTATCAGCTGTCAGCAGTGAACAGTCCCTCGATTGAGTTCGAGTGTGGGGGACACTTGCTGCACAGTGACGTCATCAGGAGTGTTGCCAAGAACCCCAACTTCAGTCAGCCAGTACTCTTCCTCGACGTCGTCAGTATTACTAATATTGTTTTTATACGCATTGATTGCAGTGTTCCTGTGCCTATGCGACCAATTATTAAACTTAAAAAATTTGATGCTCCTATTAATTTTTGCCTCTAAACAGTACGAGGCCAAACCATGCAGTGTATAGGCGCACAATTTGGTGTCTGTGTGTTCCTGGATTCCAGAAGCAAATCTTTAAACATGTTAAAATAATGTCGGAACGATCAAAGAAAATGAAAGAACAAAACAAGAACAAACAGAGCATCCTTGTTGCAGAATTCGCTTGCAATTCAGAAAAAAATCAGTTTGCCCTCGTAATGAAGCAGTTTTTGTTTCATGCAGAGTTATCATACGTTTTTCTGGAACTACTCTTTCCCCTGATATTTTTTTAACAGTTGATTCTTGCCTACTTCGAATTGAATCTTCCCTCCAGCCCACCTGTGAATTTTTACTAGAAAAAAAATGTTTACCTATTATCAGGAAAATGATGACGGACGTGTGAACTAATTATTATAATTTAAACATATTTGGCCTGCATACAGGGCGGATCCAGAGTTTTCTCTCGAGGGGAGGGACAGATTTTCAAAAAAAAAATTTGAAATTTTTGGTCGACTTTTTTTCGATCGACGAAATTGATTTTCTGGGCTCTCACAAACCACTTTAAAGACCCACTTTCGACCAAATTTTCTGCGCCGCTGGCCAAAAAAGGCGTTTTTAGGTACTTTTTGGAAAATTTTGACCAAAAATTTGCGTTTTTTGGCGCGCGCTCCCCCCTCAAAAGTTATATATATTGGCGCCTTTGGAAAATTTTTAGGCTCAAAATTGTACGAAGGGGGATCCTTTGGGTCGGCAGGTGGTCGAATTCCTGAGAGGGGAGGCGTCCGCCCCGCCCTCTCCGCTCCGCCTTTTAAATCTGTTGTTACCTGCATATGCAAAATACTGTAAAATTGGTGACAGGGGGATTTCTCTGAAAGTCTTACTTCTTTTTAAGAAAGGGTTTCTGGTCAAATAAGCTCCAAAAAGATAAAAACTAAGGGTCGTATCTGAATTTCACTTGCTAACTAGCACGTGAATAGGACATATTTTACCACAATTAAGAAAAATTTTCTGGTTATTTTCTGGTTTTCTTGCAGCTACTGCCAAAAGAGGAGCTCTACACTCCTCCGATGAACATCCGCTGTCGGGACAACCGCCAGTTCGGTCGGAAGCCAATGGTCGGCATGTGCAGTATCAAGTCCCTGCAGGCGTTCAAGTGTGAGGCACCTCCTCTGCCTTCTGCGGGATCGGAGGGAGACGATGACGCGGATGGGGGAGTCGAGAGACTGAAACAGGAGGTAATCATTTAAAAAATAGTTTCTAGCTTACTTTTTCAGAATATTAAATAACTTCAAATTTTATGAAATAGGGAAAAATATGTGAAGAAAATAGTTTTCCGGGGTCAACAAAAAGTTTGATGCTGACCAAGATACACAAAGAGCAAAACTAAAATGAGCAAGTTCAAAAATTGATCGAGATACACAATTTTATTGTCACTATCACTGGTTTTTCTCGAATAGATATTACTGGCATTATATTACAGAGTCCTATCAGATTTGAGTTTTTTCTCGCCGTTATGAGCAATTGCAAGAACCTATTGATTATCTAATCAAACCTTGGTTTTTCCTGGTTGTCTTTGCAGGTGATGTTGACTATTGAGCGGGAGAAGAAATCGAAGGAAAAGGAGAAAGACAAGGAGGCTCCTTCTTCATTCACTAGTACTCTGCCTTTTGGAAGGAAAAAGAAGAAAAAGATGCTTACCACGGTATAAAAAAGCATGCTTTCCACTTTTCAAAGTAGTCCTTTTCCACTTTCAAATAGCAGGGCATTTCTACAAGAAATTTTTAGCTTAAATTTTAAGTGTTTTCCATTCAAAAAAAGAGACAATTCGAACAATTTTTTTTGTTAGGATGAGGGTGAAACAGTTCTGGTAAGAGTATAATTTGCACATACAAAAAACTCATGTTTGACGTTATAATGAATCATCGGTTCTAAATTTGAATACAGTTTGATCCAACTATCATCGCTTCATTATCTTCATCATCTAACTCCCTCTTTCCAGCACAGTTTTGCTGTTAAAACTAAAAGGCTCTTTCACATTTCCTATAAAATGTGGCAACATTTCAAATTATCTTGCTGATGCACCCTTAAGTATGACAAATATTGATTTCTGGACGACCACCTTTCTAGGAAAAGTATAATTTTGCTTGATTTCTTTCAGATGATGATTCTTATCTAATAGCACTCGCTGCTCATCAACTTTGCGGATCTTTTGGTGCTCTGCGGATCTTTTGGAAGCACGCTTCGCTTGATTTGTTAGATCGCTTTACAATTGCTACAAAAAGTCGTTATAAATAAAAACTACTCAGTTAGAAAATGCTTGTATTGCCAGTTAGAAAATGCTTGTCTTGAAGCCGATGTCTTGAATTTTCTAATTGCCAAAATTTTTTTTGTTCAAGTAGTTTTCGCTTTAGAAAATGGATGAAATTAAACTTAGTTTTACAAATATGTCCTCTTTATCAGTGATTTCTATTTAAATAAACAGAAAATGAAATTGTTGTCTGGAAAACTCATTTTTTTATTACAATGTAAATATTGATAAATATTTTTTTGAATAAATTAGAAGTGCTAGTTTTTTTCACTGACTTTCGAAGAGGTTGACAAAATTTTTATCCTGAAGGAATATTTATTGTTATTTTTAGACCAACTTCAACTTTTCAATAAACCGTTTTTGGCGGAATTTTCATATCACTACCCTTGCGAAAAGCAAAGGTATTGCAATCAGGTACTAGACTTTTCACCCGTAAAAAACTATGGAAGTCATTTATGCAGGAAAAGTAAATTTCAATACTTGCTGAATTTCTTGAAAGTTCAAATGAAACTACCTCATTTTGGTAGTAAAAAGGCAGATTAAGTTTCCCGCTGTAATGTTTTTTCAATTAAATTTCTTGAACCAAGTTGATTTTTTCGGATTCGTAGTGCTCGCCCTTGTTTCGGTCGGTTCAATTTTCGTTTTTTTTATTTGGCGTTTATATTATCTGGTAATAATTTTTATTGGCTTACATTTACCAAGTCTGATTTTGAATAATTTTGTCTTTTTCTCAAGTTTTTTCTTTCTTTTAAACGGTTTCGGCTTGTGTTATATCGGCTTTGTCAAACTATTTTGCGTAGTGTCGACGGGACAAATTCCCGTTTGACTAAATCAGGTATTGTATCGGTTGTATTTTTACAAGTCGGTTTTCATTTTTTTTTCAATCGAAACTTTCCAGTTTTTGTTGTATCACGAAATTTGAGAAGCTCCGCTTCGCCTCTGTGTCCTAAAGTTTTTTTCCGTACATTCATATTCATGGTAGTTTAATAATTGCCAATTTTGGATAATTAATTTGCGCTATATACCAGTTTTCTAGAAACGCGTAGTTTCTAAATTGTTTTAAGTTCACGAAAAATTGATTCTAGATTACTTTCGACCTAGCAAGTTTCTAGATGGCGAGCTAGCGTGCGAAGTGTAATAGTATTACTCCTTTTTTTTCCAACCTAACTCGCAAATAAAAGTGCTCATTTGTTGTTTTCCCGTTAGTAAACATATTTTTGTTTTGACGTTGTATGTGCAGAAAATTTTGACATCGCAATCAAAAATGTCTGAATTGTTTGAACTGTTTTTGAAAAATTTATTTTATGTTTTGTTTATAAAAAGCTATTGCAGATAACTTGAAGGATAGTCAATCTATAGTTTGCCCTGATAAGAGCAGCATTTTTGAGTGTTCATGAATTAAGTTATATGTCATTTTCTAGATCGTGAGATCGTGTTGCTTTCAGTTTTTTATAGCAAAGAAAAAGGTTTGACTTTCGATTTTTATGAGGTTTGACTTTGATTTTTGTTTAAGTTCGTTTCAGTTTAATTTGCTGAATTAAATGTAAGTTATGCTTCTTTATAGCGAAAGTGCATATGGTGCAGAAAATATGAGGGTATTTTAGCTTAGAAAAACGGATTTCAATATTCAGATTCACCAGCGGAATAAAAAACCTATTGATCCAGTTTTTGTTCTGACTACTCTGGAAGAGTGAAAAGGTACTATGGATTAGGGCTCATTTTTTCTAGCCACTTTTGACTACCTCTAGGAACATCTGAAGTGGTTAAGCGTGGTATCATATTAAAACCTTATCAGTCATGATTAGGATTCTTAAAAGAATTTCTAAAAGTCGTCGCATTGTCAAGAAAAACTTGTCTGAATACTTTTGAATTTTTTCTTTCTGGAAAAGGATATTGACAACAACGGGGCATCAACTATGTGCTTCATCTACATTTTTTGTAATAAGTTTCAATACAATTTAGCTTTAACAGTGATTTTCTAACTTCTGATAGGAGAAGGATGGTAGTGATGCAGGATCAATACTTCGGTCCAAGATGGTAAGATGGTGTATCAAATTGAGCATGTATCGATGAATCTTGTTCACAAAATAAAGATACTTTTTTTATACCATTCATGTTTCGATTTTTGTTCGACTTCATATTTCGACTTTCGGTAGGAACATGAGCTCTGCGATACCATGGCTTTTTATTTCAAATGTTGTTTAAGTTATGTTTGGTTGCCATACTTAAAAATTTAAGTCGAAAATGCAACTATCACCAATTCATTTTTATGTTCAAGTGATAACTTCATCATTAATTAGGTGTTAATATTTTTGTGTCATATGTATCGTAGCCACTGGCACGAACTTTTTGAGAACTGGTTACATAGTTTTAATCCAAAAAAAAGCTCTAAAAAAATTTTCATTTCACCCACACGAATAATTCTGATAAAATATCCTACTTAAAAAAATAGCTCGCATCAATATCATCGTTGTGTTTTTTTTCAGATAAAATATATGCATACCAAGTTCTGTGTTTTGTTTGAAACACTTTCTCGTTTGTTCTTTCTATTCAATATCACATCGCCTTAAACATCTGAATGAGACGAAGTTTTTTCGTGCCTTTTAAAATAATAGTAGTTGAAGTGGACTTGTGTTTAGGACGATGCCACGATAGCAGCCGAGACTGAAAACATAGACTGGTGGTGTAAGTTCTACTGCTCCGAGGGACTCCCAGAGAAGGGCGGCATCTATTCACAGATGGGTTGGGACCTCATGAAGGTAACAGTAAAGTCATTTTGGGTAAATTTTCAAACTGATTTTCCGTGGCACACAAATGCGGCCTTGAGTTCTGGAATTTGAATATCCAGGTTGTTTGCTTAGCAAATTTATGAAATCAAACATTATTTTCAAAATAGTTTTTGTTTTCATAAATTTGCTAAGCAAACATCCTGGATATTCAAGTTCCAGAAGTCAAGGCCGCATTTGAGTGCCACGGAAAATCTGTTGCAGAAAAAAATGGTCTCGCAAACTTCTGGAATTTGAATATCCAGGGTGTTTGTCTGGCAAATTTATGAAATCAAACATTATTTTCAAAATAGTTTTTGTTTTCATAAATTTGCAAAGCAAACACCCTGGATATTCAAGTTCCAGAAGTCAAGGCCGCATTTGAGTGCCACGGAAAACTTGTTGCAGAAAAAATGGTCTCGCAAACTTCTGGAATTTGAATATCCAGGGTGTTTGTTTGGCAAATTTATGAAATCAAAAATTATTTTCAAAATAGTCTTTGTTTTCATAAATTTGCTAAGCAAACACCCTGGATATTCAAGTTCCAGAAGTCAAGGCCGCATTTGAGTGCCACGGAAAATTTGTTGCAGAAAAAAATGATCTGGCAAACTTCGTCCTATTAAATGAAAAAGGTTTTCACGGAGATAGTATTCAATTTTCTAAACAATTCATGATTTAAAAATGCAGCAAGGTACAAACCGCGTGAATTTTTTTCAAGATCAGCTTGAGCGGTTACGCTACCTTGTGAATTCTCTTAAGAAAACTTTCTACTGATTACATGGTACTTCTGCTCATATCAAAGCCTAAAAATTTTCCATTTGATTCTCAGCAGTATAAAATTAAAAACCACGATTTTGAGTTGAAAACATTTCTGAAAATCCCAAAGCTGTACTTTTGGCAAAAAGTATTTGCCTAGTCTAAAGTTTCTGTCTGCTTATCTTAACTGCTTCAAGAGTGGGTTGGGTTAATCAGTGTAATTGCCCTTAGAATGGTTGAAAAGTCACGCCCTTTCAAAAATCTTCGACCAGCTCGCAGAAAAAGTTTTGATTAGCAGCAGGCTAATAATTATAGATGTTAGTTAATGAACGGTCTTTGTTGAATCGGGTGAATCAATAATTAATACTCTGTTTGGAATGCATTTCAGGTGTACGACTGTGAGCTGGAGAAAGTACAAGGCTTTGCCGAGTTCAACGACTTCGTGCAGAGCTTCCCTCTCGAAAGGGGAAAGTGCATGGAGGAGGACGACGACGTGGACATAGCGGGGGAGTTCAAGGGCTCCTTCCGCATCTACCCCCTCCCCCACGACCCAGAAGCACCCGTGCCCCCAAGAATATTCAACTCCCTGCCCGAGAACGCACCCACCGAAGTAGTTCTGAGAGTGTATGTTGTCAGGGCAGTTGATCTGCAACCTCAAGACGATGGGGGAGCAGTGAGTAAATTGAAATTGTAGAAAATTGGAATCAAAGTGAGTTTATACCTAGAATGAGGGCCCAAAATCAAATAGCGAATCAATGTACTGCTTTCAAGTATCATCCGTTTTCCAATGCTGAAGCATTAACCGTTTTCCACTGCTTAAAGATTTCAACTATTTTGATAGTCATGCTATGAGTAAGAGTTTTGCAATTTGAGTATTCTTTTTGTTTGCAGGCTGACCCCTATATTGTGATCAAGTGTGGTAAGACTAAGATAGTGGACCAGGAGAACTACAAAGCCAACACTCTCTGTCCAGTGTTCGGAAAGTACGACACCTTGAGTTGTTTCTCCTTTCTTTCAAACTTTTATCGAAGTTTTGTGTTTGTTCCAAAATGAAAGTTTTATTCGGAACATTAAAAGGCAGTATTCTTTTTAACTATTATAAAGAAATATTATCATAATTATTTAAAAGGTCAGAATGTTATTGATTGCTTGTTTCCCAAGTCATCATAAAGATCCTATTTTGAACAAATTAGCTGCGCCGCAGGTGAGTTTTTGAAGAAAAAAGACTAAAAAATGCGTAAAAAAGAAAAAAAGACCAAAAAATGGTTTTAGGCACTGTCTGGAAAATGTCGACTAAAAAATGCGTTTTTTCAGCGCGTGATCCTCCTCAAATTAGTAAATATTGGCGCTAAACGCGTCTATATAAAAATTTATGGGTCGATCAGCCAAAAATGGATGTCGTAAAATAGTAAGAAAAGGGACCTTTTGGGTCGGCAGAGGGGGTCGAATCCCTGAGGGGTGAAGAGGCTTCCCCACCTTAAGTCCTCCCCTGAATATACCTATAAGCAACAGAGCTTTAGATTCGTACATGCCTGACACTAATCCACGTGACTGTGATTAATTGGGTTGTGCTTGTTTAGCGTGTTTGAGATCACGACTATGGTTCCGATCAACAAGGACTTGGTGGTGCAGTTGTGGGACTATGACATGTTGAGTGCGGATGACCTGATTGGCGAGACGAGGATAGATCTAGAGAACAGATATCTGACCCATTTCAGAGCCACATGTGGACTGCCGCAGTCGTACTGCATGTAAGTGAAACTACTTAAAATACAAGCAAAAAATTTTTTTCCTTGCCTGTTTTGTAATTTCACAAAATTTGAGAACTCTTTTTGCCGTTTTTTCAGGTGCATGCAAATTTTAGCTTAGTTTCCATATCAAAAAGGGAATTAACTTTGTGAATTGACCTCCAGAGTCTGTAAAACGTTTCTAATTTTGGTGTCTGCTAGTCAAGAGTTTAAATTGATGTGAAGTCTTTGTTAATTTTCGTAGTTTCTGAATAGCCTTAGTTCATGAATAACCTGTTGTTCGTAGCTGATGTAAAATTTATAGTGATTAAAAAACGTAAGTCTGCCAGTAGCATTAGTTGATTGGTCTATAAACTTCTTTAGTTGCCCTTGGTGTCATGTATCCATTGAACTGACGTTTTGGTGTTATGTAGAGATGGTATCAACAAGTGGCGAGACTGTGAGACTCCAGTTGAGATTCTGAAGCGGGTGTGTCGTGAGAGAAACCTCAGCGAGCCCCTCTTCGTATCGGACGACACCCTCTGCATGCGAGGAGGAACACCCTCCACCTCCCCCCTCGCAACACCCTCTCACGTGGCGACAACGGTGGAGACCAAGGGAGAGGAGGGAAGTCAGGAACAATCACCGCAGCAGATTTACCGACTGCAGGAGTTCGGTCGGTGCTTTCATTCGTTCAATCCCACGATTTTATACGACAAATACTCCCTTCTATCGACGAATACTTTTAGCTAATAGAAAAACGATCAAAAAAGGGGGTTTCGCTTTTAAACAAGGTGCGCAACATCAATTCGCCTTAAAGAGTGGAACAGCGAGTTTGTCGGTCCTTTCCCAGTTGGAGGAAAATATAATAGCAATCAACTCGCTTTCAAGACGGAAACAGATTGCCTATAATTTATAAAATTAATTACATTTTTACCCTTGCGATTAGCAAGCGTTATCAAATCGGAATGTAGACTTTTTTCAGGTTATTAACTAGTTTAACAAAATCAGTTGAATCACAATTTCATGAAAATTCAAATTTAACTATTGGGCGGGTACTAATTACTACAGGGTAGTTTCAGGGGGACTTGAAACTTTTCAGAGGTTTTTATAAAATCAATTTTTTTTTCGCACAACTGGTTTCTGCTCAAAGATTGTCGTCCTTGTTTCCGCTTCGTAAGTTTTATTCAGTTGCTAATTTGAGTTTCAAATGTCTTGTTTGCCATGTTTGATAAAAACAGGTATTGTGAAAGGTTTTTTATACATTTTGGAAAATTTTATAATTTTTGCACAAAAAATTGTTTTTTATCAAATATTCTTCTACTAATTTACAAAACAGGGATATCCATAGAAAGACCGTTTTATTTTTTTTTATTTGTCTGCATACTCCCCTGGCCCTTGATCTTTTTTGCTTTACCCCTATGTCTACAGACTTCAAAAAGTCGGTGGTGAATATTTGACCGATATTTTTGATTTTTTTTCGTTTTCTCAAAAACTAACCTACCAAATCTCAGATTTTGGTGTCAACGAATAGAAAGGATTTGAGCGTTTCTACATAAGCGGCTACAAAAACTCCCAAATTTTCTGGGAGTTTTTTTTTCTACCCGAAAATCACCATGCCAATTTTTTGATTTGATGAAGCTTTCAATCGAGAAACCCGATTTTGGGAATCTTCTCTAGTTTACCGGCCACGACCTGCGCTCAGCAGAAAAAAGTTACGGATTTCGGAAAGTCAAATTTTTGAACTTTGACCGTTTTTTAAAAATTTTAAGAATTTTCTTTTAAGCTACACTATCAAATCTGAGATGAAAGTTTCAATCGAATCGAAAGTAGCGGTTGCGCGATTTTTTCCTGCAGAAGCGGCTACGCCCTGATTTTTTGTAAGATAGTGTTTTTATGTTTGGGAAAACTCCAAGATTTCAAAAATTTTCTTTCTTCTTTTTTATCTCATTAGAGAACAGCTAAGGGTTTGTTTGGGCAAGGTCCAATTTTTGAAATTACGCATTGCGTCCCGCATCAGTATAACAAGTTCAAAAAATATCAAACAGGTACCTCCAGCTTTAGCTGGGCCCTAGGTATCATTCATCGAGCCATATGAAAACTTTGGTTCACCTAGTTTTTGTTCAATTTTTTTTCCATTTTTTCCCGACTAATGCTTTTTTATTTAGTGCTGTATCGCAAGTGGTGCGAAGCTCCGCTTCGCCTCTGTGTTAAAAAATCCCATCTTGGAAGAAAGCCACAAGGGTCAGTTAGTTCGCTATCGAGTGTTGTCTTCATAACTTTGAACTTGATGAACTCAATTTTGAATTTGAAAAGGCGATGTTGAGAACCGCATACAATTAATAAGTTAGTGAAAACGAATATGGGAATTTTCTTGTTGCAAAAGTAAATTGACATTAATTCTCATGTTGAAAAAAGTTAAGAAAGATTGAAATGAGCATTTTTATTCCGAACTATGTTGGATTTATTGTTTTTGTCTGAAAATTTCAGAGAAAGACGTGATGGTGAACCTTCACTGGGGTCCTGCACAGGAGCGACTGGCACTGCATGTGTTACGTCTGCTGGATTTAGCCCCCGAACATGTTGAGACCAGACCACTCTTCAATGACATTCAGCCGGGCATAGAACAGGTTGGCCTTACTTTGAACATTATAATAATAAGAGAAAACATTTCGTATGTTTGTTTTCTTACCTCGATTCTGATTGGCTTACGACGTGTCTACTTTTTCACATATTTTTTTTTACCGCACTCCATAATTTTATTTTCAAGTCCTGATTATTAATACAAAGCTTCGAGAAACAGAATGATGTTACAACTAAAACTGCTTGAGACTATAATGGTTTGTTTTTCAAGTGATATTGAATGATGTTACAACTGAAACAGAATGATGTTACAACTAAAACTGCTTGAGACTATAATGGTTTGTTTTTCAAGTGATATTGCGTTGAGCTACCAAATTGTGTGTTTTAATAAAAAAAACTCAGTTACTTTTTTCTATTTTTTAGATTAAAATGTCATAATTTGCTCATGAAAATTCATTTGCATGTGATTTTGTCGCTGGAATAATCAATTGAATTGATCTTTCTAGAGGCAAATATGACATAAAATTTCACTAAACGACGGTTTATCAAAATAACGTTTTTTGAGTTTGTTAATAAATTTGATCTTGACTGGTCAGAACATTGTGTGAAACCTGACACGGTTTACCACTTTCATAAAATTGACCTTGCTTAAAGCAGTTTCTTCTAGTAATTCTTCGTTTTATTGTTCCGACTTTCGGTACAAAAGTAACGGAATGTTTGTGCTCGGGGTGGGTTTTTTTTTTCTTCAGATAAATTTCGACTTTTTAACTAGCCATTTTTGACGGAGTATTTTTATATCATTCGAAAGGTATTGTTGTCTTGAGCTCGAATTTGAAAAGATATTTTGCCTGTGATCATTTTTCGGAAAGTTACGGGGGTTTAAAAATTGCCATTTTGGCCAACTTGGGACAATTAACGCGCGATATATTTCGCGTTATTAACGCGTAAGCGGAGAGTTAATCCATCTTAGAAATCGTTCCAAATTGGTTAAAAGAAGCCTATTTGCCATAATTGATTTGTTACAAGGAGCGAAATCTATCCTTTTGTACTTTATATGGCGTGTGGGGGGATGATTTTTATTTAAAAAATTTCAAATTTTAGAAATTTTTTTTTTCATTTTGTTTTATTTCATTGAATTTTTTAACGTTATTACTGCTCCATAAACCTTAAAAGGCAGTCGGAACATTCAGGGCTTCGCCCTGATACGAGCAGTCTTGTTATTTTTAGGGTCGTCTGCAGATGTGGGTAGATATGTTTCCGGCAGAGTTCGGAGCGCCCCCAGGAGACCCGATTGACATATCGCCACGAGTGCCGAAGGAATACGAGTTGCGGGTGGTGATCTGGAACACAAAAGAAGTCATTCTGCAGGACACCTCCATCACAGGCGAGGAGATGGTCGACATCTATTTGAAAGGGTCAGCTCATGTTTGCATTAACATAACATAATACGCACAGAATTGAACATCCAAACGTGATTCCTCTAACGGCAACAGTTAAAATTTATTCTATGGTCTGTCTCACAGCGAAATGAGTTTTTTGTTCCAAGTTTTGAAGAAAGGGCGGATGTTTCTGCTTGGGGTTGTTTTTTCTCTAGTCAAGCTTCGGCCTATTGACTAACAACTTTTGACGGAACTTTATATACAGTCTGAGCGACGTTGATGCCATGAGCTCAAAATTAAAGATAATCCAAAAAAGAGAACTAATCAAACTAATCGAAAAAAGAGAACTTTAAGTTGATAGGGGTATCGAGTTCAGGTATCAAATTGATGGGGTTGTTTGCACTCCCATCAAATCTGCTACTGATTAGAAACATGGCTTGTTTACATGATAGATGGCTGGATGGAATGGAGGACAGCAAACAGTCTACTGACATACACTACCGCTCTCTCGACGGGGAGGGGAACTTCAACTGGCGATTCGTGTTCCGATTCGACTACCTCCCGCAGGAGAAGGTCGGCTATGCTGTTGCTTCAAATATAATTTCTTTGATAAATAACGACTGCCAGCACATTTAGTGTTGTGATTGCCTTATAGTTTAGAGGTTAAGGTTTCCGAACCCAAAATTGTCTCTGCTCTGTAACAAATAGGGTGATACAAATCATCGTCTGCTTTATTCATAAAGAAAGTTTTGAACGCTCTTTTAAAAAAAGCAGGTGAACCTAATTATTTGAACCTAACAGTTGTACAATAACATAGGTTTACATATGTAGGTGATAGTGGTTAATGAGAAGGAGCACTTCTGGTCCCTGGACAAGACAGAGACACACTTGCCAGCTAGACTGTGTGTGCAGATATGGGACAATGACCTCTTCTCCTCAGACGACTACATAGGTATAGTGACCACCTTCAGTCAGTTCAGTCAAATACACATCAAAATAACCTCCATTTATTTTCACTTTTATCAAACCAGGTCTGTACTAATCAGATCAGTACTAATCAAAACAGATCAGATGTAAGTTCAAAAACAATTCTGCTAATTTCACAAAGTATTTTGAACATGGGCGTTTCTTCAGCTTCAATTTTAGTGCAACCTTGAGAATTGAGATTAGGTTAGATTTCCGCTTTGAAAAATACACTCTGCGAAAGCTGCTGAAAGTTCCAATATCTTTTGCCCTTGAATTCATTTCTAAACTCGAAACATGACCTAATTAAGGCAACCTAAGTTTTTATGGTTCTAAAATGTACCCTATCAAAGAAATATTTATTGAAATGTGGCACTTAGGCAATGTAGCAAGTCATTCACCATAAAGTTTTCGAGCGACCAGTTTTTTCGATTTTGATTCTTTGTTATTTGTTTGGTTTTGTTCAGGCCAAATCTCGCTTCCTCTGGAAAACATGCCGGCTCCTTCGAAGACAGACCGGACGTGTAAGCCTTACAGGGAGTTCAACCCGAAGACAGGTGAGTTCAAGACTAGAGAGCAGCAGAAGATGAGTCTGATGAGTGCCAAGAGGACCAGGGGCTGGTGGCCATGCATGACTGAGGACACAGAAGCAGGCATACTAGCTGTGAGTCACACAACACATTTCCCATAAATAAACAAAACGATATTCGCTAACAACGAACTGCAAAAAAATGCGCATACGAATAGAGAGTTGACGGAGATTTTGAGCAGTTTTCAAGAAACTGTTGAACTTTTTTTTTCATTTATATTTGAGTTATAACCTCTCAGATCTTTACTGTGTAATTGAATTTTTGAACTGTCTTATAAAATATCATCGCCATTATCTAAAATATGTACGAAGTTTTCTTGAAAAAAACTCTCGAAAAGGTTATAGTAGGTATCTTGAGAGCAAAATAAAAATCTTATTATTGATTTATTTTGATTTGTTTTGTGTTGCAGGGAAAAATTGAGATGGAGCTTGAGGTTCTACCAATTTACGAGGCGGAGGACAAGCCAGCGGGCAAGGCCAGAGACGAGCCAAACGCAAATCCACATCTGGACCCACCAAAGTCAGTCGTCCTTTTCTTCATTATTATTACAATGGTCAATTAACTTAAGTCAATGTTTATGAAACTATTATGATGTAGTTAAAAAATAACTTGGGCTCGAGAGCTTTTAGCAATCTCTCAATTTCGAAGCTGAATTCCACGCTGTCAAAGTATACCTTCTTAATAAATTCTAAATTATAACTTCTGCTCAGTAATTTTGGGCAGCCTTACTGTCTACCATGTCACCTTTGGGGCTCAAAAGTGAAATTAATGGTCTAAGTGGCGAATCATAGTTCAGCATCAGCAATGGTTAGTGAAGTTTTGATAATTTTCAGATGATCGGTGATGTGTTTTAGCCGTCCGGAGTCGTCGTTCCTGTGGTTCATGAGTCCCTGGAAGACTCTGAAGTACATCATCTGGAAGAACTACAAGTGGAAGATCATCGGGGCCCTCTTCCTCATCATCTTCATCGCATTCTTCGCCCTCATGATATACACTCTACCCGTTAGTGAACTCATTCTTTCTTTTACTCTTCTTTGCAGTACTTTTTAGTGACTAATGATTTTTCAAGCCATCTTCAATGTTTTTATTTTGTGTTTACAGTCTTTACTTTTTTAGTGACTAATGTTTTTAATGGCTTTTTTTTCGTATATATAACTTTTTTGTACTTGTTTTTTTTCGTATATATTGCCTAGATGTCCTTGAAACACCGATATATTTTTAACTTAAAATCAAATCAGCATTTGAAAATGGTTTACACCTTCTGTAAACACATCGGGGAATCTGAATTTGAGTTTTTCTCTCGAAACACAAATCAAATTTTGCTTTAACATAAAATAAACTACATGCCACATTAAGCCGCATTTATGAATACGAATATTTTTACCCATCCTTTTACAAAAGGATGAAGTTTTTATGTTCCGGGTTCATGTAAGCGGTAGGAAAGTAATACAATTGTTGAACCCTAGCCGGTGCCACATACTTGATTGTTTTATCAACGATATTACTGGTCACTATTGTTTAAAAGTATATCAACAAAGCTGATTTCCATGCTGTTAATAGCTCATTTCAATGCAAAATATACCAAATTCAAAAGCAATTATAAAAAGTTCTACATGTCTATTTAGCAAGCCATCACTAATAAACTGGTCGGACTATAAGACAAGGAGGTAAGAAGTTACCAACTATTGGGCTCAAAGTTTGTTTGCTATGACTGTTTGAAATGAATTGAGTTCATTTTGAAGCCACGAGGAGTTTTAAAAGTAATCGAAAAGCTGCGTTTGTTTTTCTTGCAAGCATGGGCAACTGAGAAAAATAAACAGAGAAAAAATTGCAGTTGGACATTTTTCAGCCCACCGAGAATAGCGGAAAAAGTCATAAGTCACGCGCAATACAGCACTCGCGCCGAATAAAAGATATCTTAACGAGGCGGAAAAGAAATACTCGACAAACGAATTGGAAATGTTGGCAGTTGTGTGGGGGGCTGAATACTTTCGAAATTACATACTGGGCCGAAGTTTTTTGATCGTTACCGATCATAAAGCCCTGATATCCCTTTTGAACGGTAATAACAAGAAAAATAAAACGATGTTTAGTCGTTTAACCCGCTGGTTAGATCGACTAATTCCCTTTGATTTTCAAATTGAGCATAAACCGGGGGCTAAAATTGGTTTGGCGGACTATTTATCACGGCATCCAAGTAAAGAAGCAACGCCAATTAGTACGTATGATAATATGTTCACGGTGGCAAAGATCAACCTAATTCGCACCGCGCTTGGCTTTAATACATCCAGGGGACCTAATACATCCAAGGAACAAAGTTGTACAGCGAATAGAAAGCCTTCTATAAATAGACTGGAAGTTTCGTCATATAACGATTCGGTAGAAGGCGGAAAAACATGTAAGCGGAAATCAACCAATCAGATGCAACCACGTGGTTTAAACCGACGGCCAAGCGACATGCGCGCTGGATTAGTTGGGGCTATTATTCATTCAGAACACAGTTGTTCAAAATTATCCAATTCCAATCTTCAAAATCAGAATATTCTTACATCCAGCCCTCAGAATTTTAAACCGAATAACAACATGGACCAAAACATGCGCAAATGGCAGAAATTTCTCAAACAGCATCCAAGCCTAAATAGTAGTAGCGACGAAATCGAAGAATTGCCCCCAAATGTATCACTAGAAGCCATTACCAAAGAGACAAGATCGATACGCACAAATACAACTCTCTCGTTACCCTCGGAATTCAAAGGAGAAACAGTACCACCAGTGGACCCAAACCTTGTATGTATGTCAATTATCCCGCGAAACTGTAAGATCGTTAATAAAACTACTGCATTACCTGACCTGTTTAACTTAAAATTCATAGAATCAAATTATGTATCGGACCCCCAACTGAGCGCTATTCGCGATCTCATTGTTAATCAAGACCCGGAAATACATGAAAAAGTTACTCGAATGAGCCGCTATCACGCTCAATTCGTCATTGATTTCTCAGTGAAGGAAAATGTAGTTTGGATGGACGATAAATTAGCAATCCCAATTAACCTCCAGTCAGCAATCAATAACAGAATACACGCGTACCATCACGGGAAGTCAAATATGTTCGATGCCGCAAAGGACATCTGGTATCCCTATATCTACCGATCAATAGCCTCCATTGCCGAGGGGTGCCCTGAATGTACTGCAGCCGGTAAGAACTTAAAGACGCTAATAAGTAAAAATCAACTGGGATCTGTACCAGAACCAAAAGAACCGAATGAATCTGTCCAATTAGATTTTTGGGGCCCCATTAATTACTTAAATGAATCCTCTAAATATGTGCTCGTAGCGGTCGACCGGTTCTCTCGTTGGCCATCGGCAATGATCTGTGGAAATAATCGTTCGGACAAAATATTGAAATTCTTGAAGAGTTATATATCAAACCACGGGGTGCCACGAAAAATCCATATCGATCAGGGAACTAATTTCATGTCAAATGCGGTCAAAGCTTTTTGTAATGGGGAAGGCATTGAAATCATTAAATCACCGGTAAACGACCATCGGGCAACCGGGTGTGTCGAGCGTACTATTGGAAGTCTTAAGAATTCAATCCTTACTTTCGCTCACGAAAAAAATCCTGAACCCTTGGAGAAAATGGTCGAACGGGCCCTTGGTGCTCTCAGATTCTCAAAAAACTCAACACTTAGAATTTCGCCTTTTGAAGCTCATCATGGTAGAGAAGCAAACACCGTTTTACGGAATCTTACTAAAAAACCATCGCTGCAGAATCTGGATTGGTCACGGGTACTAAAAACGAAAAATGCTTGTTTAGATAACGACGATCCTAGTGTACAAGATATGCCCCATCCAGCCGACACAAACTGGGGTGTACGATCAGATCTCGACTATGACATTAAAAACAGAACTCATGCACGACGCCTTACTGTGGATCAAGCTGGGAATCAGGACGACGAACCGTCAATACGCAAAAGCTCAAATCCCGCAGGACAACCGGGACCATCCGGATCATTGTTTCAGCGCACTGGAAACAAAAACTTAAAAAGGTATAGACCAGTTCATTCTAAAATTAGATCTGAGAGTGCACACTGACGTTAGATAATGGAGTTGTGCTTAGGAAATCGGGAGTGGCCACGAAACCCATATCGAAGAAAAAATCAAGAACCGCAGCCAAATCCGTACTACCGGTACCAGTGATCGAAGCGAACAAACGGGCTACTCATACAACACTACCACCGCCAACCCCGCGCGACTTGAAGGAACGATGGACCAAGCGGACTGCGGAAAAGAATCGGAAGAGGACCGGGCGCCGATTCGAAGAAAATTACTCCGAATCGGAGGACAGTGAGGATCTACCGATTATCTCGGTAAAACGTACTCCACAACAAGTAACGACCACTCCGGAAGCACAAGTAGAACGCTCAGCAACAGCAATACCAGAGGCTGAAGCTGAAACCGACCAGGACACCATTCCGGCACTAGGCGGCGAGTTGGATGCTCCAAATCCAGGGGTGCAAGCAACGGAGAATCCAGGGGTGCAAAACCCAGCAAACCCGAAAACCACCGGCAAGAAAAAGGGAGCCTCATCCAGGAAAGCTCGGCTGGTCTCTTACAGTAGCCAGGGGGATAGCCAAGACGAGACATCATCCACAACGTCTAGAAGAAGTGGGCGGAAAAGAACGGCGGTCACCAAAATGGGGGGCGTAATGATCGACTTTATCAATCAGAACAAGGAAGGAAAAAATTGATCGTCGAATCCTTTAAACTTCAAACTTTGTTAAACTGTTCAAACCCAGGGAGAGGGTGAGTCACTACTGGCTTAAAACTCAATCGTTATCACTATCAGTGATCCTTTAGTTATTAACAAAAAGTCGTTATTATAAAGTCTGAGTTGTATACTGTAACATGGAGCTAGTAATTCTTTTCAACTATCTGCAATCAATCAACCATCTATTTTTCTAACCATCTATTTCAGTCATTAAAGTAAACCTGCGAAATTATTCTACTTAACTAAAGTTTTCATTATCGAAGGAGAAGTGTCGTATTGAGTAATTTAGTTCATTTCCAAAGCTGTCAATCAAATGTTCACTATTGGTGCTAGACTAATTGATTAGCAGGTTTTTGTCCTTGGATCTGTCTGTCACCCTTGGATATTGTTTCTAACCACTCTTGATGCTAACTTTGCAAGATTAAGTTACTGTATAAATATCTCGGAATTAACAATTGCTCGACGACAGTTTTACTTTCTCGACAGCGGCGAGGCAAGTGCTGTCTGCATTTTAACTCAAGTTCTTAGGGTGTGTCTTTCTCAATTTTGGCTTATTCCCAATTGTCACTTGTTACCAGTTTTTGTGGCGCCAGTTTCAGTACCTCAGCCAAAAGAGATATATCGGCGTATCCGGTAGTGTTGGTGCCCAACAATCATACGATTGCGGGTTCAAGTCTCATGTGCGTTTCCAATTTACAAGGTCAGCGCTTGCAAGATAGCCCTGGGAAGTTCTTTTCCATTTTCCGCCCCACATTTAAGTTTCAACGAACGTAATGAATTTTTGCATGGTGAACAAACTAATTTTTATGAACAGATTTGTTCTTCATACCTTACATCGTAATATCAGGCGTTTAGCCCTAATCACACGTAATACAAAGAAAAATTAAAATTTAAAATGTGGGGAAGGAAGTGGAAAAGAGTCTGGCACTATCTTCAGGAGAGTCTAGGGTTTTCTCGAGGGAAGAAATGGATTTTCAAAAAAAAAATAAAAAAATTTTGTCGACCTTTTTTTAGGTTCAGCAAATTACTCTTATGAGCTATCCCAAATCACTATAAAGATCATATTTTGACTGAATGTTCTGCGCCGCAGGCGAATTTTAGCAAAAAACGGGTCCGAACAGAAAAGGCGTTTTTAGGGAATTTTTTTGGAAAAACTTCAACCAAAAAATTTCTTTTTGCGGCGCATGCTTTCCCTTATAAATTAGTATATACTGGCGCCAAAGGTGCTTTTGAAAAGTTGTAAGATCAGTCAGCCAAAACTGGATATTTCAAAATAGTTCTAACAGAGGACACTTTGGGTCGGCCGAGGGTCATTTCCCTGAGAAGAGAACGTCCCCCCTAAATCCGCTACTGCCTATCTCAATGCGCTCATCATGATTAAATGAGCTCTAGCTCAAACTTAAAAAATTAACATTGAATAAAGCCTCCCGGTTGGTTGTTTAAAAAACATTTGGACAGGAATCCACTGATCGTTTAAAATAGATAAGATGTGACTTTTGAAGGCATATGAATTTAGTAGGTTATACTGTCGATTTTTTACGAAAAAATTTCTAGATTAGTTTTAAAATTCGGTGCTTTGATTTTTCATGTGACGCTCTCCATATCAAAAGTTCAAATGACGCAAAAAAAACTCAATGCGGATTTTTACACTAGCGAATTTGCGAGCGTTAGTTTTATAGTACGAACCGTTTTTTTTTAACCTAACTCGCAAATATAGGTGTTCATTATTTTGCGGCAAATTGTTCATTTTTTGGTGGCACTTTTGCTATAATCACAATCTATAGCATTGGAAAATTCATGGCATCTGTTCTCTGCTTTATTTCAGGCTATTTTGCTTTTGTGGCTCAGTGGTTAATGCGCTAATTTTTGTCGTGTTCTCGCTAGTGTTTGCGAAGTGCAGCGTCGCCTCTGCGTAATTAATTGATTTGGCAGTGGAACAAAAGAATTTACTGACCCATCGATCTCAAATTTGGCTAGTTTTTTTCAGCCAATAATAAAAGGTTCTCGAAATTCAGCGAGCACAATAAATTTTTCTGTGAAAGTCGAAACATAAAACAGAAAAATATGTTTTCTCCTCGTTTACCAACAATATTGTGTCTGTCACCTATTTGTACGTGCTAACGATTAAAGTGATTTATCTTTTACTTAGCTCATGTGTTTTTTTACGAAAAATCTTGAACCTAGTTCCGCTCACAATTCATTTTTCGCATTTCACATTTAAAACCGTGTAACTTAGCGTAATGAATTTTTTACAGGTCGTAAGGTCGTAATAGTTCTTTTTAGTTTTCTTCTCGTCTCGATGTTTTTGAGGACAAATCCGCTTTCAAATGCCGCTCTCAAGTCACAAAAGTGCAAACAGTACAAAAACGTGAAACAAAAGTTCTCTAGCTGCAACAAGTAAATTTGATTTTGAGAATTGATACTTTTTTTGATAAATTTGAAACCTAAAAATTGAATTTTTTTTTCAAGAAATTAGTCTTTTTTGTTCTTCTTGAGTTTATTGACACTTATCCAACTGTCAGGTGTCTATGTTTCATTTTCAAAGTTCATTTCATTTTTGTTTCCCAAAGAAAGGCGAGTTACCATTTAAAGTAATAACAGTGCAATTGGTGCGAAACATTTTGAGTTCCGTGAATGACGTTTATTTTCGAAAGCGGATTTCAATTTCAAAATTACCAGTCGCATGAAAAATTAACTAATGACACAGTTTTTCTATTTGGTTTTTTAAGAAAAGAATAAAATAGTGTTTTTTCTCCGAAATCTGAAATTTAAAACTTGGTACTGTTCGATATTAATACCTAATAATGCCTTAGTTATGAATTATTAGATTTCTAAACTGGCACTTTTTGTTAGTCTGCAAAAAATTTTGAGAGAAATTATGAACGTGTTTTTTAAAAGTAGGATGAAACAAACTTGATAAAACTTTTTTTTCATATGCTCGAGTATCAGAGTTTTGGTATCAGCTAGTTTTCGTCAAAATTTGCATTGTTCCTTGCAATGGCATTCGTAGCATTACTTTTCAAAGTTGTATAAAAAAAATTTACGTATCGTTTTTTTAAACAGAATCTCCAAAAAATTGCCAATGCAGCTCTCCCTAAACTCATCTGGTCGACGCAGCAATAAAACTAAACCGAAGCTTAAAGTTGCTACATTTGTAGATGAGTACGTAGCAAACAAATCTTTTGTAATTTAGTAACACGTTTTCGGACATGAGCAAATAATTGGTTTTGCCTTACTTTTTTGAGTTTTTTGAGATGTGCTGGGGTTCGAAAAGCTTGTTTCAGGTTCAGCATTCAAATTATCATCTTAATTGTTGATCAACATTTTCAGAAATTCCATAAAATAGTTGTTTAACATTAAAAGTTCAACATGATTTTTTAACTGTCATAATGAAGGTCAAATTTTGTATGTTTTTTTTGCCAAGATTCCTCCTTATGTTACCAATCTTCCCTATGTTATACCTGTGTTATCTCCGTCTTCATCCCTATGTTACCAATCATTTTTCGGCAATTCTGTGTAGAATACACTATAGGTATCGTATAAGCGTACTATTAATCGCATCAATATTTATGCTGAAGCCAATCTTTTAAGTTTGTTTCTTTGATATGCAGCTGATAGATTAAGGAGAAAATTGTGATTCATCGCTGATCCTGTTTTAATGTTTTGAGCTGTCGATGTCTGTTTTATACTACAAGACAATGGAAGCGTTATATCAATGTTGGATATCCCCCTATTGGATTTTTTGACCTTGTACAGAGCTCATAACTAGTCTAATAAAAAACCTAAAAGTTTGATATAAATGACAAATTGAAAAAAGTTTTGATTCTCATGTGTCATATTTTTTAGCAAACGGAAAAACGAAAGAGAGAAAAAAGACCGTTCGAGGCTATTTTAGATGACATTGCTTCATTTTGAGCTGCTCCATATTTGTTCTCACTGGGACACTGAAAAGGACAGGAAGGAACTATGGATTGGATTGTTTTTTTTGCTTAATTTTTTAAGGGTTCCTCCTTGTTAGAAGTTTTCCTTCGTTAATAATGTTCATCCACTTTTTTAAAAAAATCAGTTCAATAAATACAGGGCTATATAAAAGGTTCTTTTTGATACAGCTTTTTCTTAATCGTTTTCTTTTACACATGCGGGGCATTGTGTATTGGAATGATGAAATTTTTGTTTTGACCTTAATCGCAAATAAACGTGCCGTTTTTCGTGGCTCAAAAGTGCTACTTTTGCTGGCTCAAAAGCGACACTTGGGTTGTCTAAATCAGAAGGCTGCATTGGCACAATATTACCATAAGCTTCGATATTTGATGTGTAATGAGATAACACAGTTGATGTTTTTTTAAATCATCAATTGAAGCACAAAAGCTATTTGTTTCTTACAACAGTGCAATAATAAAAACTTCTTCCCCTCAGTATCAAATTTATTACATGCAAAGTTTGTGTGGTTGCCTTTAGTTGATTACTTTCCAAATTATTTAAAAAAAGTGTGTTTTTTCGGTTGTAATTGGTTTGTGAAGCTGCAACTTCGCCTCTGTCTGAAATTACAACCCATTTTGAGAAAAACAAACGGTTGAAATTTTCAATTTCATTATTTTGCCTCCGTAGTTTCAATCAGCAGTGTTTTTTTGTGATTTTACAGGTAAGTTTAGAAAAAAATCATTGTTAAAACCTGTTCGGATTTTTGTTTACCATTATTGCATCTCGATTTTCATAAATGTTTTAGGAAGCTATGACAAACAAACTAATTGGTGTTGGAGAAGACAACAGGTAGTGTGAAATAAAATGCCGCCAAGTCGGCTCGTAGTACTCAATTCAGTTGTTAATTTTTGTGTTGTTATGTGACGATTGTACGAAATTCGTACGAGTGATCGTTGTAAATTTTCAGACTTTGACGTTTGTGTTTCAGGTTTTGGTTTAATTCCTTAGTCAACGCCCAGAGTCGGATGAAGGGGTGACATCCCCCTTTTTCAGAGATTTCCATCCCTTGCCACCCAAGGGTCCCTCTCTGATATCTTTTTCTGATACTCGTTTTTTTTCGACCAACCCTGAACTTTTTTGAGGTTCCCAAAAATTGTTTAAATACGCTCCTAATTTATATGTTAACTGTCTTATAAGTGGAGCATTGGTTTAATTGAAGTGAAACGTAAGAAAGGGGTGGTATGTTTCAGTGTGACATATATTTTTTGGAATACGAATCACGATCAAAAAAGTTTTCTGTAATACCACCCTTGAGCCCATATGTTCTTTGAGGTAGTCAAAATAGGAAATTCATTGAAATTAAAATCAGGACAGATACGAAAATTTTGATAGATCAAGTTTTCGACATGTTTGAAAATTATATTTCTGCGCCTTTGGTCTCGTTTTCTGTCGGTTAGTTTGCCATGCTATTTTGTTGTTGTATTGCAAGTGGCGCGAAGCTTTGCTTCACCTCTCTGTTTAATTTTGGACATCAGATAGTCTTTTTGTTAGCTGCATAATAGTTACTGCCAAACTTATTTTCTACTCTTTATTCAAAAAGTTTTCATGATGGTTTTAGCAAGCTATAACGAACAAATTAGTTGGCGTTGGAGTCTAACAGGTAGTAACCATAAAGAGATATCATGAGTCGATGGTTTCTCTAGAAACTACATCAGGTTTAAATTAGTTTCTTTTCTGTTGTATTGTTGAGATTGTCTGAAGTTATTCAAGAGTTTTTTCAAACTCTGCCGGCCTTCTTTCATTAAGTCGTTCAATTGCTGTTAGAACTATGCTCTAATGAAGATACTAGGGACCTACCAAGCATCTAATAGCTCAAAGAAATTCGTGGTGCATGTAAGCTACTTCAATGTCGTCCCAAATTTCAATCAAAAGTCTGTTACGATGAGCGCAGCTAAACCACGAAATTGAATTTAAAATTCTCGCAAGAATTTAGTCATGTCTCTCGAATGATTTTTTTGATACATTTCCTCCTTTTAATTAATTACTTACCATAATTTTACGGGACCAAATGCGCAAAAATTTTGAGCCAATCAGCTTCAAAATAAGATCGAAACGGACTTATCTTCAATCATATATATTGTATACTTTGGCTAAAAAATCTTGATTGGTAATCTTAAAACATAATTTTGTTTCGGTCCTTCTGCCATTATGGACTCCTCCCGGTTCAACATTAGGAACTGGAGTTCCTTCTCGAATCTGTTGTTGACTCTAAAGTTGTTTATTTAGGGAGCAATGGTGAACAAATTGGTGGGAGTGGGGGCATGAAAAGGACTCGACATGGACCACGTCATCATTGCACGACATACAACTGCAGCACAAAAATGAAGTTCACGTCTTTTTTGGATGACTCATTTCGACCACATGAACAAAGTTCGTTTTGTATTTGGACCTGGGTGCATTTTATTCTTATTATCTTCATTATTTTTGAAGGCTTTCTTTCTATGTTCATTACAGAGGAAATTTTCGACGCATTTTGAACCAATCAGGTTTGGTTTTTTGAACTTGGGATGCAGAATACCACGAAATGCTCTCGTTGAATAACTCTGATGCTCGGAATGACATTTAAATCGATAACGAAATTACCCTAATTTGTATGCTTGCATATCCTATCTTCAACTGCTTAAATTTATCCCTTTGAATTTAAATTGAATTCCAGTCAAATGTTTTATGTGAACTTTTGAAATAATTCAATTTCGAATTCTAAAAATAATCATATTTTTGAAGTGCAATTAAAATTACTCAGAATTTGTTTCAATTTAGCATGATTGAATACATACAAAATGTATATGAACGATTAGTCATGATTGGGTTCTGATGGAGCTGCATGAATTTATAGTTTAATTTGGTGTTTTCGAATCAGATATTTGAAAAAAGAATTGTAAATGTATTGGTCAAGCACAGTAGTGTAAGAAGAAAGACAGAATTTATTTCTCCAATTATTTGTTGAGCAAGGTTATACACCACCAGATATTGGGACTTATACAGATCAGACAACACAATCCTATGATGCTCCAAGCGTCTGCCCTAAAGGGTCATAAATTATTTTAAAAGTGAACAGATTTTTAAATATTAAGTTTGAAAAAAAATCTTCATTTTGTTTTTTCTATTTCTTAAGTGTGACTAAGGTATAATTTTGAGTCGTCCGAGCACTTAGAAGTAGATTTATAGGATTCGAATAGCTTCTTGGTTGTCCATGTTTAAACGTTTGGTTTGCCCGATAATCTGGTCGATAAATATCTTTTGTTCTATTTTTTTTCTGTTTTTGTAATTTCTGAGAAAATTTCGATTTTTTTTTTAAATTGTAATATCTCGAAAAATTAAACAATTCTGATTGTTTTTTTCTCACAAATCCTAACTCTTTGGATTAGCCCAGTCCCAAACAACCAATGGGTTCAATTTTTGCAAACTTTTTCACAATTCATAAAAACATTTAACCAGTGCAAAATTTTAAAATAAAAAAGAATCTTTGGATTCGTTGTAAAATCTTGATATTTCCTTTCAAGAAAAATTTCTATTAAAACGGGCAGTGAATCTATAGTTTTAAATTTGTTGTATACTTAGCATCTTGTATACCGTATCGAGAATCTTTCAATTTTTCGTTGGCAAACAGGTTCCGCAAGTATTTTCGCACAAGATTTCCTTGTTAGTTTTTGAGAATTTTGGAAATTAATCATTTCGTTCAAAAAAGAAGCAGAGCGTTTTTTATTTCAACAATTAGGGTGAATTACACAAGCTTGTAGATATGATAATCATAAAAGGTCATCCTTTTTTCCGGAAAATATCTTCACACCACGTCTTGCCGTTTTCTGAAAAAAAATAATTAAATTTCAAATTTTAAACAAAAAACTACAGCACCGATAAACTGAAACGTCATACTGAAAAATAGGGACAACATTACTGCGTTAGTATTCTATTAGTTTGCCCATTAGTACTTAGTGCAAAAAAATTGATGTTAAAACTTATTGTTTTCAAAGTCTCATTTTAACGAACTTTATGTGACTGATAAAGGAACTGATAAAGGCCCTAAAATCGATCATTGCACTCAAATATGCACGCTATCTGCGGTTGCGAAGATTTTGCTTCAGCTAATTTGAAATTTGAGCAATTTTTGGGGAGGCTATACATTTTAATTTCGTAAACTAGTGTGTTGTGGTTACCCGCAACGAACGTAGTTTTTATATTCAAGATTCAAGAGAAAGTTATAATTTTTATCAAATAATTTTATCTTTCGTTTATTTCCGCTAGTGCATCAGTATCAATTTTACTTAGTTTAGAACGAAATGCATTTTTTTGGACAGATCAGAGGTTCTACTTTTTATTGTGAGAAAATACATTTTTTACATTGCTTTTTCATTTATTTTACTCCAAACAGTGAAAAGAGGTAAAGATCGATGATTTTTTTTATCTGTTTTGATCCTCCTTTATGTAGAAAAAAAAACATTTGATTTGCAAAGATTTTGAACAAATACGTTTTTCAAAAAAATGTTGATTATGAAAGCTAAATAGGAAGCCACAACTTCAGACGAAACTTTCACTATTATAACACAAATGTAATCGTCACCTGACTATCATTTATATCTAAACTGTCAAGTTTTTTTTATCTTTAACTAAATTTATTTCATTTTTGTTCATCCGAAAAATTGTTTACTCAATTTGGTGTCTCAATGATTGGATTGTATTTTTTGAGTGTTTTTTCTTCTATGGTTGTGAAAAAAGTTTTGTGCATCTGTTGAATCATCGCAAAGATTAGGACCCGATTGCATTGGGGGAGTTTTTTTTAGATTTATTGTTTTACCCCTTATATCAATTAGTAGTTCAAACGTTCGTTTTGAGTCTTCAATACATTTTCTGAGTTCATTTCAAATTTATTCCAACAAACTTTTTTGTGGGTTTCACTTCTTTTTCTAATTGCACTCTCTAGTTATTGACTATTGACTTTTTTCCCAAAAATGGTTAGCATGATTTTGGCTGCATTTCCGTTTTCTATGAGCTGCTTTTATCGTAATTAGAAGATTTACAAATCCGTTGGCAAACCGAACTGGCCGCTCTTTTGATTGACTTTTCAACCAATTAAGAGGAGCAAAATGATCCAGAACATTAAAAATTAAACTCTGAAAGTTTTCAGAAGCTCATTTGGGTACTGGGAGGCAAATAAACTCATTCTCTGGTTTTCGAAGTCATCATCTAATGTTTTCAAAAAATCAAATACCCTATGGTGCGACCCTAAATCAAATATTGCTACTTTAGAAATGATTTATCTCGAAAAATAGATTCATCATTGAAACTTTTTTTTGTATGTCCCATTTCAATGATATCGGATAACAATCAGACGTTTGTTGTAATTAGGAACCTATAGGGAATTTTATGTTTCTTTATAAACAGAAATATACCTACATGAAAATGTTATAAACAGGGAATTTTATGTTTTTTTATGCAAGGATCCAAACAAGTTTTTTCAGTTACACGAGTTGCTTAATTTCTAGTGATCTCAGAACCATTTGAAGATTTTATGTTCCCGTAATTTTGAACAATTAGTTTGTTTTGCATAGTAATTATACGGAAATTGCAACACAGTTAAAAAAAACCCAATCTCATGTTTTTTCTCGTCTTAAAATATGCTTAAGTTTTTCTTCGAACGACATTTCGTTATTTGTAGGTATAATAAATACAACACTAACCGAGATTTTGAAAATATTTTTAGATCTTTCAATAGGCATACTTTTTTCGAAGGGCATTTTAACCAACTGAAGCAAACACTTCTTTTTTGTATCAAGACAACGCCGACATGAGTGCTTCCATTTCTCGTGTAGAATTGATTACAAACACTAATTACCTAGCTTTAATTTTTGTCGCTTTCTGTGTGCCGCGTTTCAGTTGGCAAAAAATGATCCGCCGTTAGTACAAAAGCTTCCAATTGTTCGAAGTTTGAATTTAAGAATCTTATGTCAAGGTTCATAATAAATAAGTTGGCATTACTTGATTGCATTTAGTGATAACGGTTAGAACTACTTAATCAACTTTTTATCAACAAAAACAGCTTTTCACATCATTTAAGTTATTGCAAAGATCAATTCCTTCAACATAAAATTTAATGATTTTAATGACATTAGGACTGTTGTAAAATGTATATAATATTTTTCCTTATTTTGACCAAACTCTTAGAAAATAACTACCTTTTTTCATCATTTTTAGACTCCGCTAGTTTGTTTTTTTCCGCATAGATTTTTTAGTCTTTCGTGGAATTTTGAAATTTATGTTTTTAATGGCTCGATGCCTAGTTGCTACTTGGTGTGCAATAGAGGTTTCTTTTTCGTCTGTACAGGCATCAACTGTTTTTAGAGAGCTCTAGCACCTTTAAAAGGTTTCCTCATGGAATGTTTAAAAGTGCTCATCGGTATTACCATCGTCTCTTAGTCCAAAAATACTAGTGTTATCCCCTCTGTTGTATGTTTCCCGCTTTTCTGTCTCACGTTTTGTCATCAGATCTTTTTTGCTTTTGCTATATTCAAGATCTTGCGTCTTTTTAGCAAAACCTTGTTTTCAAACCCATTCACGGCGTTTCTGATCGCTTTTGAAATCGCTGACTGCAATTGGACTATTATTTGCGCCACTATAGTAGAAACTGCATTGCTGATTGAGATTCCTGCCGCCGAGCTTATCAGATGTGTACATATGTGCCGCTTTTGTCTTCGCTATGTGGTGTCAGCACTGTAGAAGGTTTTTTGGTTGTGCTCTTCACTGCGAGAGTCTGATACAGATATCGAAGTTCGGTAACTTTTGCCTTAGTACTGTTGTTGTCGTCTACTTGAATTTCAGTATTCTGAACTTCAAATGAATATGGTGAATTAGTATTCTTGTCTCTCCTAAAACAAAATAACTATTTTATCACAACCTTAAGGCTTGTTTTATCTTGCAAAAAACGGTTTCCTACAATTGAGTAGAATAATGGGTGCCCAGCAAATAAGGCGCCAACCTTTAAGACTGTTTTTGATGGGATTTTAAGACGGGGCTATACACTCTTATCCAGATGTAGTTTCTGAGAAATATAGACTGCTCAATTTCGAACTGCTCATTTTGAATGTTTTAACGAGAATAATTAAACCAGCCAAAATATAAACCAACCGAAATTGCCCGGAGTATCTGAGCCAGTCGAAAATTCAGATCATATAATGAATTTGCATAACTTTCGCATGTCTTTTATAATTGTTTCTTACCTATTTTTGGCTGGTTGATACTTCGGCTGGTTTACATATCACCTCTTTACTGCTCATTTTACGTCCTAATACCATGTCTTTTTAACGTCGTGTCGTCTTAATTGCCTAGCATCAGAATGATGCTGGTCCGGATTGCGTCTAAGAGCCAAGCAAGTTGATTGATTGAAGCTTTTTGACGCGTTTTTCTCAAATTGGGTTGCGTTTAGCTCAAAACTTATGAAGACAAAATTTTAGCAGAATTAATATGGTGTAATTTGTTTTACGAAATTCGGGCCCGAAATTTTACCCCAACATTAGGTCATTTTGGCTTTTCTTAGTTAATCAAAAATAACACCGAAAATACTCAGTCGATTACAGACATAATTATATCAAAAGGAGCCCCTTATGTAGCCCAACAAACTTTATGAATTGTATTTTCTCCAAAAAAAAATTGCAAACCGTTTGAAAATTGTTTTTAAATAAAAAGTTGGTATTTTATTTAGTAAAAACGACCTTTTTTTCTATCAAACAAACATAAATTAACTTATACAATATTTTGGAGATTATACCCTAGTTAAAGTTTGTTGGGCTACGTAAAGGGCTCACTTTGATATAATTATGTCTGTGATCAACTGAGTATTTTCGGCGTAATTTTTGATTAACTAAGAAAAGCCAAAATGAACCATTTTTGGGGTAAAATTTTGGGCCCGAATTTCGCAAAACAAATTACACCATATTATTTCT